ATTTGTCCAAAAAAAATTAAACCTATTTTCTTGAAATTATTATATCTTAAAACCTACAATTCCTGATATCAAAAAAAAATTAAACAAACTAATCCAAAATTACAAAATCTGTTTTATGGCATTTTATTGTTCATCCCTTATCAAATTGAATCTTTTTCGTTTTTTTTTCCTTTTTCTTCATTCAGTTTTATTTTTACATTGCCACGTTTTATTTTCTTTCACCGACCGACCAAATCTCACAAAATACAAATGTCAGATTCTATTAACGAATGAACTAAAAAAAAAAACTCCAAAATGACCCTTAAGTACTGTTAGCCAAAGCCAACCAAGCTTATTGTCCTGTCTGCAAAAAAAACTAACTCTCCCACCAGGGGTGGGGAAGGATAACATTTTAATTTCACCAAGAAAAGATAAAGTTTTTTTTATTCAACATTTTCTTGAATTTCATGTTAAATATTAACGTAATTCAAACTGAAAGGTCAAGTGGGAGTGTTATTAGAACCTGACATAATATGGGGGAAAAGAGAGGATGGAAATTCTTACATTTGTGTGTGTGTTCTTGTTTTATTCACCTCCTTTAAAAACTCCATTTGCCATGCGTCTTCATGGTACGTCACATTTAAAATGGACCAGCCGGTGAGGAGAGTAGCATCATAAATGGCCAATGGAGAATAGAAATTAAATCCAATATTTTTAATCATACTTCATTCGAAGAAAAATGGAATAACGGAGGAGAAGTCGTAAGCGGAATAGGAAAAGGGTCAAGGGTCATCCAGTGGTAGAAGGTTTCAATAAGAAATATTTAATGAAAATTTGATTTTTTTTGTTTAAGAGTATTTTATAAAACCTGTATCGATTTGAAATATAAAGGATTTGTGTTTACAGAGTGAGATGAAAAAACTGCAAGCAACTTCAGACTGCTGTTATTTCTTAGCCTCTTATCCAACAGCTGTTAAAATTATTCCAGTGACAGCTCTTTACATTGTTCACAAGCGTACAAAAGCATTTGGTGAGAATTTTTCAGGAAAATGTTATTCGTGATGGAATTCAACCGTGATTTCTTTATATTTGTCTGAAAAACCACAAGTGGCTATCGTTAGAGCACTCGAGAATTTAAATGTGAATAAATCTTTTGTGTCTCGTACCATAGAATAACGCTACCCGTGATTCTAGTAGCGTATCCCGATGTCGAGGAAGTGGACAGAAGAAAACAGCAACATCAGCAGAAAGGACTCGAAAAGTAAAGAAGCGATTTGATCGAAACCCGCGACGCAGTGGCCGAAAAATGGCTTGTGAGCTGAACATATCGCAATATTCCATTCGACAAATATTGACAAATGAGCTGGGGGTAAAGCCATTGAAATTCCAAAGAGTGCAAGAACTTAAACGGCAACAGAAAGAAAATAGACTCAAAAGAGAAAGAAAATAGACTCGCGTGGCCGAAAGTGGTGAACTGCCGAATTTGGTTTTTTCGATGAGAAAACATTCGTTGTCCAGCAGTTTGTAAACAATAAAAATAATAGTTTTTACTTGCAAAGAGGTCAGCTGAAAATGTGCACCTTCGGCTGGCCACCAGAACTCAAACGCCGGCCATGGTGATGGTGTGGGCTGCCATAACAGCCGATGTTCGCTCTCCGCTCGTATTAATCGAACGTGACATGAGAATAAATGCCGAATATAATAGCGAAAATATTCTGTAGGGTGTATTAAAGCCTTGGGCACGCAAACATTTTGGCAGAGGACCTTGGACATTCCAACAGGACTCAGAACCATCGCACTCAGCTCGCGCCACCCAAGAATGGTTACAAAATGAGGTTTCTCGCTTCATTTCAAGCGCACAATGGCCACCAAAATCTCCGAACAACAATCCGTTTGACTATTGTGTCGGGAGAATTTTGGAAAACAAAGTTGGCACCTAAAAATACCAAAGGGTCGATGAGCTCAAGCAACCGCTTCGCCGGAAATGGGCCAAAATACCGCAGAGCAGCGTCTGACGGTTTCATTAGCCGTTTGAAGGCCATAATTCGTGCCAAACGTGACCAATTCGAACAAATCTAAACTTATTCTAAAATTTGATGCTATTTCCGACATTCTTTGCTTTCATTCAATAATATTTAAAAAAATGTAAATATTATGGCATTTGACTTTGTTGCAGTTTTTTTATATCACCCTGTATATTATGAACGAAGCTTTTAGTCAAAGGTTTATATACATTTATGTAAAAACAGTTGTACTAAATTTATTAAATTATGACCCTAAATGAAGTACCTTAACAAAACTGCAATAATGTAATTCTACGATAACCGATGTTCCCTTTTTGAAATCGAAAGAATTGCAAAAATAGTAGATTCTTACAGGTTCTGGAACAAAGTATAAATATACATTAATATGTTTCAATGTGAACTTTAAGGTTTAACTTGTATCTTTTGAAAACTCTTTTGTTTTTGAAGCAAAAACAAATTGAATTAAAAAAAAAAAAAAAAAAAAAAACAATGAATAAAGTTGTTCAAATATTACAGAATTGGGTCCATGATCTTATATTTATTATTTCTACACAATTCAAACATTTTATTAGAAAGGTTATTTTTCGACTTAGAACTCCTCTTCAGCAGGTTGAAAGAACTTGAATGCAAAACAAGCAATAAAAGTTTATTAACCCTTTATTTCGCATTTAACGAAATTACACGTGCAGATAGATCTTATGGCATTTCTAATTTTGAAACATTAAAAGGATATAAAAACTAATGACAATCATTTAGACAGGTGAACATATAAATGAATGGACGGATAAATGAATGGATGGTTGAAAAATATTTAGAACCGAAAACATTCAGCGCTCTCGACCAAACAACATCAACACAAATGAATAAATATTAGATGTGGAAGAGACAATGGAAATAACCTTAACCGCAAATAGCTTAAATAAAACTATTAAAAGGCAAACACACAAAAGTTAGTCGGCATCATAACATGGCTAATTGGACTTTTGTGAACAAAGTCAAAATAACAATTTGAGAGAACTTAATAATAAAAAAGAATGCGAGAATTTTGAAGTTTTAATGCATAAATGTCATTTGAAAAATATGTCTTTTTCTCCACGAAAAGCTTTATAACTTATCAAGCTTTACAACTTACAATGATGTTGAGTCTTTTAGTTATTTATGAAGTATATGACTTGTATTATTTATAGAGTACAAAAGCCAGTAAATATTCTTCAGAATTTATTTTTTGACAGAAATTCGTTTGACATTTCTTATAAAAATTTAAAGGTTTTATAAACACATTTCTTAAAAAATTTCCTATATAAAGAACTATAGCGAAGAATTTTTTGGAAGAAACTTTCTCACAAAATATTAAAAAAAATACGTAATGTTCTAATGTTATGCCAGAATTCCAGTCCTTGAAAAAAAACAACAATGTAAAAATAAAAATTTGGAAATCATTAACAATTGTTTTCCAAGAAGTCTTCGTAAAACATATTTTTAAACAAGTAAAAAAACATTAAGGATTATCAAAATACCCCATATCGGTGGTTATCGTTATATGTGTGCTATAGGAAAACGTGGACCTAAATATTTTTCTCTCACCGGAGCTAGAACCCATTATGAACTACAAATACCAATTTTAAGACAAATCCGTGGAAAAATGTGGCAAAAATTATAAAAGTACCAAATATCGGGAGGTACCGTTATATGGGGGCTTTACAAAAACGTGGACCTACACATACAATGCTTCGCCAAGAGAGCTGGAATCCATTATGACCAACTAAGAGCAATTTGTATACAAATCCGTGGGAAAATGTGGCGCAAATCGTCGAAGTACCGAATATCGGGAGGTACCGTTATATGGGTGCTATACAAAAACGTCGACCTATACATACAATGTTTCGCCACCGGAGCTGGAACCCATTATGACCCACAAATAGCAATTTTTAGGCAAATCCATAGAAATATGTGGCAAAAATCATTAAAGTACCGAATATCGGGAGGTATTGGTATATTGGGCCTATACAAAAACGTGGACCAATACATACAATGTTTCGCCACCGGAGCTAGAACCCGTTAGACCCTGATAAGCGTAAAATTCTAAGTTGGCTTAGTCCGTCCACCAGTTGTAATCACACTTGAGTCCACATGGCTTTCTCTAGAAAGTTAAAATTTTACAAAGAATTGTTTTTTTGTCTTCAGGCAGGTCAAAAGTCAACCGTATCGAGTAGCCCCAAAATAACGGTACCTTCCAAAATTCGGTATTTTGACTACTTCAGCCACATTTTCCTATGGAAATGTTTCGAATTCGGTGTTTAGAGTTCGCGAAGGGAGAGCATTGTCTGTATGGAATATAGACTTTATAGGTTAACATTTTACTATAGCTCCATACAACAATACCTTGCGATATTTAATATTTTGACATTTTCAACATTAGTCCATTTTTTTCTATAACCTTAATAGAGCTGTGCCTCTGAAAATTCGGTATTTTTATGTTTTTAGCCACAATAAATAATTTTTTTTGGGTTCATCCGAAAAAAATTTTACAAAATCTATGTTAGACCGAAGGTCCCTTAACAAATATGTTTAAAGAATCCGCGTTTGTAACTCTAAAAGTCCCTCTAAAAATATGTTTAAATAATTCCCGTTTGTAAATCTAAAGGTCCCTTTACAGTATCCAATTTTGAAGATGGTTCTAAAACTATGATTGAAAATTTTACGTCTATCTATCTCGAAGACCCTTTAATAAATTGTGTTTCTAAAAAATGTTTAAGAAATCCACGTATAGTAGTCTAAAGTTGGCTCTAAAAATATGTTCTGTCCTAAGTTGCATCAATTTTGATTGAATGATCCAAACTCCTTAACATTTTCTGAAAACATTGAAATTATTATTATTATTATATTGAATCTTCAAGACGAATAAATTCCCATCTTTTGTTTGACTTTCTGATCCTTTCGAAACATACGTCTAAAAAACTTTACGAGTTTTAATGAATATCAATCACATTTATTTAATTGTTGTATTTAATTTAAACTCTACACACTCATTAACATTAAAAAAATGTCCATATAAATATATTTACATAATATCAAAAAATGGAGAAGTTATCATTTATGTAGGTATGTTTGTGTGTGTTACAAGTCAACATATTTTCGTATTATAAGCCAGCCTCAGATGATGTTTTTTGGTTTTAATTTTCTTTTTATTTTTTTGCATTTTAGTAGCATTTTTATGCTAGATTTAATCATTCGATAATTGTATAAAGGTTAAGTTGAGTAATTTCCGTATCGCGTATTATAACATTAAAATCGAGTTCCTTGTTAGTGTCCTGTTGTCGTTGGGGGCTCATTGTTCTTCCAAAATATTTCCGTTGTTATTTTTTTTAGTGTTTGCCATAATCATCACTGGCATCAATAAGCGAGCTATTCAATTCCTCAAACAACTCATTTGATTGATGACTTCTTAACAGGGGATTATTGCCATTATTCAGTTTGCTGTTGTTGTTGCCATTTTGATTGCCGGCGGACAATGGATTCAAAGCCAAGGCAGCAGCTGTTGAGCGCAGCAGCAGAGGATTCCTTAAAGCATGTTGAAGTTGCAATAGACATCTAAAATCGTGAAAATTAATTTTAACTTCAATATTTTTTGCTTGACAATTTCTCACCTTTCCAATCGCCTCTCATTCACATCTTGAATATCAAATATTTCGGATAGACCCTCATCGTCTCTGTGAAATATATTTGTGGCAACATTTCCAGGTCCATTTCGTTTCCCATTGGTCCAACCGCGTGAGTATTGGAATGTCTGGGCCATGCAAGCCATGGAAAAGAGGAACAACAACACAAGGACACGCAACATGGAATATTGGAAGGATTGACCCATAGATGCCATTGGGAAGTGTGTATAGGTTGTAGTAGGTAGTGGTATTGGGATGGGACTGCGAAAAGACAAAATATTTGTAAGAATTTAAAATAATAGGTGTTAATTTATTGAAAAATTAAAAAAAAAATAAAAAAATGCAAATATATCAAATTTTTCATATTTCATTATATTTCAGATTTTTAGAAACATAACGACAAATTCGCCTCAATTATCTAGTTTTCGCTTTGAACTCTCTTTTTGATTGGCAGTACTTATTTAAATTCGCCTTTTAACCAATCTCTACGTTTGGTTTATGTCTCCGAAATTTCCCGCATTGTATCTGTAGCGAAGGCATAAACCACGTTATACTTATTTCGTTATTTTTATTGAAGATTTAAACCATCACGGACCGTTATTAAATTCAATTCAAAATTATAGATATTTCCCACCAATAAACGGTCAATTGTGAACAATTAGTGCACATTTTGTAAAAATCCTCAGAATCAGTAATAATTTGACGAAAATCGAAATACTATAAATGTCGTATTTAAATCTCATATTGAATTATATGTATATTATTTCTAATGTAATTCTAATATTCTCTCCTTTTTTTAAACTCAATTACGCTGTGCAACACAAAACATAAAATCGGGGAAAATTCTGTAGATTATGAAAGTAGAGCTAAAAAAGAAGACACGTGCATCAGCGTATTTAAAGTTTGCATCCAAAAGTAGCCAAAGTAGTTTCCTCTCTTCCAAACTTTTAGAAATTTTGAGATTCGGATTTCTCGGAATCTGTGCGTTTTAAGAATATAGTGTCTCCGGCAATATTGCAAGTATTGTTTTTTTTTATCCCTTTTATACCCTTCACCGTAGTATAGAGTGTGTATTAAGTTTGTCATTCCGTTTGTATGTCGATTTAACGCTGACCGTCCGTCGGTCTGTGGAAATCACTATAGCTTCCGAACAAATTGAGAAAAGGTTGATGAAATTTTACTCAAATATGTGTTTCGTCTGCAGGACTTTTGGTACTGAAAATGGGCTATATAGGTCCACGTTTAGTTATAGCCTCCATATAACTGGAATTGTTTAAAATCTCGTATTTGAATTTCGAAAAGGGTACTTAAGTCTATGACAGAAAATTGCATATGCAAGTTTAAGTCATCGGTACCTCCCTATATCCGGTATTTTTATGATTTAAGCGACATTATTGACTGGATTTATTTCAAACTTCGTACCATAGCCTAGGACAGAAAATTGCATATGCCGGTCCTCCCTACATTCTTTATTTGAGAATTATAGGGACATGATTTACCGGAATTGCTTCAAATGTCGTTTTTGAAGTTCCTAATGGGTAGTCCAAGTCCAAGTCATCGTATAGCCAATATACATCGGTACCTCCCTATATTCGGCATTTTGATTATTTTTGGCTACATTATTATCCGGAATTGTTTCAAATTTCGTATTTGCACTTCGTAACATTAGGCTTTGACAGAAAATTGGCTATTTCTTTAACAGAATTTTTAACGGATTCTATTTTTTATTTATTTATTTTTAAATTTCCAATTTTTTTTTCAAATGGTGGGGGTATTCAAATTTTAGTCCGGCCGAACTTACTGCTTTTTAACTTGTTAATTCTGAAAAAAAATAGCAATTCGTTGCAAATTTTCCTATAAATTTACCGTGCAATAGCCAGTCTGGGTTGTGGAAAAAACAAGTTCTGGGTTCTTAGGTCCATATAGGTCCACTTTTTGAATATCCCCCTTAAATTTCAAGTATTTTTTACATTTTTACACATGTTTTCATTTTAATTTTGCCAAATTTTACAAAAAATATATATATTAATAAAGTTTCAGAGTACAGCCGTTATATAATGATACCTCCTGATTTTAGTTATTGCAAAGGTCTTGGCCACATTTTCTAATTGACTTGGCTTTATCTTGGTTGTCGGTCGATTGATTAACTTTTCTCAAAAAGTTTGGCCCAGGCGAACTTAAAGTCGGTTTTACTTGTTTTATTGAACATTTTGAACTTTATGGATGAGGCATCAGATAAAGAAATATGAGATCCAAACTAACTTTTTCGAAATACCTTTTGTAACTGAGGTCTGAGGGACAAAGTCTATGGAAATTCCTACTACAGGGTACATAAATTGCTTAGATATGATAAATATGGCTGGTTTATGAAATTTAGTAACAAGATCTGAGATAAAGATGGACAACGTTACTATTTTTGGGTAAGGTAATAAATAATGTACCACTCCTATCAGAAAGAAAATTTTGTACAAATTATTGTTAGAAAAGTTGAGCAATCGAAAAAAACAATAGCTTTTCTTTCGTCGGCGAAAATTTGATATTGTACAGATGTGGTATGTTATGAAAGGTATAAACTTGAGTTGTATACATCGTGGTCTTCCGAAATATATGTAGAACACACAAACAAACTTAAAGGACTTTTCCTCAATTTCAGAAACATGATTTCGGGTTTTTCACACGATAAATCATTATATTGCTTTTAGAGCCAATAAGAACTTAGATATCAGTCCCATTCTTTAAATATTCATTAAACTATAAAGGCCAAACAGACGGCACCATACGTTAGGTTGTGATTGTAATATAGTTATGCCAGCCTATCCAAACACACCGAACAAGTTTCAATTACAATTCACTAAATTATTTTTTTTTAATCCTATAATATGTTTTTCTCTTTTTAAAAAAAACAATTTTTACACCTTTGCTATTTAATGTGATCGATTTTGGTTATTTTCCACTTACATTTGCCGTCGTTTGGAAACTACACAAACTGCACGTCTACTCAAATGTGATTCGAAACTGGGAATGAATAGCTAACTGGAATATGTTCCTCGTTTTATACCTAATTTCTGCGTTCCAAAACAAACGGGATAATTTGCAGTTAACTAAAAACACAATCTTCACCAGCAATTATCTTTGGAAAGAGAAGCAAAATAGTATTTACTAAATACACTGCAAAAACCGTTCTCCCCCAAGCAATATCCCAATCTTCCTCCCTCATGCTGGCTTCACAACTAAAATATTTCCTCAGTGTAGCACGTCCATCCTCTTCATTTATTAACACTTGTTTTATTTAGCATCTACAAGGATTAAATGTTATTAGAAGGCAATTGTTTTTATTCACTTTCCCAAAAAAAAAGAAACTACAACCACAAAAACTCTTTATGACGATATGTGTAAGGCGAATACAAAAACAAAACTTCCATTACAAGTCCTTAGTAGAAAACAACAGCTTTTGGTGCCGCACCAATGAACAAATTGAATGCATTTGTTGATTAAAAAATTATCACCTTCACTTTCGACGAAAAATCAAATAAACCCTTTCACAGGCATTCCCCTCCCCCTTACGAGCAACGCACAACAGTTGGCCTTTAGGCGTTGCTAAAAATACGCAGCAGTTCCATCAGCCACAACTCCTTGCGATAACCGCCAAGATGTCTATGCCGAGATTGCCGATGAAAGGATTATTGCGGAGGTTAAGGAATGAGAGATAATTACCAACGGGTTGGTTGATCTTTTGTTAAAGAGTTCGTGTGTAAACATAATTACACACATACATACATACGAAAATGAATATTGCTAAAGCACAATTAATTGCTATAATCGTGGTTTCTAAACACATTATTTCAAAAATGAGTCCTCTTTCTAAATATTATTTATAATCATTAATATAATTAAATATCCTTTATAATCATTAATACATCCGAGAATTTGGAAATTTAAATTAGTAGATTTTAATGTAGGGCCCGGAAACAGAGAGAAATATTGCGAGAACTTATGACGTACTACTAAAAAAAACTGTAAGCCGTACAGCCCCCACACAACGGATCTTCCCTATTTATGTTATTTGCTTCTGATTTTTTCAACCGAATTTGTAAACGTCCTTGCAAAGAACAAATTGTTTTATAGACACCATACGATGGTACTTTGCGATTTTCGGGTTTTTCTAAGCTACTTTTTTTATCGGAATTGTTTCAAATTTGATATTTAGAGTTCGCAATAGTTACCATATTTTTAGGGTACCTGCCATTATACAGGAATAACTTTTACTCATTGAAAGAGGATGAAATTTCTTTCCGGATATTTGGAGTTGATCTAGAGATGTGTGTTTGAACGTCTGATTGGTTGGGGCGCACGATAATTGTGGAAGGAAGATCCCATTAATTTGAAAGGGGTCGGTTGACCGGTCCTCTCAGAATAATATTTTAAATTGTAAAAGAAAAATGTATGTATCATAAAATGTATGAAAATACTGGCTTGTCCTCGTAATCACGCTATTGTCAAAACTAATTAAAATAGGAAGCTAAATTTTGCACAGATCAGTCTTATGTCTGCAGGCAGGTCAAGTTCGAAGATAAGCTATATCGGTCCACGATATAGCGGTAACACTCGATATTTGATATTTTGATGCTTTTATCCACATTTTTCTATGGAATTGTCTAAAATTCTACAAAAGAAGTTCTTTGTGAGTACTCAATAGAATCCCATATAACAGTACCCCCGATATTCGGTATTTTGATAATTTTAGCGAAATTTCTGACCTGAATTGTTTTAAATTTCGTATCCGTAAAGTTCATAATGGGTACTACAGCATATGACAACAAATTGCGTATGTAGATCCACGTCTTCGTATAACGATACACCACAATACTCGGTATTTTGGTCATATCAGAGACATTAATCACAGGAATTGTTTCAAATTTCGTATTTGAAACTCGTTATGAGCACTAGAACCTATGACGGAAAATCGTCTATAAAGGTACACGTCTTTATATAGTCCACGTATATCGGAACCTCCATTTATTCGGATTTTTTATGATATTAGCGAAATTTTTTAACGGAATTGTGTTAAATTCTGCAGCCTATGACAAAAAATTACTTATGCCGGACCACGTCTTCGTATACCCCCAAATAACGATCTTCATTGAGCGCTATTTATCAACGAATTCTTTTGGAATTTTTCAAGTTCCTTCAAAATGGTGGAAGGTAGTAAAATTTCGGCCCGACCGAACTTAGCTGCTGTTCTATTTGTTAAAACATAATTCGAAATATATTAGTTACAATTCGTAACATTTCATTCTCAATTCGAGAATTCCGGCAGGTACGGTTAATGGAAAAAAATTAATCTATGTAAACAAAGCAAAAAACACACACGAAGTAGAAAATTTCCCAAATTTAAATCTCAGCTAAAAAAAATCAGGTGAAAATTTAAATAAAATCATCAGATTTTCGTATATCGGGAGGCATAGCTATAAATTGGCTATAAGGCCAATGTTTACAATTACCTCCTACACAATAACATTTTATTTTATTAATACATTTTTTTTTTCAAAAAAGGTCCACTAAAACGTTGACCTAACCTAGACCTGAATCTGCTACAAAAGGTGGGACCCACAACAAACCCCAAATACCTACTTTTAAAAAATGTCATTAAATAAAGTGTCGGAATCATAAAATTATCAAAATGCCAAATATAGGCATGCTACGTTATTTAGGACCTATAAAATAATTTTGACCTGCATGCACAATTCTATGGTTTCGAAAAGAGCCATTAATCCTCATAAGATTTTTTTGTGAGAAAATATTCTAGGTAGGTACAGAGAAAAAACGCATTTAAAAATTGACTTCTGGAATTAAAAAAAAAATTATAAAAGAAATATAACTAATTTTTGTAATTTTTAGAAAGTTACAAATTTTAGTTTCGTTCCAAGAGATCGTGTTAGGCCTTTTAAGTACTCTAAATGCACAATTTGTTCAATTTGACAATTTTTTTAATCAGAACTTTATGCACCGTACGCAATTATCAAAAATTTCTTTTTTAAAATGTAATTCCGGGTTTTTCCTTTTTAAATAGTCTTAAAAATCTTTCATGCTGAAGTTCACAGAGCAGAATATGTAAATCGGAAAAACCAAGATTGACCTCAATATCAAATTTCAAGATACTACTCAGAACAGTTCATACAATAATAGTACTCCTCAGATACAAACAGAGACCTCAATATCACATTTCGGGATTCCAGCTTCATTCCTTCACCTAATACCAAATTTTGTACAATTTGGTACTTTTCGTACAAATATAGGACGTATTTCTCAACCATTTAACCAAATAGTGGTTTTTATATAAAATTTCACAATTTCGTCTCTATCTCTTTGAATCCGGACCAAATTAAGTACAATTTAATACGTTTCTTACAGTTAAAGAACACACTTCAAAAACCATCTCCATATGAAGAGCGACCATGTTAATTCCCGAGCTTTGTGTCCATCCATTTTCCTGGGAGAATAATCATTTATTTATTTTTTCATTCAAATAAAAACCCGTTACAAAAAGTCATAACTATTTTCCATTAATTACAGCAGTCAGCTGCTTAGCCAAAGCTTTAAAGCTTTTCTATTAATGTATGTAAGCAAACATATTTGTTTTGACACCAATTCGCCAGTCAAGTAAACAGCAACAAGTTGTGTGTTTAGATTATGGCGATCAAAACAAAAAACAACATCGACTGCATGCGGGACATGCGCGTTACGTCTTTTGTAATTTCCTTTTTTTCAGAAGGAAAAGCCGATATGACAAATGTCAACATAGACCAACAGTCTATTGGAGGGACTTAGTTAAGCGAGTCGTAGTCTGGCAACTGATAACAAAGGAAATTTTTGTGTTTTTATCCATATAAGGTTTTGTGTGTATAACTGTAAATGGAAAATTTGGAAAAAAGAAATATTTAAAAGTGTTAATTAAAAGAAAACTGAAGTTGTACGTGAAAATGTTATGCTTTAGATGTGTTGAGAAAATGATGAAATATACTTAGGAAATAAGTTTTGTTTAGATTTCCTATTTTGAACTATATCTGGAACCATATGTTTTATGTTGTATATACACACTCACATATGTATGGATATTATCATTCCATAAAGTATTCTCTAAAACTTGTTCCATGATTCCAATAGACTAGCGCATTGTTCTGTTCACGTGCCTCTGTTGCAGAATTTCCTCAAATATTCATTTGAAAACCGGAATCCTATGATGAATATGGAAAATATGGGTCGACTACGCAAGGTGAGTGTGTGTGGTGCGTTGTGGGTGACTTACTATTTTAATGCAGTAGTTGTTTATGTTGTTGCTTTAAAATTTTGCATTCCTGTCGCACCAACTGACCTTCACATTGGTTTAACCACAACGACTTCAACGATTGTGGCCAAAAAAATGGGTGGGAGAGTGAGAGGGAGGCAAATTCTTATATTGAGAACAAGTTAAAAAAATGCGTGTATTTACAATCCAATACAATAACAGTTATAACTTGATGTCTCTTTGAGCGAATCAATTAAACGTTTAATGCAAGTGTTTTTGTTTTGTGCTCAAACCATAAATCAGTCATCAGTGTAACCCAGCAAACAAAACATTATAGGTTTATTTAATAAGCCAGATAGTATATTTTCCAAAAATGATTGAGGTAAAAACATGGATCAGTAAGATAAAAAATTATTGCTCTGTTGCAGACCCTGCAATTTTTTCTTCGATACTTTTACATCCTTGCGGTTCTGGAACAGACTATATGTTGTGTTTATTTTCGTGACGAACTCGAAGAAAAATAAAAATTGAACTTTTAAAAAAGAACAAATGTAAAATTACTAGCAACTCTAGCCTAATAAGCTTAATAGGACTTAAACCTTCTAAATGCAGATCTTTATGGACAGGTATACAAGATAACAATTTGCGACTATCCTGTCGGTATCATTATAAGGGAGATACGTCGACCAAATACGAAATTATGCCGTTCTCAGTTGACGAAATCAAAAAAAAAATCCAAATGGCAAGTCCGTTGGCTATAATTGGTTTTTTAATCGGGCGGTTAATTTGGGGGTTGCGTCTAATCAAATACGATGAAATTCCTTTAAGGATATTCCGAGTCAATCTGGGATGTCCATTTGTCTTTGGGCACAATCATTTTTGGAAGGACTGTTATATTCGGTCGAAAATTAACACATCGTAATTTTAGATTGAATTCGGAGATGGACAATAGCACTCCTTCGGACACAAGGTCAGGTCTTAAATGGGCAACATTGGCTCGCTTAATCACTCGCTCGCTCTCCGCAAAAAAGTTGAAATTTACATATAAAAGCGTAGTGGAAAAACTGACTGACAAAGCCCAGACGAAACGGCTGAAGATATTAAAATGTACTAATGTACCATTCCGTTCATTCCGTTTGTAACTCCTCGAAATATTAATGTCAGACCCAACAAAGTATATATATTCTTGATCAGCGTAAAATTCTAAGTCGATTTATCGATGTCTGTCTGTCTGTCCGTCTGTATGCCTGTTGTAATCACGCTATCTTTCGAATGAATTGAGATAGAAGGCTAAACTTTTGCACACATGTTTATTTTTCCAGTAGGCAGGTTAAGTTCGTAAATGGGCTATGTAGGTCCACGTTTTCATTTAGCCCTCATATAACAGTACCTCCCGATATTCGGTATTTGGATGATTTTAGCGACATTATTCACCGGAATTGTTTCAAATTTGGGATTTGAAGTTTGTAATGGATACTACACCCTAAGACAGAAAATTGTCTGTGCACGTCCACGTCTTCGTATAGCCCCCATATACCGATACTTTCCAATATTCGGTATTTTGATGATTTTAGCGTCATTATGCACCAGAATTGTTTCAAAGTACGTATTTAGAGTTCGGTATGGGAACTACAATCTGTGACAAAAAATTGTCTTTGCAGGTCCTGGTCTTGGTATAGGCCCCATATATCAGTACCTTCCTATATTCGGTATTTTGACGATTTTAGGTACAATACCCATCGAAAATGTTTGAGAGGTTGTATTTGAACTTCGTAATGGATGCTACAGCCTGTGACAGAAAATTGTCTAGGCAGGTCCAGGTCTTCGCACAGCTCCGATATAACGGTATATACGACATTTTGATAATTTTAGCTACATTATTCACCGTTTATTTCAAGTTTCGAATTTCAATACGGTAATGGCTTATGACAAACAATGCCTATGTAGGTCCACGTCGTATAGAACCCAATATAACGGCTATATTTGGTATTTTTAAAATTTTAACAGAATTTTTTAAGGATTTTATTATTTGAAAATTTCCAAATTCGTTCCAAATGGTAGAGGGTATTCAAAGTACGGTCCGGCCGAACTTACTGCTTTTTAAGTTGTAATACTTTATATTGGAATGAGCTAGAAATCTGAAATTTGTAATGAGAATGGAAATTGGTACGAAAAGTGTACAAAAAGTACTAAAATGTAATACTTTATATTGAAGAAATAAAATGAGGTAGAATTCTGAAATTCGGAATGGGATCCGAAGATGGTTATGAGGTGTTGTAAAATGATACCATTTTGTATTATGTGAAAGGATTTGGACTTGAAATTTGGTATGAAAATCAAGGTTAAACATGATTTTGGAAATGTTGTACTAAGTGTGCGAACTGTACTAAATTTGGAACAGTTTGGTTAAGGTTGAACGAATTTAGCTGATATTTTGTATTGGAGTTCCTGTTGTTGGTAGATTTGTGATAGAGAGGTCGTTCTGGAAATGTGTAGTACAAGTGCACGAAAAGTACTAAATAGTACTATATTTGGGAACATTTTGTATTGGGCTAACATATAATGCCTGGAATCGGAAATTCAGGTCGCTGTTCATGTCTATAATCGACATAGTGAGGTGTTTTCGGAAACATGTACTATAACTATACGAAAAGTACTAAATGGTACTATATTTGGTATTGAGCGAAAGGATCGAGATAAAATTCTGAAATCTGATGTATAGATTACTGATTGTACCTGTGTTTGAGATTTGGAGTTGGGTTTGGAAATGTTGGGATAGAGACGAAATTCTGAAATTTTATATTGAGGTCACAGTTGGTGTCTGGGGTGAACCGAATGATGTTGTTTTGGTCATCGTAGTGAAAAGTATGGTAATAAATTTGGGATTGAGTTTTTGGGTAGAACTGGAATAATGAAATTTTATATGGAGGCACAGTTGGTATAAAGGAGATGGAGGTGGATTTGGGAACGCGTGCTAAAATTGTTCGAAAAGTACTTTTGCTATGGATAGAGTTTGAATCCTGAAATTCGACTGTTGGTTTTTAGGATTTAAATATGATGGCGGACAATTTTTATTATGAAACGACGTTAAAATAGTTTGGCCAGAAATATTGGATGTATTATTAAAGTTCATATATTTCAATATCTTTACTTATATAACAACTAGTTAGAATACCAAAATATTGCAGCCATTCCGCAACATGGACGAATATTTACAATTTTTGGCGTTGATTGGTTTTTTTCCAGTTTTTTCCAGAAAAGTGTCTAAAACTTCGCATTTTGGATAACAAGTTTTTTTGAGAAAATTTAAAAAAAAAATTATTGAAGAATTATTGAAGTTTTCAGTGAAAACGTATTTAAAATATATTTAAAAGTTTCCACACACCTCTCAATACCAAATTCTCAAAACAAATCTCCTCCTTCCAAAACTCTTCCAACGTATGTTAGGTTAATCTATCTCACACATACATTGACTACAAGTTTTTTTGTTTGCTGGGCCACCTCTCACTCAGCTCCACTGTTGGCCACCTAGCCAGGCAAACATCGAGATAACTAAAATCGAATTTATATTCACAACACGAGTTAGTCATTGTCAAACAACAAACAAACAGACTGACAACTTGAAACTAAAACTAAACGTTGTTATTGTTGTTGTGGTCGCTGTTTTTGTAAGCCACCAGCGAGCAGTGGCCACTGGTGGTCAACCGCTTATGTTTCAATTGAGAAGCAGTTAGTAATTTGCTAAAATTCAACAATAACGGTTCTCGCTTGAAAACAGAAAATACATTTTCGAATAACATTTACCTTGTTCTGCATCTTAATTTATATTCTTTGGTTTCGATTTCTCTACCCTAGCCGGCCAATGCTGGTGGTAATGATACCCAACTTTTATTGAAATCTTCACCGAATATTTTGGAAAATTTTCCCTACGAGGATTTCAAATTGAAATTGGATCGCTCGCAGCCGAAACGAATGACGTCACCACCAATACGCCACCAACAGACGACCTCACGTTCAAAGTCACCGCTGTTTTGTGACACTCTCGAACGTCATGCCTTCATGCAAAATGTCATTAACACGAAATCGAATACGCGCAGCAACTATGATGTCCGCTATTCATCGCCCAGCCAAAAGGAGGCCACTGTGCGCCGTAGTTTGGAAGAGATTTCCAAAGACATCAAGGAAATTGAAGATTTTCTAACGGTAACGGAACAGGTGCTGAAGCAGGAACGTGAATTGGATATGCAAATGGAATTGGAACAGAAAAAGAAGCAAGGCAGCAAGGATGGTAGTCCCAACAAGGAGAACAAATCTCCATCGCCCACGGGCAATCGTTCGCGACGTAACTCCACCAAATCGGTGACCTACAAAATCAATTCATTTCGCAATCGCAAAAAGAAAAACGGCTCCCCGAGATTCCTAAATTCGCGTTTGTATTTTCGCAATGGCCGTATTGGCTGTTTGGAAGCCGAAAATGCCACATCCAATGTGGAGAGTACCCATGCCCTGGTAAAACATATTCTAAAATATGAAAATGAAAAGCCCCTGGTAAGCCCGGAAAGTGTCAGGAGGGTGTTGAGTGCTGGACCCAGTGATTCACCTCCCATGACAGAGTCCAGGACACCAAGAAAACTGTCCGGCTTAAATGCCAATCATACCACCTTACCCGGCCAAGTTTCAGAGAATCCAAATGGACGCGAGGAGTCCTTTGAAATGCAACCTCTGCAGGATGTCATTTCGAAGGCAGCTGGTAAGGTTCTGCTAGATCATGGAGACTCGGGGGTACACAACTCGCCACAAACTGAAAGTTTTGGTTCCAACAGTCAACCCTTGGTGGATGAAGATGAACAGGATGTTCAGATATGCTATGACGAACTACCGGAATTGCCCAATGAGGAACACAATATGGGCGCTCTAATGGATAGTGAAATGGACGTAAATGATTGCGAGATACCGGCCCATGTGATAATTAATCGGCTCTCAAGTGCCGATAGCTTGGATTCAGAGGGTCAACAATTTTTACGGGATCAGGTGAGGCATTTGGTGCGACGTTTTACGGCTAGAGCCAATAAGATGAAGACACGTCTCGAAATGCCACCCACACCGAGTAGCAGTGCCTCATCCCCCTCACCGCCACCACCAGCCATCAACTCGAAGCCAAACTTCGCATTGGCCTCCTCCAAGGGAAATGAGCCGCCAGTGAAAAAGAATCCAACACCTCAGCAAACCCCTAACAAAAAACCTCTCTTTGTGGCTGACACACCACGTTCTAATGTCTGGCTTTGTTCCAGTCTTTGCAGCACCGATGATCAGAAGACACTTGATCCCCAGGGAACCCTGTACATTTCATGGCTTTGTGTCGTCTCAATTTCATTTCTTTACAATGCCTGGGTCATTCCGTTACGTTCCACGTTTCCCTTTCAAACACCGGAGAATACCAACACTTGGCTGATTTTGGACTTCTGCGCCGACATTGTCTATTTGGTGGATGTTGTGTTCTTCAAACATCGCATAATGTATCTCTTCGAGGGTTTTTGGGTTAAGGATAAAAATCTAACGCGAAAGAATTACATGAGGAAGTTGCAGTTTAAGGTATGTAGGAGGTGGGGGTAGTGAAATGAGGCATTTAATTATTTTCTGTGTATTTACAGTTGGATCTGTTGGCCCTGTTGCCTCTGGAGTTGTTGTATTTCAAATATGGAACGAAGGCGGTTTATTTGCGGTTCCCACGTTTTCTCAAGATTCAGAGTTTCTGGGAGTTCTTTAAGCTGTTGGATCGTGTTATTTCATCGCCACACATTGTAAGTTTTTATACGCTCCACCATAGTATGGAGAGTATATTAAGTTTAGTAACACATCGACATATACCTTTAAGACCCTACCAAGTATATATTCGTGATCGGCATAAAATTCTATGTCGATTTGACGCTCCGTCGGTCCGTATGTCATTCCTTATGTGGAAATCACATAAGCTTCCGAACAAATTGAAGTATGTGGATAAAATTTCGTATTTGAAGTTCGTAATGTATACTTTAAGCGATGCGATGCTTATTTCGCATTTGATAAGACCCAAATTTTGACCCTTTGTGTGGGAGAGGCATGGTGCACTCGCACCTGATTTAAATAATGGGATTTGCAAAGTTTGTTCAAAATTTTTATACGTTAAATTATTTTTTGTGAAAAATTCGACCTTATATGGGGAAGGTACGAGTAGGAGTGGACCGATATAGGCCATCTTCGAACTCAATCTAAGTTTGACAATAATATGAGGATGTACCAGGTTTGGATCACATCGGATACTACCTTTGAGAGTTATAGTGCTCTAGTGCAGCCAGACAGACGGGCGGACGGACCGAGACCTCTAGATCGGCTCTAAACGTCCTTAAATCTGGCTCGAAGAGACCTAGGGTCTAAAACCGTTATTTCGATGGGGCACGTTTTGACCGTATCAAATTTTATACCCTCTGTAGCCATATGTCTGACTCCCTTTTTATTAATGTTCATCATTCCAATCCCCTAGGTCCGCATAGCCAAGACATTGTTGTATATGCTCTACATGATTCACTTGACGGCGACATTTTATTATGCCTACAGCGTTTATGAGGGTAAGTTTGTAACATTCACGCCCTAACTTGGCTATAACATCCAATATCACACAGGTCTGGGAACCAATCGCTGGGTATTCAATGGGAAAGGACATCCGTATGTTCGCTGTTTCGCTTTTGCCACAAAAACTGCAACGTCTATTGGTAAGTCATCAGATGTCCTTAAATTAAAACTTTCATTAAAAACTCCTCTTCCCTTTAGGTAAAAACCCCAAACCCGAACATGAGGGGGAATATCTGTTCATGACCGCTGCCTGGCTAATGGGTGTCTTTGTGTTTGCCTTGCTCATTGGTCAGATAAGAGACATCATTTCGACAGCAACCAGAACCAAAAACGAATACCGGCAACTGGAAGATGAAACCTTGGAGTATATGAGACGTTTGAATCTACCTCAGGAAGTACAGAAAAGAGTCAAGATGTGGTTTAAATTCACCTGGGATCAACAGCGTACCCTAGACGAGTCGAATATTTTGGATTCTCTACCCATTAATTTGAAAACCGATATAGCCATTTCGGTTCACATACAAACTTTGTCCAAGGTGCAACTTTTTGCCGACTGTGAAGAAGCCCTGTTGCGTGATTTGGTATTGAAACTGAGAGCTGTAACCTTCCTACCCGGTGATTATGTGTGTCGCAAGGGCGAAGTGGGCAGGGAGATGTACATCATTAAATTGGGTCAGGTCCAGGTGATGGGAGGGCCCAACAATGACACCGTTTTGGCTACACTTTACGAAGGCTCAGTATTTGGCGAGATAAGTTTGCTGGGCATCAATGGAGCCGATCGTCGTACAGCCGATGTGAGATCGAAGGGTTATGCAAATCTCTTTGTTCTCTCAAAATCTGATTTGAACGAAGTCATTGCCTACTACCCCAATGCCCAATCCATTCTGAAGAAGCGTGCTCGAGCTCTAATGCGTAAGAATGCGGCACGTGAGAAAGAGGAGAGGGCTCGCAGTGCTGAGCAGGCTGATGTGGTTATTGGAAATCCGAAAACACCAGAAAATCCTCCAAAACTTTTGCAAACCGTTATACAAGCATTACCCTACGAATCGCCTGCTGTTATGTTGATAACTCGAGGCTCGAAACGCATGCGCAAAAAGCGACATTCCGTAAAAATGGAAACAATCGAAGATCGTGAAGTGGAAGAAATCAATGAGGGCCAAAATCAAATTAAAGCCCGTGACAGTTTTATGTTGCCTCGTGACTCGAAGTCCTATTCGCCGGATTTGTTATCTTCAATCCAAAGGGAATTGGAAAGTAAACATCAATTCATTAATTTAACAGATTCCGAAAAGGCCCTCATCATATCCACCTCGAGCAATGATTCTGTACGGGTAGAGGATATTGAAGAGTATGGAAAGTGAAGAGAGAGAAATAGTATATAAAGGATAGAGAAGTTATTAATGTTTACATTTTAATAGTATTAATCATGTTAATTGCCAAACACTATTATTCAAAATAAATGTGCTTTTAATGTTTTAAACAAAAAAACATAATGAAAATGAGAGGATTCGAATTTTAAAAATAGATCGGCTTAATTAATTGCTGGAATTTAGTAAATCCTCTATATTGGATATAAAGCGTTGGACCCGGACGGAAACTCAATGGTATTGTTCAAACACCTGGATACGCCGTGAGTTGAGTAGCTGACAAAATTTCTCAAAATGTCACACTGCTCCCGAAGCCTCGAAAATGTAACGGGATTGTCCCGCTACTGAAGCTACGTAACGATACCGGCAAAGGCATCGTACAGGCTAAATTTCCTTTTTTCGCCCGTAGCAAAGTACTAAAATGCACTAAAAAACAAGTAAAAAAGTATCGGTCGGTTTTGCCGACAGGAATTCGTGTCGGACCTAAATAAATATGATATAAAGATTGCGACGTGCTAGGTTTAGACTGCCTTGTGTTAATGGAAATTTTGGGATGTACCCAGCTTTGAATAGAATCGGATGTCAATTTTGCTTTTTATGAGCTTCCCCTTTTTGTGGGGGAGGTACCAGAAGGAGTGGACCGATATATGCCATCTTAACACCAGATATTGGGACAATCAGATCTTTTAAGACAATTTTGTAAGACTTAAAATTATTCAAAATTTTACCCTTTGTGGGGGAGGTATTTGATAGAGTGGACCGATATTATCCATTTTTGTACCTGACCTAAAACTGATGACAATCTTTCTGTGCAGAATTTTTTTTTTTAATTTTTGACCTTGTGTGGGGAAGATACCATAAGTAGTGGATCGATATAGTCCACCTTAACACCAGACCTTGGGTTACACATATTTTATGAAAGTTGTAATTATTAAAAGTTTTGACCATTTATGGGGGAAGTACTCAATGGAGTGGACCATATTGTACATTTTCACACCCCAACTACTACTGACGCAAATATTAGAATTTGCAAAGTTGGAGCAAAATCGGATTATCCGTTCTCTTTTTGTGCAAAAAATATATTTTTTGAAAATTTCGATCTTTTGTGGGGGAGGTACCAGAAGGAGTGGACCGATATTTGACAAAAATATTACGATGTACCAAGATTGGACCAAAACGGATACTCCCTTCGAGAGTTATCGTGCGCACCAGCCAGACAGACAGACGGTCGGACGGACATCGCTAGATCGACTTCAAATGTTCTGAAACGGATTTGGTCCAAGGAGACCTAAGGTCTAAAACCATTATTTCGACCGTATCAAATGATATATACCCTCTGTAGCCATATGGCTGAGGGTATAATTAATAATTTGTGTTCAACAAAAGGAGTGAGCTAGAATTTTAAAATTTGGAATGGGTGTCACTAATGGAGTGAAGAACCAAAGGTTTTTGGAAATTCAATATTTAAGGTTGCGAAAAGTTCTAAAATGTAACCATTCCGTATTATGTGAATGGATACAGCTAAAAACTTTAAATTTGGTATGAAAATCAAGGTTGAAACGTAAGTTTTATATATGAAGGTGGTTGTGGAAATGTATACTAAAATTGTACGAAAAGTACAGAAAGGTACTAAATTGAGAATAGCTTGGGCGAACGGATGAAGTTAGAATTTTAAAGTTTTGTATTGGGGTCCCTTCTGCTGGTAGGCTTGTACAAGTACAAAAAAAGTACTAAATGGTACCATATTTGGTACAATTTCGTATTGGGTGAACAGATAGCGCATAAAATCTTAAATTTGGTATTAGGTTAGCTATTTATGTGTACCTTGGACATATGTAGGTAGTTTTAGAAATATCTACTATAATTGTACGAAAAATACTGAATGGTAGCATATTTTGTATTCGGTGAAGGGATAGAGGTAACATTCTGAAATTTGACTTTTAAATTACAGATGGTAACTGTGTTTAAGATTTGGTGGCGGTTTGAAAATGCGTCCTATATTTGTATGAAAAGTACGAAATGGTACTAAATTTAGTATTGAGTAAAGGAATTGGGCTGGAATCCTCAAATTTGATATTAAGGTCTCTGTTGATATCTGCCATTGAGATATGGAGGTGATTTTGGAAATGGGCACTATAATTGTCAGAAAAGTACTAAATGTCTCTAAATTTGGTACTGGGTAAGGGGATAGAGATAAAATTGATATTGAGGTCTCTGTTAATATCTGGTATTGAGATATGGCGGTGTTTTTGGAAATTGGCACTATAATTGTTCGAAAAGTACTTAATAATATTGGTACTGGGTGAAGGAAAGGAGATAAAATTATAAAAATAGATGTTAAGATTACTGATGTATCAGAGTTTGAGATTTGGCAGCGGTTTGAAAACGCGAAATGGTACTAAATTACGTATTGGGGGAGGGGAATCACGAAATTTGTTATTGAGTTCTCCGTCGGTATCTGGAATCGAGATATTCGGTCTTGAATGGATTGAGATATGGAGGTGGTTTTAGAAATTTGATTTTGGAGTCACAGTAGGTTTCTATGGTTTATATATGGAGAAGTTGGTCAAGGTTTTGGACAGAAAAATTGGATGTGGGTCGATTGTGCATTGGTTTTACTAATATTCTCCTCGGTAAACTTCACAATGGAAGATTTTGAAGACTTTTAATGTAAAAGGTAAACAATTTCCTATTATTCTTTCAGAAAAATAAAACCTTGAATAATATACATCAAGGGATAGTCTTAAATTTGTGCACGATATATGACGTTTTGATAAAAAAAATGTTGTCAAACCGAACTTATTGTGCATTTTGAGTACTAATATGGCCTAATACGAAATGTTGGAACAAATCTAAAATTTTTAAGGTGTACATTTCGCTGACGAAGTAGCGAAGTACATGCATGACTATATGTATCGATGCCAGTTGTACGTGGAATTTTGGAATAAAAATCCCAAACCCCGTTGAGTGAAGGAGTGAAATTATATCGCATAAGCGTCGACAGACCTGTACAAAACCTTATCCTACCACAGATCTAATTGATTTAAAGGAGTTTGGATCATCCTTGCTCACAATATATGCATTAGTAGTGGTTAGAGACTCCCTCACCCTGCAAAATCAATGGTAAATGAGAATGATGAGAGAATACGTGTGCTTTGTTCATACTTTTTCGTTCGACGCTGTCCATAGCTGGTTTAGAGTTTTGGACTGGTGAGCGAGCTTTCGTTGTTGTGCAGGGCTTATATTAGCAGAGGTTGTTTTTATGCAGGAATGATTAAAGAGATTTCAATTTTTTTTTGTGGTTGTCTCAACTTTATTAAATAAAAAATAAAAAGGGGATAGAGATAAAATTAATATTGAGGTCTCTGTTGATATCTGGTATTGAAGTATTTTTAATTATTATTATAATATTTAATTTAAATAATTTTTCAGAATACCTACCATTCAACACCACATTTTTAATAAAATACTATAAAGGGTTAGTTGTTAACTAAACTAAAATGTTTATTATAAATAGCATTGCATGAGAAACCAAGAATGTGAACTGCAAATGAGTGCTTGATACATATGTGGACGAAATTATATAATAATAATAAAAATATTTATTTTTTAAAAATAAATTTTACAAATAGTTTTAATATTTTAATATTTCAGGTGCTCATTCATATCCTGTATTATTTTTTCAAATTAAAAATAAAATATTTAAATTATTTATATCTACAGCTATGACAACAAATGTTGCTGCTTTCATTTACAGGGTTTAGATTTAGTGCCTAAATTTTTGTTTGTTATATCTTTTTTGTTTATAAATTTTGTTTTACGTTTTTGTTTTTAATTTTAGGTATAATACAATAAAATATTTATATTATACATTTAAAGCTCATTCAACATTAAGTCTGACATTTAATCGAATTAAACAAAATACAATTCCTGGAATTTTTGTAGATTTTATTTTTTCTGAATATAAATAATTAATATTTTTTTATTTTAATTTTTGGATTTGCTTTAAAATCATACGGGAATTTGAAAATATCACGGATTTAAATTCATTACTTCAAAGACGGATTTTGGAGAAAATTGTAATGAAAATTAAATGTTTATTTTATGATTGGCTTAAATAAATACGAAGAGGTGTTTTGAAAACAGCCTGTTTTAAATGTTTGTTTTTATGTAGGTATATATTTTACTAGAGTGTTTTTTGTTGTTATTTTATACAAATATTAATATATTATTTAATAATATACGAATATAAAGTTTACGTTTTATTCAAGTGTTATATATTCAGTTGCTTATAGTTTGATCCATTTAATAAATATATTTTTGTTAGGAGGCTACAATAAATGTTCACATTTTACTCTGCTGTGATATACAATAGCAAGCGATGTCACAATAAGGGCGTCTGGCGATGACGGCATCAATCATTTAGAATGCAATAATTTAGAATAATTAATCTTTGTATGATTCTTTGAAATTAAATAAAAGATTTTGAATTCAAATGAATTTTGAAAATTGAAAATTAATTTTTTTAATTTAGGTCTACTTATTTGAAATTATAAAGACAAAACTCATTTATTTTTAATTATATTGGAGAATTCTTAATATAAATAAATAACTCCAATAAAAGCCGTCATGCCTATCAAACATTGATTATTTATATTTTTTTTATTAAAACGTTACTCTGATTTTAAAATATGTATGTATGTAAATAAATTGATTGAAAACGGTTCTTAATTTTTTTATTCTTTTTATCATTGATTACCGTGGCTTTTATTAAATCGTTTCCGGAAAAAAAAGCGCATCGCATTCAAAAAGCTATTGAGTTGAAAATCTTCGGCTTTTCTTAATTGTAAAATACACGTTCGGTTTTAAATGGACAACGCCGAGTTAAACGTTTTTACGGTTTAAATGTTGCCTTCGAGGAAATAACCATAAAAAATCTGCGGTGTTTCTATTTATTTCAAAGTTTCTTTTTGTTATGTTTTATAAATCGTAAACATTTGCTATTTATTATTTTATGTGTTATGTATATACGTATGTCTGTGAATCGGAGTGGTATATGTGATCTATATTTTTGGTTAATATTATTTTTGTTTTTCTTTATTTTTATTTTCTTGCTAGGAATACTGTTTAAACATTTGTCGAACTGGGACGCATATAATTTGTATGGGCGTAGGAACGCAACAAACGATTGTAGGGATACTGTGCTGCCGGCCAGAGTTCAGGTTTCTCAGTTAGGGTATCCGACAAGGCTTGCAATAAAACATCTGTAAATTGAGTATTTCTGTCAATGAAAAATTATCAGAATTATGAAAAATGCACTTACGTATAACTTTTTGCTCCAAATCTAAGGGTATGACACCCAATTCATGTTCACGTTCAAAGAAATCCATTAACTTTTTGATTTCTCGCTGTGCCTCATCGCCATGTGTTAGGGATTCAGTAAACATTATCTGCAATATCATGAATTAAAAAATATCTTTAATTAATGTGTTCAATATATTTGGATATTCGGGAAATTTGTATGCCTAGTCCACATAACGGTTGTGCTCACAGCATGCAGTTTGTGTTTCCAGCATGTAGGAAACGTTCTAGCAAAGAAATGCCCTTTTAGATCCAAGTTTGATTATAATCCCCAAATAACGGTACATCCAGGTATAACTGTTTTACAGCATTTTTCAACTAGGTTTTTTAATGTTTGCGAGTTTGATCCAAAAGGTAAAGGATAATAAGTTCATTCCGAACGATTTAATCTTATTTTTAATATATTCTATAGAAATATAATTTCATAATTTTTATAAATATGTACTCTACCATTACTTGGCTCATTCTCTCTCTCTCTCTCTCTCTCTCTGTCATTTCTAGTGGTGATTCGCGCTTTCTCTCTCTTACTCACTCACACACACACACCATTATTTCTACATTTATGAACTGAGTTCATAAAATCCAATTATACGATATTATCCAGTGCCAGCAATTACGTCAGCGAAAAGTCCACCTTAAAATTTTAGATTCGTTCCAACAATTCGCCTTAGGCATTTTATACCCTTCACCACACATAGTATGAAGGGTATATCAAGCTCGTTATTCCGTTTGTAACTCATTGAAATAAAAATTTTAGACCTAGCAAAGTATGTACAAGGTAGGATGAAAAAAAACTGCAACCAACTTCAGACTGTTGTCATTTCCAAGTCACTCGTCCGACAGCTGTTAAAATTATTCCAGTGACAGCTCATTATATTGTTTACAAGCGTGCAAAAGCATTTTGGTGAGGATTTTCCACAAAAAAAGTCATTCGTGATGGAATTCAAGCGTGATAGTGTGATTTTTTATATTTGGCTGGGAAACCACAAATAGCTTTAGTTAGAGCACTCCAGCATTAAAATGTGAATAAATCTTGTGTGTCTCGTACCATCGCTCGTTATTGTGATACTGGCAGCGTAGCCCGACGTCATGGAAGTGGACGGAAGAAAACAGCAACATCAGCAGAAATGGTTCGAAAGCTAACGAAGCGACTTGATCGAAACCGGTATCGCATATCGTAATATTCCATTCCGCAAACATTGAAAAATGTGCTCGGGGTAAAGCCATTGATATTCCAAAAAGAGCAAGAACTTACACCGCAATAGAGAGAAAATAGACTCAAAAGAACTAAAGAGTTGCTTCGCTTGGTCGAAAGAGGTGAACTGCCGAATTTGGTTTTCTCCGATGAGAAAACATTCGTTGCCCAGCAGTTTTTAAACAAAGAAAATGATCGTGTTTACGTGCTAAAGAGCCACCAGAACTCAAGCGCCGGCCATGGTAGTGGTGGGGTGCGACCGTGGCAAAATAAATGCCGAATATTATCTCTTTAAATACTCTGGAGGATATATTAAAGCCTTGGGCACGCAAGCATTTTGGATGCAGACCTTGGACATTCCAACTTGACTCAGCACCATCGAACTCAAGAATGGTTACAAAATGAAGTTCCCCGCTTCATTTCCAGCCCACAATGGCTACCAAAATCTCCGGATACCAATCCGTTGGACTATTCTTTCTGGAGTGTTTTATAAAACAAGATTGGCACTAGAATATACCAAAGTGTCGATCACCTCAAGAAAGCGCTAAGCCGGGAATGAGCCAAAATACCACTGAACAACATTTCGGCAGGGTGTGACGGTTTCATTGGCCGTTTGAAGGCCATAATTCATGCCAAAGATGACCAAAATCGAGCAAATCTAAACTTATTCTAAAATTTGATGCTATTTCCGACATTTTTTGATTTCATTCAAATTTAAAAAAATTTAAAAATTATGGCGTTAAACTTTGTTGCATTTTTTTTTTTTTTTGTCTCACCCTGTAGGTTGAAAATATTGTATACCCCCATATAATAGTATCCCTCAATATTCGGTATTTCATGATTTCAGGCAAATTTTTTAATGGAATTTTATCTACCAAATGGTGGAGGTTATGAAAAATTTGGCCCCGTCAAACTTAGCTACTTTTTTACTTATTTCTTTACTCACCATTCAATATAAACCCCAACTTACCCTTGCCAATTTGTAAATTATTTCCTCCAAATTATATTCCTTGTGATCACAGTCGGCAATTTTAGGACGTCGTGTTTCATTTTCATCTTCACTTGTATCTGAAAAAATAAATTCTTTGAATATACCACAGAATATGTCAACATGGTAAACCCCTCCCACCTACCTTGACTTGCTTGATTGCCTTGATTCATGGCTTGCAGTTTATGCCAAAGTGCAATATTATCGAGGGCTTTGGCCAAATTCAGATTTTCGGGTTCTTCAAGATTTTGTTCGAAATTCAAATATTGTAAATCAGGCTTAGGTGTTGTTGTTGTAGTAGTCGTGGTGCTGGTAGTTGTAGTAGTCGTAGTGGACGGTTTAGTTATAAAGCTCTTCTGCAAAAAACAAAATAAAGGCAACTTTAAAATCACATACTGTGGAAGGAAAAAATAAATAAAACTCACTTTGACAGTATTGTGATGGATCTCCTCGGGGAAGATACGATTCGCATAGGATTTCTGTAAATATTCAATACCCACTCGTATTTCATGCAAAAATTTCAAAGCATCTTCACGGCTCATCTAGCAAAATAGTGGGACAAGCGATCCTTGTTAACAACTACAATTCTCTGAAGGGGGCAACTAGTCGTATTAGCATCATACTCACCATATCCTGTTGGATTAGCTCCTCCACAGCTTTTGCCACCCCAGCCTCATCGCCAGTCCAGAAAACATATTGGGCCATATCAAAGGAGGAATATTGGCCATTTCCATGCTTCAGTAGGCTTTCGGCCGTCTAAATCAAAAGAAAAAAATTCGTTATTTAATATATTGCGCCATTAAAGCTTTCAATTTAACGAGAACATTAAAAAAACAGAACGAACAAAGCTTTCGTATTTGAAGTGCAAACAATTTTGTTGCTAATAACTGCCGATTGTTAACTTTTTTTTTGATTTTGATTTTGGTGGATGCATTGCTAACTAAAGGCGTTTAAGAAACGGAACAGAAACAAAGGTCCTCTATTTAAATATTTTGTTGTTGGTGTTGGGGATTTTTTTTTTCTTTTGTGGGAGAAACTCTAACGCTATTTGAATGGAAGCATAAAAACCTTGGGAGTCATATGGGTTACAGAACGCCGAGAGGTGGACTTGCGTAAGGCTGATTCATCCTCGAGAACCAAATCACCGATCACTTGGCGTTCGGGCTCTTCGTCTCTCCTGGGTTTCTTTGTTGTGCGATACGGTCTGTAGGTGTAAACCTGGGTAGGAGCTTGAGTTGTTGCAATTGTCACAGGCACAGTGGGTACCTCTGGAGGGGCTTCAGTCACTTCGATTTCGGACGGTTGATTAACTGTTTCACCATCATCTGAGGTTTCAGGTGCCGGTTCTGGTGCTTGTTCAGCATTTTCTACATTCTCTACGATATCTTGATTTTCTACTGCCGGTTCGGCAGGCTCACCAGGCTCTGCTGAGACATCAGAGTCGTTATCACTTTCGTCACTGTCATCCTGGGCTGGTACTTCCGGTGCTGGAGGTGGTGGTGGTGCAACTGTTGTTGTCGTTGTCGTGGTAGACTTCATTGTGGTGGCAGCCGGTGCGGAAGTTGTTGTTGTTGTATTCGGAAGTACAGGATTTTGTCCATAAACAAGACGTGCGGCACCGTACATACCCAGACGGCACTAGGGAACAGTTGATTTTATTAATTCATTTAGCAGAGAACTCAGATGGAAATCTATCACTCCAAGGATTTAATTTTTATAGCATTTTAAATAAGCCTGACCAGATTTAAAAAACAGAACATTTAACGTATATCAATCTGTCTTACATGGGCTTATCAATTGTTTGCCTATATTTTCAGAATTGTCGGTAAAAATTCCGGATCTGTTTCAAATTTCGTATTTGAAGGTTATAATGGGTACTACAGCCTATGACAGAAAACTGTCTATGTAGGTCCAGATCTTTGTATAGCCCCTAAATGTCAGTACCTGAAATTTTCTATGAATATGCACTCCGAAAAAACTCGTTCGAATTTGTACATAGAGTGAAATTCACTCGAATTGGACCAAGTGTTCGAGTTAGAAATCGCTCAAATACGAGCAGATTTTACTCTAGTCGAGCACGCATTTACTTTTTGCCATACCGTTCCTTCATTGCTATGTATGTGTTATATCACCCCTCTTCACGCCTCTTCCTCTCTTCACTCCTCTCCCTCTTTTTACTCCTCTTCTCCCATATCTCCCATATTCCCCCTCTATCCTCCAGCACACATATACGCGCACACATATCAGTATACAAAATATACTTTTCCGCTCGATTTCACTCTTACAAGAAAACTCTCGCTCTATTTCGAGCGATTCGGTTCCCACTGGAATTTTTCATATACGAGTTAAAAATGTTGTATTTTATCAAAAATAAAAAATGAACAAAAAAGGGAGAATTACCCATTTTGCAATATTTTATTAACAATGTTTTTAAATGCCGATTTATTGTAGCAATAAAAAAGGAAAAGGGTTGCTAGTGATTGCGAAAAGGAGCAAAAATCTGTTAAAATGTCTCTCTCGAATCTTTCAGCTCGTAACATGAATCAACGCGTGTGTTATGTTTACCCCTTTAGTACCATTGAAGTACGAATGACAAAAAATACAGTATTATCTTTTCCCTTCACACATTCCTAACCAAAATTTCCGCCAATAGTTCATCACTTTATTTTTTTTTTTTAAATTAAACTCCTTTGAATTTTGTTTAACATTTCGAAACTAAAAAATCCATCTAATGACACGAAAATTGGTCTGTTCCAGAACTGCAACAATGTAAAAGTTTTTACTACCATAACAGATTTTCCCTTTAGGATATTGAAACTAGTAGACTCTTGCAGGTTCTGGAACACAACAAATTTATTAGTGATTTTTATGTAAAGTATTTAACCGATTTTTTATAGTTTCCTTACAACAATTTACAAACAAATTTTTAAATTTAAATTACAGTAACATCTTTTAATCTTACCTTGGCTTTGGGTTTCTCTCCATTTCCATCGGTTTTGCCGCCATCGTTATTTTGTAGAGTTGGTGGTCGGTGGCCACCAAATGACTTTATTTGCTCGCCACCATTATTGCCAGACTCTGGTGGTGTTTCACCGGCACTTTCGGCCGGGACCTGGGGACCCTGAGTACTTTGGAGCTGTGGTGTTGCCGCTTCCAATTGTTGTTCCAACCCTGGCAGAGTTTCATCCGCCATTATCAGTGGTTGAGGTTCTTCGGCCATTAATGTTTCCGAATTCTGTTGATGGCTATAACTAAGAGGTTCCTCAGGATGTACCTCCCGCAGTTGTTCCAATTCTAAGACATCATCGTCAGTCTGAAACGTGGATGTGGGTGTGTAAACATTACATACTCTTAAATTCGTATGAGCATAAGTGTATCAATGCTTACCTGTGGGAAACCCATATTTTTATTTTGCAACCCCAATTCATTGTCCATTGATCCTGTGGGTACAAGGTATAACAAGAAGAAAAAAAAATAAATCATGACATAATTAAATTACTGGCTTGAAAGCATTTTCAATATTAAATTTGCCAAAAAGACGGATATTGAATTATCGACAAAAAATAAACGCTGTCAATATATTGTCAACGATGGCAGCTGTGTCCCGTAGCAGTGACACTCAAAAAAATATGTTAGTTATAAAGAGGACGATTTTTGAATTGTAGTCACTACATTCCCATTGCGATTTGTATTAGTTTTTGACTTGCGTTATGATTATTCAAACTGTTGACCCTTTATGAGGGCGGTTCCAAAAGAGTAGGCCAATATTAACTATTTTCATATCTGATATAAATATTACATTGTGACAGATTTGAAAGGTATCGAATATTTCTTTTACTTTATATGAGATATGTGATAATCTTTAGAAAATGTTTAAATTAGAGTGAGGAACCAGTTAAGGTGGACTGAAGTATTCCACTTCATCTAATATTGATAAAAATGTTTGGATGTGCAAAATTTGAACAAAATCACAATTATAACCAATTGTTTGGGAAGTTTTTTATTATAATTTTAAGCTTTTGTGGGGGAGGTACGAAAAGGGATTTACATCAGTTCTTTGATTGAGAAAAAAAATGTGTATATATACCAAGTTTGAAAAAATCCCCGATTTGTTATGAGAGATATAAGTGTTGTAAATTGTGAACCTTTGTGGAAGAGGTACCAGAAGGGGTAGGCCGATATTTTTCATCTTCACGCCAGATCTTGTGTTAGCAAAAATATTTGGATGTGTGAAATTTGAGTGGAGTTGGATGCTTATTTCGCTTTCTTGGAGCGTTTTGTTTTTCAAAAACTTGAACCTTATGTGCGGGAGGTACCAGATGAAGCAGACCGATATATGTCATTTTCACACCAGGTGTTTTGTTAACAGAAATATTGAGATATGCTGCGTATGAAAGTAATCGACTGCTTATTTCGCATTTTATTCGAATTACAATTATTCAAAAATGTTGACCTGTTGTGGGGGAGGTACCAGAAGGAATGGCCCGATCTGTACCATCTTCAAAACAGATCTTGTGATAATGGAAATATTGAGATGTTGCACGTCTGAATGGAATCGCAAGATAATTTCGCATTTTATGAGCTTCATGGATATTCAAAATTTTGACACTTTGTGGGGCAGGTACAAGAAGAAGTGGGCCGATATATTTCATCTTTTATAAGTGTTATAATTATTCAACATTTTAACCACTTATGGGGGAGGTACTTGATGGAGTGGACCGACATATTTCTTGTTTTGTGTTGATGAAAATATTGGAATGTGCTGAGTTCAAAAATAAGCGGATACTCATTTTGCGTTTTACGAAAATGTTGATCCCATTGTGGGATAGCTGCCAGAAGAAGTGGACTGATATAGCTTAACTTCACACCTATATATTCTTGGTCTGCGGAAATTCTAAGACGATTTAGCCCCGCCTGTTATAATCCCCCTAGAGTCAAAACTAATTAAGATAGGAAGCCAAAATTTTGCACAGATCAGACTTTTGTGTGCAGGCAGGTCAAGTTCGAAGATATAGGCCATAGGTGCACGATATCGTATAGCTCCCATACAATCATAACCCCCTGATATTCGGTATTCTGATTTTTTAGCCACATTTTTCAAAGGAATAGTCTGAAAATCCACACAAGGAGTTCTCTCTGAATAATTTACCCCCTGGAAGAGAATTGTCTGTATAGGTCCACGATATCGTATAGCCCTAATACAATGGTACCCCCCGATATTCGGTATTTTGATGATTTTAGCTACATTTTTCAATGGAATAGTCTGAATTTTTACACATGGAGTTCTCTCTGAGTACTTTACCCAAAGAAAGATTATTGTCTATATGGGTCTACGTTTTAGTATAGCACCCATACAACGCTACCCCAAGATATTCGGCATTTCCAGGATTTTCGCAATAATATTCACCGGACATTATTCAAATTTCGTATTTGAGATGGTAATGGGTACTACAACCTATGACGGAAAATTGTCTATGCAGATCCACGTCTTAGAAAGCCACCATATAACAGTTCATCCCTTTATTCTGTATTTCGATGATATTAGAGTTATTATTCCCGGAATTTTTTCGAATTTCGTATTTGAAGTTTGGAATCGGTACTACAGTTTATGACAGAACATTTCTTATCCAGCACCACGTCTTCGTAAAGCCCCAAATAAAGGTTTGTTTTGAGCTTTTTTCTCGACGGATTTTTTTCTTAAATTTTCAAGTTCCTTCCCAACTTAGCTGCTTTTTTACTTGTTGTTTATAAAAATTTAAGTTTAAACTTTTCCTCTTCTGGAAATCCAAAAGTTATTACAATATTCGACTGGAACCTTTTCTTAGCAGTAACCAACTTTTTTAGGAAAGTGGTACAATTGTCAATAACAAAGTTAAATATTTGAAGAGTCTTACTTTTAATGGTACTTGGAAAAGAGTACTGTCCAAAAATGGTATGTTTTTATAAATTGATTAATAACAAACATTTCTCCTTTGGCATAAGCAGCCATGAGTGCGACAAGTGATGTGCCACTCACTCACTACATTGCTACCCTGCTGTTTGTTCACGGCTGGAGAGGACATGTGTCAATAATCTATTTAATCCGTTTCAAACGAACGCCTAGCCACGGCAAACAATGTGTAATGTTGTGGTGTGTGGTCTGGAATTTACATAATATAAGTGCCATGCAACTGAACAGCTAACCATCCATCCATCGAACCAACGGCTGGCTATCCAATCACCCATGTCGAGGGCTATAATGTAATGGCGTTTCAAAAGAAATTACGCTTCAAATAAAATGTTTGCAAGAAACTATTATCACCCCACACGCCGGGCCGGTAGAATTTTGTAAATGCCAATTGGATATTTTCTCAGAAGGTCCACACACATATGTGGATTTACGTACTCATACACACACATATTGGCATTATTATGTGCACATATTAGACTGTTACTGCTAAATTGCATAAACATGATTAGCTATAATGTGGTGGTGGTAGTAGTTTGCCATTGTATTGGCATTGTTGTATCATTCATTATGTTGCGTATTAAATTGCAATTGTGTATTCGTCAAGTGGATTATTGTAACAAACCGGAAGTTAAGCGAAACAAAAAAATCGATGAAACACAAAGAAATTTGTTTGTTACAAGAAAACAAAAAAAATAAAACAAAATAAGAAGGCCACTAACGTTGATAGATGAAAGCAAAAAAAAAGTTCGGAATTACCTTTAATTAAAACTGTTACCAATTGTGGTTTACTGCGAAATTGGCAACAATGCGAAAATGTAAGAAACAAGAAAATTCTATGAAGTAAACACAACTAATTAATTTAACGGAAAATCTCCAAAAGAGATATATAAACAAGTAGAAATATATTTAGGTTCGGTCGAATCAAACTTTCTACAGTTTTAGGTATAGGCAAATAACCGCTTTATGGGGACCACAGGGTGAGATAAAAAAACTGCAACAAAGTCAAACGCCATAATTTTTACTTTTTTTCCATATTTTATTGAATAAAAGCAAAAAATTTCGGGAATAGCATCAAATTTTAGAATATGTTTAGATTTGTTCGAATTGGCACGAATTATGGCCTTCAAACGGCCAATGAAACCGTTACACGCTGCCTGAATATTGCTCTGCGGTATTTTGGCCCATTTCCGGCGAAGCGCTTGCTTGAGGTGATCGACACTTTGGTATTTTTTAGTGCCAACCTTTCTTTCCAAAATACTCCAGACACAATAGTCCAACGGATTGGTATCCGGAGATTTTGGTGGCCATTGTGGGCTGGAAATGAAGCGAGGAACCTCATTTTGTAACCATTCTTGGGTGGCGCTTGCTGAGTGCGATGGTGCTGAGTCCGATTGGAATGTCCAAGGCCAAGGCTTTAATACACTCTCCAGAATATTTTCGCGATAATATTCGGCATTTATTCTAATGCCAAGGTCGATTGATACGAGCGGAGAGCGACCATCGGCTGTTATGGCGGCACACACCATCACTATGGCCGGTGCTTGAGTTTCGGTGGCCAACCGAAGGTGCACATTTTCAGCTGACCTCTTTGGCAAGTAAACACGATCATTTTTTGAAAACGGATGTTTTCTCATTGGAGAAAACCAAATTCGGCAGTTCACCACTTTCGGCCAAGCGAAGCAACACTTTAGCTCTTTTGAGTCTATTTTCTTTCCGTTGTGGTGTAAGTTCTTGCACTTTTTGGAATTTCAATGGCCTTACCCCGAGCTCCTTTTTCAATATCTGCCGAATGGAATATTGCGATATGTTTAGCTCACGAGCGACGCGGGTTTCGATCGAGTCGTTTCATTACTTTTCAAACCATTTTTGCTGATGTTGCTACGGGCTACACTACTAGTATCATGGTGTGGCGATGGTACGAGACACAAAAGATTTATTCACATTTAAATGCTACAGTGCTCTAACGATAGCCACTTGTGGTTTTCCAGCCAAATATAAAGAAATCGCTTGTATTCCATCACGAATAACTTGTCTGGAAAATTCTCACCAAAATGTTTTGTGTACGCTTGTAAACAATATAATGAGCTGTCACTAGAATAATTTTAACAGCTGTCGGACGAGTGGCTTAGAAATGACAACAGTCTGAAGTGAGTTGCAGTTTTTTCATCTCACTCTGTATAAGTACAAATTTCCACAACTACCTACATTTCCTAATTCTACACTCTGACAGTAATCCCATTTCCAACTTTCAGGATACCAACCCCATTGGTTCACCCAAATCCAAATTGTACCACATTTAGTACCATTAGGACAAATTGCACCAAATCTAGTACCACTTAGTATACATAAGTACTATTTTCCAAAACTACATACATTTCTCAGTCCTAAAATACAATATCCTAATTGCACCAAATTTGGAACCATTGAGTACTTTTTGTGCACATGAGTACACATTTCAAAAACTTCCTCCATATTCCAATCCTACACTCCGCCAGTAGTTTTATTGTCAAATTTTAGGATTCCAGCTCCATCATTTTTATAGGCGAACGGATAGAAGTAGAATTCCCAGAATTTGGAATGAGGGGGTCTCTGATGAATTGTAGCACAAATGTATCATAGAATTGTAGGAATGATGATTTCTAACGGGCAGAGTTAAAATCATGAAATTTTATACGGGAAATAAAGCTAGGAAGTATGTCTGATATAAAATGGTGGTTTTTGATATATGTACTTAAGTGTACCAATTGTAACAATAATAATAAGTCAGGTGTGGAATTGTAACAAATTGTTTTAAATTTTTCCCAGGTTTTATCAACAATCTGCCCCGATGCATTCAGTTCACTTTGTGATACCATATCCATACAATGAATTGGATGAAATCGTTGGAGCATAGTTTAACAATCTTTAATGATGAACTTAAGTCTAATATTTTGGTAATTCCCATATAGCAATTTGTTTTTTTAAGAATTTTAACCTCATGTAAAGTGCATATTTTACATATGAAATAAAAATTGTAAATTCATATAATATTTCATTCACCCCGTTATACTTCTGCATTTGAATAAAAGTTCAAAATTCTCTTATGAAACTTCTGTTGTTAAAAAACTAATGATTAATGTTTGCTGTGAATTGTGGAAATTATAGACGAACTTTCCACAAAAGTCATTGCCATAGAAATGATAGAAAAGTTCGTCGTTGAATGGAAGAATATTGACATAACATTAGCACCCATTTCACTGCAAACTTTAATTGAATTGCTGTTGTGCAACGAAGGGACTTGTGAGAATGCCACTTAATTTTATTTCATTTGAAGATATCAAAAAAGTTTGTGATGAGCTGCGAATTATTGGGAAAGGTCAAAAGATAATGCTGAAAAATAATTATTATAAATGAATTCCAGGGTGAGATGAAAAAACTGCAACCAACTTCAGACTTTTATTTCCAAACCACTTGTCCGACAGCTGTTAAAATTATTCTAGGAAAGCCACAAGTGGCTATCGTTGGAGCACTCCAGCATTTAAATGTGAATAAATCTTTTGTGTCTCGTACCATCGCTAGTAATCGTGGTAGCGTAGGCCGACGTCAAGGAAGTGGACAGAAGAAAACAGCAACATCAGCAGAAATGGTTCGAAAATTGAAGAAGCGATTTGATCGAAACCCACGTCGCAGTGGCCGAAAAATGGCTTTTGAGCTGAACATATCTCAATATTCCATTCGGCAAATATTGAAAAATGAGCTCGGGGTAAAGCCATTGAAATTCAAAAAAGTGCAAGAACTTACACCGCAACAGAAAGAAATTAGACTCAAAAGAGCTAAAGAGTTGCTTCGCTTGGCCGAAAGTGGTGAACTGCCGATGAGAATACCTTCGTTGTCCAGCGGTTTGTAAACAAACAAAATGATCTTGTTTACTTGCCAAAGAGGTCAGCTGAAAATGTGCACCTTCGGTTGGCCACCAGAACTCAAGCGCCAGCCATGGTGAAGGTATTGGCAGCCATAACAGCCGATGGTCGCTCTCTGCTCACATTAATCGACCATGGCATCAGAATTAATGTCGAATATTATCGCGAAAATATTCTGGAGGGTGTAATAAAGCCTTGGGAACGCAAACAATTTGGCCGCAGACCTTGGACATCTGGATACCAATCCATTGGACTATTGTGTCTGGAATATTTTGGATAGCAAGGTTGGCACTAAAACATACCAAAGTGTCGATCGCCTCAAGCAAGCGCTTTGCCGGGAATGGGCCAAAATACCACAGAACAACATTCGGGCAGCGTGTGACGGTTTCATTGACCGCTTGAAGGCCAGAATTCGTGCCAATAGGGGACCAACTTGAACAAATCTAAACTTATTCTTAAATTTTATGCTATTTTCGACATTTTTTGCTTTCATTCAATAAAATTTGAAAAAAAATGTAAACATTATGGCGTTTGACTTTATGGCAGTTTTTTTTATATACGAATATATGTATATACGAAACATTTCGTTTATTTGATGCACCAAACACGATACGTATGTCCAATTCCAATGAAATTTGGCATGAGTGACTAAATTTGGTATAAAAATAAATTTGTCAACTTATATTCAAATCCTTTCAGATTTGAATATAGCTTCTATATATTTTTTCGGCCGATTTTATATATTTTATGTTTCCAAAGCGATATTATTCCAATGAAATTCGGACATAGAGATGAAATTTGCTACCAAAAGAAATTTGCCAAATTATATAGAAATCGCTTGAGGTTTGGGTATAACTCTCATGTATATATTTCGGAAGATTTCATGTATGTTATGTACCAAACACGATATGTATGACCGATTCTAATGAAATTCAGAATGTGTGGCGGAATTTTGTTGCAATAATAAATTTGACAAATTAAGAAGGAAGGTGTGCCAGAATTCGGTGTAAAAGTAAATTTTGTCAAATTATATTGAAATCGGTTCAACGCCTTTGCTAAGATATTAGGCTAACAGTAAAAAACTACACAACGATTTAATTGAGGATACGATTATTACAGGGAAGTATGTTGCTACCTTGAATTCTCTAATTGCAGCAGAAATGCCACTCAACTTCAAAAGATTGCATTTTCCTGCACTCTTAGCATTTGCTATGAATTTAATAAATCCGAAGGACAAACCCTTCGTGTGTGCGGACTAAATTTGACATGTTCCTGCTTTTCACAAGGTCAGCTGTTCCTGGCATGTTCACGTGTTGGTAGACCGAGCAATTTGTTTGTTTACGCGTTAAAGTATTAAAATAAATACGTTTTTTAAATTCTTGAATTTGTTTTATTATTTTTTTGAAACCAAAAAATATTCGTATACAAAATTTTGAATGCACATAAAATAAAAAGGGGTAGCGAAGCGTGCTGGCCTGAGGTAGTTTAGTTTTTAAATTGAAGGAAGTAGTTGATATAGTCCAAATCTGGCACGTTGTAATATTCATATCAGACTTAGGTCAGATACGAACTGGAAAATAGTGGCCCACTCCTTGGAACTTCCCTCATAGGAAACAATCAATCAGTTTTAAAATTAAAAAATTAAAACGAAATTGTTTGGCTCTGCAAAAGATCAGTCCGGGTATTAAGGCATGTTATTTGATATAAATTAAACTTCATATGTGTATCTGTGTATGTTGCAAAAAAAAATGAAATAAAAAACTCCACCAAAACTACAGAAAAATAAAAAGTAAAATTTATTTATACAATTGTCCTTGGTTTCCTTTTCTATGGACATCACACCAACAACAAAAAAAGGAGACAAAAACATGAAAACAAAACGTTTGGCAATAAAAATAAATTCCAATGTGTGTCTCTATCACTTTAAACGTTTCCACATTCATTCATTCGTACATATATTTGTGTGACGTCTTTACTGGCAATTTCTGTATATGAGGGTCCTTTTATTAACCCTCTAGGGGTATCCATTGGATGTCAGCATGCATTGAGGTCGTTGAACGTTAAAATTGCATTGAATATTTCATTTGTCATTTTTTAAACATTTTCTGGAATTCTGCTTATCTGTGTGGTTTGGTGGCTGTCACGAGCATTTAAATTTTGAAGCAAAAAAATCGCAAAAAAATGGTAAAAAATGGCTTTGGTATTTTACAATGTCATATAACTTTTGGAAATAGCGAATCGGAACTTCGCAACTCCTATGTAATATATTTCTGCTCCTTTTTAATAATATATGCATGTTATTCTTTACAATCTTAAATACCAATAATCCGCAATTCCAAGAATTTTGGGTTAATACTTTCCAATGGGATTTGTTTTCTTTCAAAGGAATCCAATGTTAAGCAGTTGGATTAAAGCCAACATCTTTATGTATGTACAAAAACAACAAGAATCCCAGACAATAACTAAGACGCCATTATTGTTATTGAGAATTTCCATGGCAAAATAACAATGCACACACACACACATTCATACATATATGTATCGGAAATCAATATCAACATCAGATATTTCCTTATTCTTGATCTAAATAAATGTGACCCATGTTAATTAAATCACTTGTAAATGGACTTCCTTTCCTCAAAAAACGAATGGAATAAGAAAACTCCACCCGGCATTTTGGCAAAAGACAACCATAACAGAAATACACACTTACTTACATACATACATATTTAAATAATTTTTACAATACTTACTGTGCAAACGAGGCATAACCAGCGATGGAAAAGCCACGGAAGTGTCTATCCAACACAACACCAGAAGTGATGCCAGTCCCAACATCAAAGTGGGATTATGTAAATTCATTTTTGTGACGTTGGCAGAGATGACGTGCCTGACTTTAATAAACTGAAAATAGAAAAGACATTTGGATTACAAAAAAATTCAAATTCATTCAAAAGTATTAATTTCAATTCAGTGACAACAAAAGGCACGCATTTAAAATATCGCCAAGAGGACGAAAAAGAAAATGAAAACAGAGTTTGTCAGGAGGTATGGTTGGGAAAGAATATTTAAAAATAGATTCACTTTTTCTTTTCTCGCTGGTATTTCTTTTGTTCGTCTCTATGCATTTCTTATTCCACTGAATTATAAATTTGATATTGAATATAAAATTGGAGAAAAAAAATAGAAAATGGTTGATTGTATCAGAAAATTGTTTAAATCGCATTATGCTGATATTTCATGTAATTCACCAATGGTGGCAAGGTGTGCGGTTGCGAAAATTATTGATAAATTCAGATATTCAATAAAAAAAACAATAATTTTACCTTGAAATTTATAAAAATGAAACATGTAAAAAAGCAGCTATATTCGGCCGGACGAGACTTTTAGTACCCTCCAACATTTGGAACAAATTTGGAAATTATCCAAATTTGGAAATTATACAAAATCCGTTATAAATTCTGTTAAAATCTTAAAAATACCGAATATAGCCGCTATATTGGGGTCTATATGAAGACGTCATAATCCATTACAATATTAAAATACGAAACTTGAAAAAAATTCCAGTTAACCCTTTCAGTGTCAATGAAAATTTTTGTCGAGATAAAAATCTGAAATTCCGTACTAATTTACTAAAATATGCTCAGAAATTCGAAAACGAAACTAATAGAATAGAACTGCAATATTTTTAAATAGCGAACGTGTCTGTTATTAAAAAATATCAAAAATAACGGTTCGTAAGAAAAACAAAAAATGGCAAAGAAAGAGAGTACTTTTAAATGTCAAATATATTTGACAAAAACACTGAAAGGGTTAATAATGTAACTAAAATCATCAAAATACCGGATATAAGGAGGTACCGTTATATCGGAGGCATACGAAGACCTTTACCTGCATAGACAATTTTTTGACACAGGCTGTAGTACCTGTTAGGAACTTCAAATACGAAATTTCTACGAATTCGGTGAATATTGTATTGTATGTTCAAAATACCGAATACCAATAAAAAATATTGACGATTTACCGTTGTATGTGGACGAACTTAATATAAAAATTCATCACAGTACGGAGGGAGCGTATACTCAACATTCACCAGTACTCATACGCCCAGTACTATTTATTTCAAATATCGAAGTTTTTAAGTAAATAAATGAAAGCTGGTTAAATCTAGTAAATATTTGAAAATAATACGTTTAGAATTTGAATTTAGTAAAATTCGACCGGTCCGAACTTTTTCTACCCTTCTCCCTGCCATGGAGGATATTATATTAACTTTGTCATTCAATTTATAACTTGTAACGTGATAGAATCGATCACATACATAATCAGAACATCCTAACAGTAGCAATACCATCTAGAGTTGTGTCAAACTGGTCTTGGACTCTTGTCGTTTGTATGAAAACTCTGCGTATGAGTGATATGAAATATGTATACTTTATGCATTTCCGTGAGGGACTTTGTTGTTCTATGAGGGACTGAAACACAAAATTGCAATTAATTTAGCTGAAATCTTCAAAATGCTCTAAATCGGCTGGTTTTGGTATCGTATTCCAGTTTTATGTTCTAGTCTATTTTTACAAAAAAAAAAAAATAATAATAATTATTATTATTTAAGAAGTGTAACCGATTGTCAGCTCTAGTTTTTGGTTTTGAATGATGGGATATACCTCGACATGCTGCATTGTATGTCATATTTTTCGAATGGGTTTTAATTTCGAGTTATCAGTGGGTAGGAAATGTCCAACACCAGCTCATATGTTGATTTATAATTAATAGTACTAGCCGAGAACAATATTTCCCAACAGCCGATATCTCACGTATTTCGATGAGATGGACAGATGGACACGATAATCTGGGATTTTACGTATTTCAGATTTCTCTTTGCAATAGATATTCATAGTCTGGCCCAAAGGAACTTACAACAGTTTTTACTTGCGACATCAATGATTATTGACCACTGTTGAGATTGTTATGATACTTCCACAGTACTTAAATTTTAAATTTTAGGAAATTTTATTTACCTTCAAGATCGACCCGTGATAGATCAATTCTTCTCAGGTCTATAACATTGACCATTTATAATTATTATTTAATAAACTTACAATAAATTAGGCTTAGGATATATACATCAAAGTTCAAAGTTTTTAATGGTGTCTGGCCTCCCTACGGCAATCACATAGATTCTTTGATGGCGATTAGAGGATGTAAGGAGTTTTGGAGAAGAAAACGAACGAGGTGTGAATGAAACAAAACCCATGAATGGCTAAAAATAGCAAAGCATAAACCAAAGGCAACAACATCACTGAAAATCAATAATAAAAACGAAAAAAATAACAAAAGAGCGAACAAAACGAAAATAAAAATTGGCTACCAGAAACAATAACACCCTCCCATGTACAAATACCCATATACATTTGTGTATGTACATGCACAATAACACTATGCTACATTCGCATGATAAAGATGAAATGACAACGATCTAAATTTAAGGCCATTCCAATAATTCATACGAATGCTGTGGTCACTTTCCAATCAGTTATTGAAATCGTTGTAAAGCGCGCCAGCAGTCTTTAAAACATTTGAAAATGTTAGTAACTTTCAGAATGTATGTGTGGGTGGTTATACATATCACACCACATAGTGGTAAGGGCATTATGTCTATGTGGGTATTATGTGGAGATAGACCCATAGTTATTTTTGAGGTAAGTCCGCCTGTCCGTTAGTCTGTCTATGTATTATTGTGAACAAACTCCAAGTCGCATTTATTATCCGATTGAGACGACATTTTGCAAACAATATTAGTTTGCCCCTATTTAATGAATAATTTTGTTGAGAATTGGTTCAAATTTAGATATAGCTACCATATATCTTCAACGGATTTCGGGTTTATTGTGCATCAAGTGTTCAATATAAGTCCAAATGACTGAATGATATTTGGTTTCGGGTATCAGGTACTGCTTGAAAATACGTATGCTAAATTTTATCAATATCGGCTTAGATTATGTATGTATTTTTATCAGATATCAAGTTTATTGTGGATTAAATGACTAATATCAGCCCAAATTAACAGAATTTTGGCAATTACAACTGAATTCATCCTAGAAACTAGTATTTCACATTTGGTGTAAATCGGTAGCTAGAGGCCATATATATGTTTCATCCGATTTGCTGTTAGTCCCTCACATTATTATTATTATTATTATTATTATTATTATTATTATTATTATTATTATTATTATTATTATTATTATTATTATTATTATTATTATTATTATTTTTAATATTAATGTTTTTTACCAATATTATCGTCATCTCAAATTAATTCAATATTATTTATAAAGAGTTCTGAGATAAGCGTACGGTTTATTAACTTCTATCAAGGTAAAGAGTATTTGTAGAAAATATTTACAGAAACAAGATCATGAAAAAACAAATCCAGGAACTGGGTATTTAAATTAAGCATTTTCAATATGATCCCGAAATTCTTCATCACTACGGACACATATGTATGTATGTGGTACATTGACGTCACTCTTAAAAGACAAACTAAAAGGAATTTCGAAATTGAAAGTATTGTTATTCAATACAAACTAGGTCGCCAGTATATAAAATATATATATTTTTTTTTGTTACCCGGTGTTGTGGGAAACATAAATATGCACAAACACACTAACTACAGTCGCTTTATTGTATCAATTTCTTGTGCCAAACAATGGTACGACTTAAAACGGAAAATACAATAAAACAAAGTGGTATTGGTTGCAGGTCAGTCGTTTCGATGGTTGGGGAGAAACACTCATGCAAACCCACATGCATACATACATACATACACTTTTATTATTTTCTAAAACAAAGGGAAACAATGCAAACGGAAGTTGCCAAAACACAGACACAGACGCACACATATATATTGCATTAGATGGCCACCACACAGCAAAGGGGGTCTCCACCACATAGGGAAAGCAAACAACAAAAAGAAGAACTGACTTTCAAACTCCCACTACAACTGTCTCACTTGCATAAAATATTGTCCGAACTGGCAATAACAATAATATAAATTACAAAAAGACGACTTTGCATTTTGCTCTTTAATTTCTGGGCAAATCGAGAACATGACTTTGTTGAAATTATTTGCATGTCACCACAGTGTCTGTGGCAGAGACGAAAGTGAAATCAGAGTACGTTAGTATGTATGTATGTACGCTATTCGAATGCAACTATTGATTAGACACCAGATAAAGGTCCTTTGAGGGCAATAACATAGAAACCTAAAATCAATTAACTCGAAGAGCTGTTATACATAAACATTGTTTTGTTTGTGTTTGAGCTGAGTGCAAATGAACTTCCGCTGCCGGAGGCCAGCAACATATTTTTCAATGTATCACTTTTGTATTTTAATATACACTGTCATTTTTATTACACCAATTTCAAATGTATTTTTAAAATATTCACCTTTATTTGTTAAGAATTTGTGTAATTTGAGTTTGCTTTAATTTAATATTTTTCTTCTTTAATTTCTATAGTATATTTATGACCCGTTTTAAATGGTATTCTGGTGTTCTCCTTATTTACGTTTCTTCCGCTGTGATACACTTGCCGTTCAAACGCTACTGTTATGTCTTTTCGAGCCGATGATTACAAACACTTTGAATGGCGAAACACGAAAATTGTCATGCCTGAACCTATGACAACTGTTTTCTTGCGTCAAAAGCTTTAATGACCTTTGGAGCTTTTATTCCATCAGTGAGATTTTATTTGGGGGAGAGAGATTGTAAAGCTTACATTGGTTACAGATAAAATAATTTTGTTGGGGATATCGAAAAAGAAAAGTTAAATAAAATAACAATAACTTTTTTCCAATATCCAACCAGTAAACATAGTCTTAAAGTCGGACGGATCGACTTTATTATACCCTTTGCATAGAGAGCTTCACATAACAAAAATAGTTTTTATGGGGAATTTATGGGAACTCAATTATATAAACTATGATTATAGTTATAATTTAAAGTTCAAAGGAACTAAGATATAGGAGGAATATCCTTCTCTGAATCGATTTATACTAAATTTGGGCTTATATTACCATTTGGTGCACAATTAACTTGAAAACGGATAAAGATATATATGGGAGATATATCCAAATCTGAACCGATCTCGATAAAATTTGGCAAAGGTATTTCAGAGCTGTATTTCATATATTTCCTCGAATATCGTTGTTACGGAGTGCATATTACGGCTGTGCAGAACAGATATAACAAGCCGGATTAACAATATATATGGGAGCTATAGCTATATCTGAATCGATTTTCACTAAATTTGACATACAGCCTAGAAACGGCTCAATTTGGTCATAAGTTCCAAATTCCATGTTTGGTGCACAATAAAAAGCAAATCGGACGAAAATAAATATGTCCTAAAGTTGAGCCAGATCCGATTATTTTTAATATTACCACGAAATATATATCTAAATCTATGTCTCTACTTGGCTATCTCAGAGGGAATTTCACATTTCTTTATTTTACAATAATGTTTCAGATCCAATTCAAAACATTGTATATGTAATTCGAGAATTCCATTTCTAGTTCGAATCATTGCTTTTGAAATGTGAACCAAACTAAATCAAACAAGTTATCAAGTTTTATCATTATAAAGTATGGGAATATAGCAAGTATAATTACTAATTGAATATTCCCTAAAATCGTCTTTAATAAAAGTTCCCTCTTTGTTGCTCGAAAACAGAGTCTGATCACAGTGTCGTTTGCAAGTTAACAAGAAAAGCTTTCGCTGGACTAACTTCTCACGTTTCTCGAAAAGTTAATATGAATGAATTTGAAATGAGGATTCCATGCGTCGTTCTAGGAATACATCTAACAGGTTGAGGAGTTTTTGTTTTCATGTCAGTCTTCCTTCGCTGGTAAATTTGTTTTATTGCGTGTTTTTAACAACGTTTCTGCTGTAGTTTGCTTTTTTGTGTTGGTAAATCGTCATACGTGTCTCACAGAGTTCAGGAGGATTACCCTGCGAACAGGGGTAATGGTAAAGGCAGAAAACACCAACAAAGCTTGCTCGTGGTTGTTTCTATTTTTAGATTTGTGTTTTTCGCTTTTTTGTCGTTTTGCTGTTAAGTTTAGTTGGAAAAAAAAGAAATAACGAAACAGCCGAACGGATTTCTCTTACGTTCGAATGCAGGAGAATGAGAGTTGTGGGTCTTGATTGAAACATATGGTCATACAAATGTAAATTAATGATTAAACAAAGTTCCGTTGATGCCATATAAACATATGGACAAGGTCCAAGAACATAAAAACAAAAACACACAAACAACTGTCTCTATAAATGGGGATATTTCCGGCCAGCTTTACTTCGTACATATGTATGCAGTGGGTTAATCGGATTACAGAGATATGTAGATTTCAAGGAAATGGGAAGATTTATTACAGTTTTTTATGCAATGACTTTAATAGCTTCAGGTTATAACTTAAAAGGATAGTAAATCCCTTAAAAGGGCGCTTTAATCTTTCGCTAACTAAGTTTTTAATTATTATTTTGTAATTTGTACAACTGAGTGCAAAGACATTACATATAACCATATTAAGTTCAAATCTTTTATAACAATTAAATTCCTCATTGTAATAATAAAAGCCTACTAAGCTCCCCTCATTGTTTACGTGGAAATAATATTATTTACAAAAAAGTTTTTAAATATATAAAAATATCAAGCTCAGTGTTTCCAATGGGTGACAAATCTTCATCTATTTGAACAACTGAATTTTTTTAAAATTGTTTCCAATATTGAACGTATAAATACGTAGAAGAAAAACAACATTCCATTTGGTTTAGCTGACTTACCTGAATTTCTTACAATATCGTAGTTTTAACAGAAACTTATTGTTCAAATAAATCTCAGCTTAGTTATTTTAATAATATAATAATTAGTACCGGGAGTGAATGACATGGGACATCAAGGACATCAAATCAACGTCTGATTAAATTCTATTATCTGTCATTGTTTGGATTGCGACCAATGCACAGCTAAATAAAACTGAAGTAGTAGTTCAGCATTCCAAATAGAAACATTAAATGTATATTCTGCTACTTCATATCTCGTTATATTGTTCATTACCATTTAATGTCGAAGAAGTTCGAAAATTTATCTAACAATGCTTCTTCAATCACTTATAAAGACTCACGCAAAAAAGTCATTGATATAAACTGATTGCTAGCTCTACCACTCCTTTGAAAAGCCATGACTTCTTTTTATGGCCATGAATCGTTTAAACTACCCAGTGACAAGTATGCATCCAAGGTTGCATCCAGATCAGTTATCAGCGCAAGTGCCGCTGTACCATATCTCATGACATACAATAGGATGCGGCGGTTAAAATTAATTTCGATTTTCTTCCTTTTAACTTCTTTATCACCATATTAGTTTTGAGTCAGCTCAAATGTGTCATAAAAATGAGTTCCAATACTATCATATTCGTAGTTTATGCCAGTTTATGCAAAGTAGTTCTGTCAAAACCACATAATAAGTAAATTTTTATCTTCATTAAATCTCAACAAAACATCGTCTTTAAGTAAAAAATAAAAGTAAATTATTTTTTAAACAAGTAAAAAACATTAAGTTCGGCCGGGCCAAACTTTTAATACCCTCCACCCTAGGGTAAAAGAACACTAGAAGAAATGTGGCAAAAAACATAAAAATGACGAATATCGGGAGGTACCGTTATATAGGGGCTACACCAACACGTGCACCTATAATTACAATGTTTCGCCACACGAACTAGGACCCATTATGACCCACAAATACCAACTTTTACACAAATCAGTGAAAAAATGTGGCATAAATCATCAAAATACCGAATATCGGGAGGTACCGTTATATGGGGACTATACCAGAACGTGGACCTATACATGCAATGTTTTGCCACACGCTCAGGGACCCGTTGTGACCTACAAATACCAATTTTCAGACAAATCCGTGAAAAAATGTGGCATAAATCATCAAAATACCGAATATCGGTAGGTACCGTTATATGGGGGCTATACCAAAACGTGAACCTATACATGCAATGTTTTGCCACACGCTCAGGGACCCGTCATGACCTACAAATACCAATTTTCAGATAAATCCGTGAAAAAATGTGTTATAAATCATCAAAATACCGAATATCGGGAGGTACCGTTATATGGGGACTATACCAGAACGTGGACCGATATATCTCATTTTCAATACCAACCATCCTAGGGACAATACACACACTTGTGCCAAATTTCAAAGGTCTACGTCAAATAATGTGGGCTCTATCGTGATTTCAACAGACAGACAGACAGACGGACAGACAGACAGACAGACAGACGGACAGACAGACAGACAGACGGACATCGCTAAATCGTCTTAGAATTTTATGCTGATTATGAATATATATACTTTATGGGGTCTACGACGAATATTTAGAGGTGTTACAAACGGAATGACAAAGTTAATATACCCTCCTACCCATGGTGGAGGGTATAAAAGTTAATATACCCTCCTACCCATGGTGGAGGGTATAAAAAGGAAGCAACAGATGTTTGCTATTTTACCATTTAATAATCAAACGTATTGAAAAGCCGGCTAGCACACACATACCATATACACAAAAAAATTATGAAAAACCTCTTTCAATATTATTGTTTTTTATTTATCTAATTTATAGATTGAAGTTTAAATTACATTGATAACAAATAAACACTAATAATTCACAATAGATGTTGAGTGGGTGTCCCTTCAACTGTTCAACTGCAACCTGGGAATGGATCTTCGCGATTTTTCCGTAGTACAAATTGGATTTTGCGATTCATGTCTTCATTGTAAATCGCTTTACACTTTTCAAAGTTGACACGACGTCTAACCTGTTATTTATTACAATGAAAGGAAGGATATTAGTACGGGAATTTCCCTTTAAATCAAGAGGTATTACATACTTGATATGGCTTCTCATAGTAACGTGTGCGACGGAATTGGTCAAAGATCTCCTCCTTACCCAGAACACGATTCAGAAGCCGACAAGCTTCTTCCACATTGTTATTTTGGACAAGCACGGTGCGTGCCAAGAATTGAGCGTGTCTCATGGTTCTGAAATTATAGTTTTATTTTATTATTTATATTATTTATGTTTTTTAATTTATTAAATAATAGTCTCACCGTCTTTGCCACCAAAATAGGGATACACAAATCGATGTTCAACTCTCTCTCTCTCTCTTGGTTCCTTTATTCTCTTGAATTCGTCGATTTTAATGTTGCCAAATTGTTAAAATGTGTATAGATTTAATTTCATAAAATCTTAAAACCTGTTTATATATGTAATTTTCGAATCGCAAAGTTATGAAATACACCCTAATTTAAACAATTTGACCATCAATATTTAATTATTGAAAATTTCTAATATTATTGCAAAAAAAAAAGCAATAAGAGTACATTGTCAAATGAGTAACCAAAAAGCGAATATAGAGGGAAAAAACTACTCATTCAATTTTGTAAGCGCCTTGCCAGAAAAATAACTATGTTACAACGTATTTGAATCAGCAAATTTGTCATTAAATATGGAGCAAGTTGAGTTTAGGGGCTGTGCTCTGATCATTTTGAAATTTTTACCACAGGTAGGTATTTTTAAACTGATTACGGCAATATAAATTTTTTGTGGGGGAAATAACCGGTTACCCGGTTATTGGACCCGAAAGTTCAGATACAATGTTCGGTTTTTATCCGGTTCCACTGAACCGATACAAACAAAATGGGTATCATTGGAAAGCTTATGAAAATACCTATCCAACAAGTGGTCACATGAACCGGTTACAAGAACCGGTTCCAGAGTAATGCAAGAAAATTGATATTTTTTACCAGTACTTTTTGAAAAACCCATAAAAACTCAAAAATGGACCCATTATAAGGTATTAAAATCTACATACCGTATTATAGCCAACAATATTGCCTTTCCAAAATGGTATCATACATGTTGATATCTTTTGTAGTTCCGAAGATATTAGTGATAGAAGTCATTAATTTGCAATTTTTTCTCCAGTCAAATGTATCTAACCTCTATAGCATTTTTAAACAGCCGGCCTTCGGCCGGGGTTTGAGATTTTCTTCTCTGGGGTATGTCCAACACCGGCTACGCGATCGCTAGTTTTTCTTAACATCGTAATCTTTGTAGGTAGCCGGCCTTCGGCCGGGGCTTGAGATTTTCTCCTCTGGGGTATGTCCTACACCGGCTACGCGATCGCTAGTTTTTCTAAACATCGTAATCTTCGTAGGTAGCCGGCCTTCGGCCGGGGCTTGAGATTTTCTCCTCTGGGGTATGTCCAACACCGGCTACGCGATCGCTAATTTTTCTAAAAATTGTAATTTTTGTAAGTAGCCGGCCTTCGGCCGGGGCTTAAGATTTTCTCCTCTGGGGTATGTCCAACACCGGCTACGCGATCAATAGTTTCCTAAAAACTGTAGTTTTCGAAATTAGCCGGCCTTCGGCCGGGGCTTAAGATTTTCTCTTCTGGGGTATGTCCAACACCGGCTACGCGATCCATAGTTTTTCTAAAAATTGTAATTTTTGTAAGTAGCCGGCCTTCGGCCGGGGCTTAAGATTTTCTCCTCTGGGATATGTCCAACACCGACTACGCGATCCATAATATTCTAACAACACCAAATTAAAAACAAAGCAGATTAACAAGAACGTTAAACCCGACATAAAACTTGGCTTCACTCATACTACTTTCATAAGTAACAACTTTAAAAGCCAATATCTTCGGAATTACAAAAGATATCAACACATATGACACCATTTTGGAAAGGCAATAGTGTTAGCTATAATATTGTGTATAGATTTTAAGACCCTATAATGGGTCAATTTTCGAGTTTTTATGGGTTTTTCAAAAAGTACTGGTAAAAAATATCAATTTTCTTGCATTACTCTGGAACCGGTTCTTGTAACCGGTTCATGTGACCACTTGTTGGATAGGTATTTTCATAAGCTTTCCAATGATACCCATTTTGTTTGTATCGGTTCAGTGGAACCGGATAAAAACCGAACATTGTATCTGAACTTTCGGGTCCAATAACCGGGTAACCGGTTATTTCCCCCACAAAAAATTTATATTGCCGTAATCAGTTTAAAAATACCTACCTGTAGTATAAATTTCAAGTCAATCCGAGCACAGCCCCTAAACTCAACTTATGCCTTAAATATACCTCAAATTAATAAACAACAATTAGTTCCGCTGCTCCATTATAATGAATCGTCCAGCTGATTGCGTTTCCCCATGCCTTATTCGTAAAATTATCCATCTCTTACAACGTCTTATTTCCATCTTCTTTCTCTTTCTTAACCACCGTCTCTCTGTTTTCATCTACACATTCGTAAACTCGGCCACTTTGTTTTCTGTTTATTTTTTATCGGCCCCTCTTTTATCTTTGTGCTTTGCTTCAAAACCAAGATGGCGAACAGTGTGAAAAGTGAATGAATTCGAATGAAAAGTGAATAAAGAAAAAAAATAAAAGAGTAGTGAAAAGTTTATGTAGTGCAACTAATTTTCGTTTTGAAAGGATTTTGAGGCAAAAAATTACAGACAGGTACGCAGCCATGAATGCTCCGCGGTTGAGACGAACATTTTTTTCTAATTCCATCTGCAAGACAATGACAAGTCAAGTGTTTTTCGTCTTTTTCACATTATCTCAGATCCATAAATAAAATAAAAAATTGTGTGTTAACGTGTACCTAAAAGTAAATTGTTGTTGCATGTCCCCAAAATATTAAATGAAATCTAATCAAAGTGTTTTCCAATGCAATATCGTGGCCTATTCACACCTGATGTTCCGCTTCTCCTCTCTTTGATTAGTACTTAAGTTACAGCACTTGTAATAAGTATGGGAATGTTGATTGTATGCATGATATGACTCAACCCTTGTTTGCTTGTTTTCTTTTAGCCTGATCGACGACAAACAATACCCGAGATTAAGCCAAGACGAGTTTGACCAGCTCTGCGCTTGCAGTTATTAACCTGACCCTCAAACTACCCGTTTGCCAAAACTTTTTCGTTGACCCCATTTATTGATCAGTGATAGCAGAAAGAGGTGCGAGTTTACAGTTTTCTGCCAATTCAGCTTGTGGAAAATGAATGTTCCACCAATACCACCACTATTATGTAGTACTCCACCGCCCATCGATTTTGGTGATGACGATGATGATGTTTTACCACCTACACTGGATGAAGATGTAGATGAGGAATTTGGAGATTTCTCGGGGGGAAACATGAAAATAGACGGTAAATATCTAACACCAATTAAACTTAATATCTATTGATTGTATTCCTATTTTCAGAACCTTTGCCATCACCCAGACCGCCCTCCGTTGCAGATTTACCTCCTGTTAGTATATATGATAGTTTTATTCCACACGACGAGCTGTTAGAAGGGGAGACTACCAGCAAAGAGGCATCAAAGAAAACACAACCAACAACTCCTATAGTAGAGGCATTTAACTACAGTATTATTGAACAACAAACAAAAGAGTCTGAGGAGGAATGTAAACCCGTAGCATTTGATCATGATTCTGAAAAGGGTAACGTGGAAACTGCAACTGAAGGTCAAATAGGTGATCATGTAGAGTCGTCTACATATTGTCGAACTGAAGTATTTGCTGGAGATAACAGTCAAGTTATCGATGAAAACGACAAGACAATAAGCGAACCATTGCATCAGGAAATCAATGAAAATGTTGATACTCCCGTCAGCAAAACAGATAACACAACTACTTCATCAACAAATGGACATTTGCCAGTAACGGAATTAGAAAGCAATATGAAACCCACAATAAGTCCACTCCCCAATATAGTGTCAATTGAAGATTTGGAAGATGATTTAAGCGAAGATGAATTATACTCACCAAGAACGCCCAAAAATTTGAACGAAGCCGATATCACAAGCAAAGACTTCTTTAAAATTCAGGAAATTGATGTAACAAACGATAAATGCAACACAAATGTTGACAACTCCAGAACGGAAACTGATATTCCAAAAAGGTCAACAGATAGTTTTGTCTTTGCAGACTTTAATGTACCACCACCTTTGAATGATGTCCCACCTTCAAACACTAATGACGGCATGGACAATGATGACGATTTTGGAGATTTTGCTGATTTTCAGGACTTTTCCAGCAATATTAGTGCACTTCCGCCGTCAACATTAAATGAACCCTTTGTCGAAACAAAATCTACTTCTAATATAACGGAGAGCAAATCTGGTCAAATTTGTAATGATTTGGAGGACGATTTTGACGATTTTATACAACATTCACATTCAGATGGCGACAGTAACCATTCTCTCCCACGTCAGCAGGCTAACGAAGGAGAGATAGCTTTTCCCTCCGATGATGACGAATTCGATGATTTCACTTGCGCTGCTGGCGTTGAAACACAAGTTAGTTCCAAAGTACCAGAAGCCAATACGAATTTCACTTCTGAGAAAAATCTAAAAGAGAATGCACTTGGTAGTTTTAATGATTTGTCAAAAGTATCTGAATCCATACCGAATTTGGAGCACAAATCAGCAAGCATTGAAAGCCACAAAGAATTCTCCCCTATCCATTGCGACGAAAATGACGATGACTTTGGCGACTTTGCAGACTTCAACGAACAACCAATAGCTACCGTTCCACCTCAAATTCTTCAAAAAACTGAAAGCCAACAACACAATATTGATCACATTGTAGAGGACGAAGACGATGATGATGACGATGACTTTGGAGACTTCAATACCGCAGAACCAATAACAACTCAAACAGAGGCAACAACAACTACTAGTCGAACAACATGTTCTAATGCAGTTACTGCAACACTTCAAACGCCTAAGAATCTTAACGAACGCATATCAAAAATCCTAGAAGTTATGTTCTCATCCACAAACATTCCGGCCGCAGAAACGGAACCCAATGAAAATTATGCTGAAGCGAAAAAACGGAAAATTCAAGACATACCTTTCACTTCGATAGATGCTGCCAAAGCTTTAGAATATCAATGGTTGAATTCGGATACGAGACATGCTTTTATAAAATCTCTGGGAATTGATTCACGAAATATTGTAAGTCACCCTGTTGATTTGCCTTAAAGTAGTTGCGATTTTTTTACAAACTCTTATCGCTGTCTTCCCTCCCTTATTTAGCTATATGGTGAAAATTGGAATCCTTCTTTGCCACGTTTTGCAGCAAATTTAAGTTTTAATCCCTTGAAACCCATGAAACCTGTAAGCTCCAATAGCGGAACCGAGTCCAATACAAATCCTCCTTGTCCACAATCCTTAGAACCCGTTCCAGTGAGTAAAAACGATCTTAATAAAACTGTAAATAATTTAGCTGGGAACAAGCGGGATATTGCTGAACTAGATTGGAAAATGCCATCCGCCGAGCAGAATATTGAAGGTATATTTATGCAATGGTAGAAAAGACCAATATAGTATTAAATATGTATATTATCTATAATTTTTAGCTCTGAATGACACCACTGCAGACGCGCAGTGTGCAAATAGTAAATCATCAGCTTTTCAAGTGGCGACATCTTCACCATATATTGCCACCGAACCACCCGAGTCGTTGACCATATTCGATAATCCCTTAGATGTCGAACCAGATAAATTTTCCAAAACACCACCCATCAGTGAAATGGAGTCTGTCAATTCATTTTGTTCGCCCATGCCATCTCTATCGACCCTTGAAATCGATATACCACCTGTGGTATCAGCTCCAATTGTAAATACGATGAAACATCTAGACTTGAATGAGCCAGGCAATTCTGAAGATACCCTTGAAGTTGTAACATCTACAACATTTTCGGGTTCCTTCAAGGAAACTCACATATACACACCCCCCAAAACACTGGACAATTCCTCATCCACTCCCTCGTCTACTTCAACAACATCACCAGCTAAGGCAAATAACATTGATTTTGATTATGAAAAAGCGGCGATGGGTGTGATAATCGACGAGACTGTTGTGAAGAAGGAGTACCGCGATATCGAATATAACCCACCTTTCACAAGGGAATCTCTTACCCGTACTCCATCTTTAAAGGCAGAATCAATGGAACCCTCAAATAATTTGCCAGTTCAAACATTAGCAGTAAATACCTTTAGTAGCGACAATACTAAGGATGACTTTAACGATGAATTTTCCGAATTTCAATCTGTGCCAAGTGTTGCCCCTGTTATTCCTGTGGCCACCAAGTTCGCGGCGACAAACTCCAAGTCACCCACACACCAACAATCCAACCGCACAACTGCGGACATTTCAAAATCATCAAATGCCGGCATGATTCTTAGTCCAGCAATATTAATACCTCAGGCCATATCTATGGAATCCAATAAACCAAAAATTGAATGGGGCGATTCGACAGCATCCATAAATCCAGAAGAGCTCGCCCGTATTGAAGAACTATTCCCAGAACCTACAAAACTGGTCAAGTCCAACAACACTAACAATTCTTCCCAGAAATCCACGCCAACTCATCAAGCTTCAGCTCCCACTACTATTAGCGCTACTGTTGCAAATAGAGAATTTGAGGGTATTAACAATGGTGGCGATGAAGACGATTGGTCTGACTTTATATCGGTACCGGTGGCGACCAACAACAACAATAACAACACCAAAACACCGGTAACAAACAACAATGCCAGCACAAAGAGTCAAACGAATTCTCCTTTCAAGCAAAGATCTCCCCTTAATTCATATAAAATGCCGAACTATAATAATACTACTAACGATGACGAATGGTCTGACTTCGTCAGCAGTGCTCCATCACCGGCAACAATGCAACCTGCTGACATGGGTGCAAATGTACAAGGACCTCCACCGACTCACAGAGTCCCACAGTTCAATAGCGGAGCTTGGCAAAATGCAAATTTCTACAACAACCCTTTAAGTTTGTACCAAAAGGGTCCCCTCAATCTGCACTCCAGCTCACAACAGTCGCCCAAGAACTTCTTAAATAACAACAACTACAATCAATTTCAAACAGCCAACATTGCTGGTCACCAGCAACAAATTCATGTCATGCAAAATTTCTCTACAGCACCAGTACCTAATGCCACAGCAGATCGCCTTGGAAGTTCTACAGCCAAAACCTCAAATCAATTTCAAGTAGGATCCTCGGTCAAAGTGGCACCCAGTATAGCATTAATTCCTGATTTGGGCTTTGTGGCACCCGCCATACCCACACATACCTCGTTTATTAATTCGCTGCCCAAGCCAAGTATTAACACAAAGAAATGACGTTTGCTCAATAGTCAGAGTCCGAATCAGGATCAGTCACAGTCACAGCAAAAACAAAGCCTGGTAAATTCGCAACATTCCCAACGTTCACAACGTTTTCAACAAATAATGACAACAACGACAACTGTGTCGAAAAACTCAACTTACCGTTCCAGCAATGCAAACGTATGTGTGGCTTCAAGTTACAGTGATGATATTTTAATATAGAACCAAATCCTTTTAACAGTTTTAGTCGTTTTAGAGTTGAAAGAGTGAAGTGAGTACGTACATGCATATGTATATGTACATTAGTTTAGTTGGTCGGTCTAGTATTGTTTGTAGATCGAAGTACATATAAAATAGGTGTATTCCGTACGTATTTATAACTTAATTATCGTATTGGAATCGAAAACATAACTAATTTTGCTTTTTTTGTTTTTAATGGAGAAACTAAATTCTGATTTGCATATTTATTATGAATTTACATTTCTTACTAAGTAATTATTAAGAGTGGTCGAAATTTTCGAGAAAAAATTGTCAAATATAAAATTGTACTTAATTCCGTATGGACATTTCTTAAAAGTTGTGGAAAATTAAAAAAATGCAATTACAAAACATACCACGAAGTGGTATATATTTGGAATTGTTTCTTTCTATAACACAAAAATCCCTTGCAAGTATGGTGCCACTTTGTCTACTTGAATTCATTTTTACACCATAGAATAGAAATTTTTCTTTCCTGCAATTTCATGTAAATCATGCGCCAAATGAAGTGACAATCAAACGAAAATAAAACCTTAATTCACCTAAATGTCCTTTCATAGGGTATATATTAAATTTTGTTATACTAACTTCAAATTTACATAGAGACTTCAAAAATATCTACTTCAATATTAGAGTCCTCGTCAAAGTCCCAACACGTTAACTTAACTTTGAATAACTCCGAACAGATTAAGGTTTATCTCCTATCAACCTGCAATTTATCAATACACTTCCTTAAACACGATGAGTAGCCATGAAACAGTATACCGAGTGCAGAAAATATACGCAAAACTATATTTTATTTCCGATCTACATTAAGTTAATGTTTATAAAAAGTTTCGAAAAATGTACTCTTTGAAAAAATATTAAATTCAATGGATGCTAAGTAGATGCAATTAAAGTGTAAAGGGAGGAAAGCTTATTTCACGACTGCCTGGACTGCTTAAAAACAATTAGTGGAACCATTAGTTTAAAAATGCACTTGGCTGGGTAGAAATGTCCATACTTTAAAATACTTGTTAACATGGTACAGCATATAAGGTATTCTGTTGAAAACCGGCTGTATGATGTTTTTAAAATTGTTTTGAATAGTTTTTCAAATTTCAGTTGCAATGAGAATATTATGGATGAATTTGCAGAGATTTAGATGCGGAAGCTTATTGTTTTTAGATTCCTTTGGCGAAAACTATGTTTTTACTTAATTTCGACTTGTTATGATTTTATTTATTAAAAACTAGATTTGTATGTATATACCATGGAAATATTTTAAAATTATTAAACATACTTAAAACCACAACACATATATCTATGTGTTTCGTTATTATTTTAGTTATTATGTTTTCTTTTGTTTAAATGAAGGAAACGATATGCTATTACGGTTAAAATACGAACGAACGAATAATTTTATGTTGTTATTTAACTGTTTGGCATAATGAATGGAAATTAATCAATAACAACTACTAATCTGACATACCATAATAATAATAAAAAAAGACATATATAAACAACAATATTGTTATAATAAATTTAAAATGATTTGAATTGAGTGTTTTATTATGTAAATTTGCAGGAATAAGTTTAGACATATTTGTTAGTACATTCTCCGGATCCAAAAATATTGTATTCAGATTTTTTGGCAAATGGGACTATTGAGGTATGTGTAAAATTATTTTGTATGTTAGTTGTATCATATTCGATTGCATTTTCAAATGGTGCAATATAATTATCTCGAACCTCAGTGGTCATGCCGGTGTTTGGTACAGGCTTAACAAGACTTGGAAACTCGCATCGCCTTTTGACACATTCATTCGTTTGTAATTTATCACATTGTTGTGGATCTTTGGCCGGGAAAACCTTTTTTGTGCGATATTCCATGTTTCTCCAATTCCAAAATGTTATATTATCTTTGGCTGCAATGCCACTCATTACATCCTGAGCACTTCTATGGCAATAGTCTAAACGGGATGTAGTTGCGGAAGGATCTAAATATTTGCTATATCCCGGTTTGGCACGATCAATTGATATCTTTGTGGCCGCCACAGCGGTGGGTAGATGCATTTGGATAGGAGGTTCTTTTGTAGGCTCTGGATTCCACAAATAATCAGAATGCGAAACGCTTGCAGCCGGGACCATAGGTCGTGTTAGGAACTTCATTTTGCATTCATAAAAGGGTTTAATACCATCCATTTTAGCCAAGGTGGGATTACGAACTTCATTGGGATCTCCAAACTAATATATGTACAATAGATTATATTAGACGATATGCAATGATAGTCATCTCGTATAAATACCTTCCATGTGTAGTTCGTTTTGTAATCGCTTTGTCTATGCATCGCCAGTGTAACATCTTCTCTATATGGTGGCGTCTCCTTAAATTTGCAGTTTATCGTATTGCCTAACATTGTATCTGTCATGTATTTGTTGCCAAAATATGTTGATGTTCTCATATCTTGTTGTTTATTTAGCGGTTGTTTGTAATCAATAAAACCAAAATTATCCAATTTATGAGTCTCGGGATTTGGGAATGACATTCTATAAAAATCCGGCACGGACGCAAGTATTCTTTCAAACAAACAATAGTTTATTTCTCAAATGCAATTCGAAAATAATAAAAAAAACACAAAGTAGGAATAAGTTGGGGTTACCAGGAAACGAATTAAGTATGGTTTCTATGCTACCCACTAAAATAAATAATTTCTTTGGATATTGGAAATGTGATTAAGAAGTAGCTGAATATAACCAGATTTTTAGTCACCCATGAAGTTAAACTAGCTTTTTGGTTGCGCCATTGTATCACTAGATTTTCAAGGAAGGAGTCATGTGCTATTCAAACGAAATTTCTTATGTATAATCGACTATAATTTACATTTTTGTACCCTCCACCATAGTATGGAGGGTATATTAAGTTTGTAACACTTCGAAATATATATTTAAGACCCCACAAAATATATATACTCTTGATCAGCATAAATTCTATGTCGATTTAGCGAAGTCCGTCTGTCTGTTGAAATCACTCTAGCCTCCGAACGAAATGAAGTAGGTTTATACAATTTTACTCAAATGTATATTATGTCTAAAGGACTTTTGGTATTGAACATGGTATAGCCCCCATATAATGGTACCTCCCGAAATTCAATATTTGAATTGATTTTAGCGACATGTTTCACCACAATTGTTTCAATTTTGTATTTGAAGTTCGTAATGGATACTACAGCCCATGACAGAAAATTGTCTGTGTTGCAAATTGCACCTCCCGATATTCGGCATTTTGATGATTTTAGCGACATTATTCACCGGAATTGCTTTAAATTTGGTATTTGAAGTTCGTAATGGATACTATAGCCTATGACAGAAAATTGTCCATGCAGGTCCACGCCTTTGTATAGCCCTCATATAACGGCACCTCCCGATATTCGGTATTTTCACCGGATTTGCTTCAAATTTGGTATTTAAAGTTCGTAATGGATACTACAGTCTATGACAGAAAATAGACTGTGCAGGTCCACGTTATGGTATAGCCTCCATATAAGGGCACCTCTCGATATTCGGTATTTTAATGATTTTAGCTACAGGTCCACATCGTCGTATCGACCCTATTATAACGACTACATTCGGTATTTTTAAGATTTTAACAGCATTTTTAACGGATTTTATTTTTTTGAAAATCGTTCCAAATGGTGGAGGTACAGCTTTTTTACTTGTTTTCCCAACCCAAAACGATATTTTATGGCGATCGGAAAACAAACATTGTCACCGAAGAGATTTCTTTTTCCATAGTAATTTGTACGAGCCCTTTAGTATAGGGTGTGTTGTAGCCTTCTTTCGCACAAATGTGTTATTTATTAGTTACACAATAAGAAAGCGTTAATAAATGCATTCACTTAATTAAGTTATTTTTCGTTAAGAGACGATCGTACACCCTCAAGTGACGATGAGTCAGTCAGTCATTCATTAATTATTCAATGAATGAACGCACTTGGCGCTCGTAACAATTTGTAGTCAAGTTTAAAGTCATCACTTGTTTATAAAAGTATTTAGCAATAATTTATCTGTATTTGAATTTCATTAAGTTAATTGACAGAATTTGTTATTACATTTTAGGCATTGTCTTTACAATTGTAAAAGCGATGTATTTTCTGCGCTACAATAATTTCATTTAAGGTTAGGAATTCGTTAATATGAGATTCAAGTTATTTGAGGGACGTGCCAAACCCTCTTTTGTTTTTCAGAGCCCAAAATATCAAATTGTTGCTTTTTTTAGAACATGGTTAGGATGCTGTTGACATAGGTTCATATATATTTCTTTTTGATATTCTATTAACGGCAATTGTTCTTGGAAATTGCATTGAAAATACCAAACATCAAGATGCCCCGTTAAATACGAAGCCATTACAAATCAATTGGAAATTATCAATTCATAATATAAAATGTGTGTTAAATTTTACAGATCTACATCTAGTCATATTATATAACAAACATCTCAAAATTGCCAGAATTTTTTGTTGATCAAGAATGATTTTGTCGATGTCACCAACAAAATCCATACACCAACATCTCAACTATGTTATAAATACCATCCCCGAATATCCAACAACACATTTCTTTAGTAACGTAGGGTATAAGTTGTTACCGGCATCAACTGTTCGCTGCCCTAATATCAGTCATCGTTATCTTTTGAATTTAATTGGTGTGCAGGTGGTAGTGTCTTCTGTTTGAGCATTCCAACACTCATAGATACAACATAAGTTAATTTAGATACAATATCTGTGACTCTCAATTTCTCTTCATTCACAAACTACTACCACATTGAAATTGTGTTCTACAATCTGTACGAGCAGTTTGTGCGCTCGGGCAGTGGCTGAATGAGCCAGACACAAACTTGTTGCCGTTGTTACTAACATTACCAGTTGTAGCTGAATATTTGGAAACGTTAAACGTGTTTTTGTATCCGATGAATGCAACTTCACCTAGTTTTGTGTGGTTTGTTTTGATTTCGATATTTTGTTTTCATTTGCGTACGCAAACAACGCCAACAGCAACTCAATAATCTTCCACCAGAAACAACAAAAGTAAAAGTATTAAAGAAACCATAAACAATAAGTGTAATGGAAAGCGAAAAATAATTAATTCGAATTATACACGGAAAACGGAGTAAAATATTGAGGAATAGTAGTGACTAATACAACAACTGTACTACCCTGCTGCTTCATAACAGACAAGAGAATAAAAAAAAAACAAAAAATTAAAAAAATGTCTTACACCACAGAACAAACGTTAGCTTTTCTTTATCCCCTCGTGATTGTTTCCTCGATCGTCTGCTGTGTCACCGCTGGTATTGGTTGGTCCCATTGGCGCTATGTCTTAAACGCTTGCCCAGAAACCAATTGCGGCTGCTATTTACACGCTCGCTCCACCTACACCTCCTTCGAGGGGGGACATATAGCCTATTGTCACTATGCTACATATGGCTTGATTTTGCCACTCTTGTTCTGTACCGTCTTGGGTATATATCATGTATACCGAGTTTGTTTGGGCAAGGGCAAGAGGAAAACTGGAACCACGACTATTAAGCAAAGGTAAGCGAGACCAAATGAGATGTATTTACTATACTAAATACAAGATGTATCAAAATATTTTGGAAAATCACTTTCTTATTCATAAAAGTTAAGATTATATTCAAAATGTTGGAACATAATTCCACTCAGCGCCTTTCTTTCTTGTAGCTGAAAAGAGGGACATATCTAGTATTTTGCAGAAAAGGCGAACATAGATTCATGTCATTTCTATATATAGCTTTTCAGCATTTTACATGGTAGAAGAAAAAATAGGTAGATGCATCAACACTTGGGAACATTGATATGTCAACATTTTTTAAGAGCTTTGTCAAAAATAAGTCGATTTTTATATGTTTACTTATACAACGCAAATCGGATTCAAATTTCAATAATTTTTCATTCACGATTTTCAATATCTAAATCGGTTTGACAGTTCATTGTCCCAGCGGCTGTATCGATGTGACTACCTATATTCTTCTACCATGGTATTTTACTCAAAGTTTTAATTACATTTCGAAATTTTTAAAAGATCTGTATAAGTTTTTTTTTTGCTTTTTTTTGGATGATGCAATCTCTTCTTAAGAACGTTCTTCTTAAGAACTTGATCTGTTTTGTCGCATCGGATAAAGATATAGTTCAGAGGTTAATTTTTCAGTAAAATGGTGTCAATCGGTTTTGTCGACTGATATATACCCCAAGCCTTGAGGCATGATTATTCAATGGCGGAGGTTCCGAAGCAGTTGGCCAATACTGACTAATTTGTATCTGACCTAAGACTGATATAAATATAAGAACGTGCTTTGGACTTGGACTATATCGTCTATTTCACCTACTTTATATGCGATATGCGCACATTTTTGGAAAATGTGGATATATGCGTGATGTAACAGATGTAGCGGACAGAAATATTACATTTTCATACTTCATATAATACACATAAAAATATTTTACATTTATATCTAATTTCATGCGAAATCATAAATTTCGATTAATTACATATTCTTATCAGATTTTCGGTTAAGAGAAATATTTGTTTCGTAAGCTATGACAGATATAAGTATTGAAGGTATAAAAAATTGAGGGTATACAAAATCTGTACAATTTGCAATTAGAGTTATTCCAATTTGAATTAAACATGTTTAGATTTCACTTACAAGATTGGCTATCACTTCATTTATCTGATTATGAAGAAATATTCTGGCACAATATTTTCATTTTGAACATGCTCAACACTATCGTACAACTGCACATATCACTTTTTTAAACAATAGAAATTTGTTGTTAATGTTGTTTGCAAATATGCATGAGCTCCATTCAATCAATTGAAATAATTATTGTATTCTTAGCGTTGGCCATAGGTCACTCACTGGTCATTGCTTAAAAGTGATGGGGGCAATTTGTATCTTATGATTCATGTCTGCTTAATTTTAAATTATTTTTAAAAGTTCCCCCGCTATTTTACATTTTAGATGAAAAATATTGTCCAAGGTTGAATGGCTAAAAGTGTGTATGTGGGTCGATTAATTTAATAGGTAGTAAAATTTACAAATTTCTTATTTACTCACTGTTTTTTTTTTTATTAATTACAGATCTGGTGAAGTGGTAGTTGTCACAACCGAATCCGAAATAACAGATAACGGAATATCACCCTATTATTGGCTGCCAACTAGCATTATAGCATCCATTATGGCTCTCTATACATTGGTGTATGCATCAGTTTATACTGATGGTTTTGAGGTAACATGCAAACAATATCGCGAAGCCCTTTTAAAAGAAATCCAGGGAGTGGGCAACATTGTTCCTGTCATTAAGGGTCGACTTTCCTGCTCGGCCATATTTGATTTTATGGTAGTGTATTACCACGATTTCCATAATTACAAATAATTATTCATCCTTCTTCTTTAGGATTATTTAGTTGAAAGCATATCCTACGAAAGACGTCGTTATGGTCGCATCAACAGTTCTGTTTGTTTCCACATGACTTTATTATTTGCTTGGTTGGCCGTATTTGGTTGGATTGCAATTGCTGCCATCAATATTGTACAGACACGAAAAACGAAAGCGGCCCGAGTGTAGTTTTTGATGGAATACTTGCACATGTTTATTAATACTTTAAGTGATGCCATTATTTTGTACAATCTATTTTATTTTTATTAAACGATTAACAAACAGTATATAAGATTACTTTTAAATATTAACGAAACATTTGAATAAATAAAGTTCTTATATAAAATAACAATGTATTTCGTATATAAAAACATGATACATCATAGACATGGGAGGACATGTTTGCCATCTCTGAAGCAGTTAATTTAAAATTCTTAATAACAAGTGCAATAAGATATCTTATATATTTAATATTTTGTTACTTTTTTAATTTAAAACAATATAGCGCTTCTAAAATGGTTCTTATTTGTTGCATACCAAAACTCAAAAATTTCCTTTCAACGAAAATAACATTTGGATATATTTTATCACGATGATTCGTCGCTTATTTAACATTGTAAAACTCAAAAAATCTAAATTGTTATGGTTTATTTTGTATGGGAAATTATGTAGAAAAGAAATCGGGTACAATGCGAACTTGGTATTAGATATAGATAATTTAAAACTTTGAAAAAAGTTTGAAGCATACTTTTAGGCTTTAATTAAAATTATAGATATTATATTATATATTTGGTGTAATGTGTCACATTAGTAGAGTAGCATTAGCTCAGCTGACCGAATTTAATATGTCCAGATAAGTCAAAACAAACTATTAAAATTTGGTCTGTTCCAGAACTGCAAGAATGTAATAGTTTTTACTACAATAAGCAATTTTACTTTTCCGAAAAAATTTGCAAAATTAGTAGATTGTGAATAAAAATATATTATATAAATATGGCTAAACATAAGGTGTGTTTTCAAAATGATTCGAATAAGAGCAGTTGCTACCCTGTTTTAATGTAAAAACACAACGTATATTAAAAAAAAAATTTGAAAAGATATATGTGTTTTTATATTATTTTTCATTGTATTTTTAATTAATTTTACAATTAATTTAAATTAATTTTTCCCTATTTCTGTTGATACATCCTAAAAATCTTTGATATAAAAGAAGTAGATATGTGTGCATTTTTTAAATTCCATTGATTTAAAAATATAAATGTCATGATTTCGAAACCTAAAGTTCCGACACGATTATATTAATCTATATCATGAAATTACTCGTATGTGCAAGATCGTATACTTGATCAATTTGCCTCGGAACGAGTTAAGAAAGGAGACTAGTGAACTAAAGGAACTAAATGAAAACAAAGCTAACTGTTCCGAAAGTTCCTTTGAGGGAATAGTTACATTGAACTACTTCGTTCCGAACGGAACCAAATCTGACAATCTGGAAAGATGACCCATCCTCTGGAAAACAAAAGCCGCCCCCGCAAATATCCATTCATTAACATGAAATTGGATGATTTCACGATACTTGATACCATAGAAGGCCGTTTCAATTGCTCCCAATGTCAGCGGTCCCGCAAGTTTTTCTGCTACAATTGCTACATACCCGTTGGGGATTTGGGTGAAATTGTACCCAAAGTGACGATACCCATCAAGATAGACATCATAAAACATAAGAAGGAAATCGATGGCAAAAGTACGGCAATACATGCTGCCGTTTTGGCGCCAAATCAAGTTCGAATTCATACGTATCCAGATATACCAGACTATAGTCAGGAGGAAGGTGTCGTACTTATATTTCCCAGTGTGGAAAGTGTAACGGTAGCACAACTGTTCGAACGTAATGTGAGGCTGTGTAAAGAGAACAATTTTGGATATCCCAAGGGGCACAATGTGGGAACATTGTTGAAAAGGCGATTAGATGAAGTTGTGGAAGAATATACAGATGACATAAATGGAAGAATATACACATATGACAATTTACCCATCAAAAGGGCGGTGTTCATAGATAGCACTTGGAATCAAAGTCGAGGCATTTACAAAGACGAACGTGTGCGATCGCTTAAACCTGTCATATTGCAGAACAGATGTTCTCAATTTTGGCGCCATCAAAAGGGTAGTCCTCGCTGGTACTTGGCTACTCTAGAAGCTGTCCATCAATTTCTCTTGGAAGTACATGTCAATGCATGGGGTTTAAATAAACACTATAGAGGCCTAGATAATTTAGAAATTTGTGAGGCATTTTATAAAACGGCGAAGCTTGTTGATGATGCTGAAGACAATATGGATCCAGTTGCACCTTATAATGGCCAATACGACAATTTAATGTACTTCTTTGCCAATATGTACGATTTAATTCACAAATACTATGACCATCATGAGCTAAAGTCATATAGAAGACCCATATGAAAATAAATGCCAAAAATAAAAAAGTGCCAAGAAGAGTTTTAAATGCAGTGTAGAGTAGATTCTAGATGAGTCAGAGTCATACTTGTTAAATATTTGTTTTTATCATTCACTGGGGAAACATTATTTTAATTTTTATCGACTAATAGATAAATGAACCAAGTCCTTAATGCAAATAAAATATTGTAGCTATTTTGTATATTTTATTTTTGTGGTGAGATATATGCTAATCTTTTAACATAATACGGGAATGCCTTTGTAATAATATATGTGGTTTATTTTTTCTTCTTTTGTTTATTTTCATCACCATTGCTTCCGCCACTTGATGGCTCAGGTTTTGGTTTCTGCCAATTTAGAGGGTTGCGTCTGTACATAGGCCAGGGAGGAATTGTCAACTGCAGCGAGCAAAACAATATTTTAATTAGCGATACATCATAATTTATGAAGTTTTCAATTCTTACCAATGAAGCTAAAATGAACCCAGCTCCCAGTGTATAAACAGTTTGAGAGAATTGTTGAGTTATTGCTCCCCAGATTAAACCAACAACTCCAAAAAGGGTGATGATGAAGCGAGAGTACATCTCAGCTTTGTGTTGGCCAACGAAGTCCTAAAAAAGTTTAAAAATATTTATTTATGAAAATGGACCACGGATTCATGAAGGCATTAATTACCATATGTGTTTGTATGTTTAAATTCAGCATTTTTCTTTAATTTTATTTCTTCCTATTGAAATAAACACGTCTGCAAAATTGCGGCTGTCAAACAATTCTACCTCTGGAATAAAGTAGGTATGTACTACGAACTGATAACACCAAAAAAACATAAGCGGCTGTCAACTGCAGAAAGTTTCAAGGAAAGAAAAAGACGATGAAACAGCACAAAAATTTCATTTAAAGTTTCTAATGCAAATTTGGGTTAGCGCAATGTTATTTCTTTTTTTAATAGAAATCCGTTCAATACGAAATTTTGTGATTTTAAATTAGGAATTGCATTTGAAAACCGAGAATCAATATTTTATGACGTTGTGAAACAAACCGTAAATGATTTGTTTTATTCAAGCGTTGAAAATCGCTCTGAGAAAACTAGTACATACAATACAGTATTAGGTGAGCCGGGTACTTCCCAGTAAGATTTATCCACTAAATTAGCTAGGAAACAAGCAACGTTGCAAATGCTTATATCTTTTCTATTGTTTCTTCAAATTAAGAGTTTCTAAGCGGCCTTTAGTCGGTATTTAATTCGAACTTTCTAGTTAAAAAAACCGGATAGTCGTGTACGACCGGCGGGTAATATGTACTTATTTGTAATCAAGAGGCCAAGATCTATGGTATAAATTTCAGACCGATCCGAAAGCTATAGCTTAATTAGGATTAAGCCAAAACATTTTTATTAATAAATTACTTTCTATACCAACAATGTTGTTCATACATACAACTTAATTATTACACCCTAATGCAATAGTACACTATAAAGAAATACTAGAATTCCAATGAAATACCGAATGTATTTTAGATTTCTAATTAATATGGGTGTATATTTTATATATTTTACTTTTCAATATAAAGCGAATTTTCAACATTGATGATCTTTTCTCATCATTAGAACATTAATCGATATCTTAAATATAAAAAGTGCTTTCGCTTGAAGTTGTTATAATTCTAATAATTCTTAGTATGGAATTATACGTATGTTCGCCGTTCGTGGGAAACGTCAATAAACAGAAGACTTAAGCGACATCACAAAATCATAGGAGAATATTTAGAACGCAAAGGCATTTTTCAAAGGAAACATATGCGGAGTAGATTTAATCGTCATCTTGTAATTCCAAGAACTGAGTACAAACATCGCGACTACATTCGCCTTTGCTATTGAACAGGAATTTGTAATAATGACCATCGGCACATATAGCTGAAAATATGAAGATGTTGGTGTTCAAAGTTTTTTTTTTTTTTTTTTGATCAATTTATAACACGCACCTATAACAGAATTTGAATCCGAGCCAAAAGCGCAAATACAGGGTGGTTCTTTTGGTATGGAAAATTTTACAAAGCTCCATTGGCTCGAAAAGTACTTGGGAACAATCGGTAGAGACGATTCCTTTGGTTTGGTATCATCCAAGTTGAACACATGTATGGTTCCGTGATCCGATGATACCACCAACATTGTTGAGGCATGATTGAAATTAATGCAATATATTGTGGCCTGATTGCTGCCACGTCGTAGTTCATTGACCTTTTTTCCGGTTTCTGTGTCAAATATGCGTATTAATGTGCCCTTTTCACTGGCTGTAGCCAATCGTGTTCCTTGTAGGTTGAAAGCGATACAGCAAATGTTTGCTTCATGCGCCACAATCTCCAATGCCGCCCTTTCTGTATTGCCCAAATCGACAATCTAAAGTGAAAACCATCAGTGTTAAACATTGGAAAACATTTGTCATGGTTCAACGCACCTGTACATGCCCGGTACGACGGGCTGGGAATGCCAACAAACTTTTATTGCTATGCGGACACAAAACACACAGTCCATGGGGATTCGAATTTGTCTCAAAAACGTGCAATTGCCTGGGCTGCTGGGTAAAAGTAAAAACCTTTATAAAACCTGCAAACACAACAACAATGCGGTCCCGCCTTAAGCGAACAGCTTTAACAGGTTGATTAAAGTCTAGGGATATGGCTGGAGCTTTCTTGAGGTCATCCCAGATAATGAGTTTATTTGGGGGATACAATGGACGTATTCCACCACCAACAACAGCTAAGTAATTGCAGCGAAACAGCATCTCAACATAACTAAGACCTCCTTCGGGATAATACTGTCGTTCCTTTTCCTTTAAGGGGTCACTGTTGAATACTCGAAATCCCGAATCCGTAGCACAAGCGAAACACCCTAAATAAAATAATTTCTCAGCAATGCCATTAATAGAAATAAAGTGCTAACCCACCTTGATCTTGATTAAATCCTACATATTGCAGCCCATTCCCATAGGGATTGTGATCCACCAAATCCATGATTTCTTTCTGATGACTGTTGTGTTGTGTTTTTGTTTTTTGCGTACTTTGATGATAATTTGTTTTTATCGATTATAAGGTCAAATCTGAAATTTTGCTACGAAATAAACAAAATGCCATGGCATAAAGAAACTTGCTTACATTTCAAGGATGCTAATAATGTTGGAAATTGTAGCTACTATATTCTACCTCAAATCATTCCAACAAAAAACAACTTTCAATGTTTTTATCTCTAAATGATGAAAATTGATGTATGTATATTCGTATACGGTATAAAGTATACGGTTCCCCTTCCAAGCCTTCTGACTACCAAATTTAATGTCAAAATGCAATTATTGTGATTGAATTAAAAAATTTTCTCCGATATCATTCATAAAGTGAAAATCGGTTATCGTAGTTTGACAGACATGGTATAAAAAGAAAAAGGAGGAAGGTAGTCGCACCGGCGTTGTATTTAGTAATGTAATTGGAAAGTAATAGGTCTGTCTGTGGTAGAAAAGTAATGTGTTTTGTATTTACTAATTGTGATTTTTAAAACGATATTTTGTTACATTTTTGCGTATCTATTTACACAAAATAGTTTTGTCATTACATACATAAGATAATAAAAAAGTTGATTTTTGAATACACATTTGAAATTTGATTGATCTTGGAAGTTGTTATATAATAAAAAGCAAAAATTAACTTTCTAGCATGGAAAAAAAAAACAGGGTAGAATTTAAGTTATAAAGGTGAGAGCACATAAACAGCTTGAAGTCTTCGCATGGCATATTTTGTGATATATCATAAAGGGATGCCAGAGCCACACTCAATTCTGCTGTCGTTTCCCTTTGTAATTTGACATTAATAAGCCTACCCAAGATGCCAAGCTGCTTATCATGGTAAAAATCATGGTAGAAAAATACAGGTGGATGAGTCAACGCTTGGGAACATTGATATATTAAGAATTTTTAAATGTCTTTTCAAATATAAGTAGATTTTAATATGTTTTCTTATACAACGTCATTCGGAGGTTATTACAATACGCGTTTTTCAACAATTTTTACAAATTTAAATAATTTTTCATTCAACATTTTCCATTCCAAAATTGGTTTGACAGTTCGTTGTCCCAGCAGCTGTGTCGATGTGTCTATCTATATTCTTCTACCATGGTAGAAATATACAGGTTGACACATCAATGCCTGGGAACATTGTTATGTCAATTTTTTTTTTAATGGTGCGTGAAACCAAATAGAGGATGACGCATTCATTGTGCTCTTGGTGAGAAATGACAGTGTTTTTTTTTTTTTTTTTTGACATAAAAGATTTACAGTCGTCTCTCAACTCTCGTTGACTTTAGACTACGTGCGCGCCGTTTCGCTTTCTTTTTTATGCGTTTTGTTTGTTTTGCTTTGAACACCAATACACACACAAATACACACATTCCTTCCATCTAACCAATAACACAAACATTATTTTATTTGGTGATTTTGCTGAAATTTAATATTCCTAATTTCAACAAAATATACAATTTTCTGCGAAAATGGGTGATGAGGAGCCGCCTCCTCGTTTAGACCCGAGGAAAAGAATTGAGCTTTTTAGCAACCCTGGAAGCAAGAAGTTTAAAAATAATCAGCCTTCTATGCAAAATAAAATGCCGCAGTGCTCTGCAAAAACAACACCAGCAAAAGAAAACACCACTCTCACACCATATGAAAATCAATATTTTAATGATACAAAGTCCATCTCCACCAACACAACTAACAACTGTCACTCCAACAATAACAATCCCTCCAATCCATCCAATATACCCAAAAACACAAACAAAACAGATATTTACAGCTATGATAACTATGAAAACCAAACAATTCTTTACAGCCCAGCCCATCCAGGTCCATATTATGTACTTCTTACTTCTGATGAGCCCATTTGCCCTAGAAGAAAGAACTCAGAATTACATTTGTATGCCAAATTAGCCAGTGCCAACATAAATGCTCATTTTGTATCAAAGAATATTGCATATAAAACCTTCCGCCTGAGCTTCAACAATTATAACTCGGCAAATAATTTTGTTTTGGATCCAAATGTAAAATCTATTGGTTTGAATGCTTTTATCCCAGATAGATTTGTACAAAAATTTTATGTTATTAAATCCGTACCAGTAGAATTCACTGGCAAAATGATATATGATCAAATCAACAGCAGCGACAATGATTTCAAAGCTGTATCAGTATATCGTTTCAAATACAAAAATGAAAATGGTCAGTATGTGCCGTCGCAAACCATTAAAGTAGGTATTGTAGCGGACTACGTTGTAAAAGAACTTAAAATGTTCAACTCTATAGTGGAGACGGATTTATATATTCCACTTGTACGCTTATGTAAAAATTGCGGTCGTTTAGGTCATATAGCCGTAAAATGTAGAGCCAAAAAAAGATGCCTTCTTTGCGGGATAAACATTGAATGTCCCACAAACTGCACAGAGCCAAAATGTGATACATGTTTGTCGACAATTAAATGCAAAACATACTGTATTCTACCCAGATGTATACTATGCAACATGGAAGATCACAATGCCATGGATGTCAAAAAATGCAAAAGATACAGCAATGAAAAAAATATTCTGGAGGCTATGGCAATCACCAACCTTTCAAGGAAAGAATGTATCCCTAAAGTTTCAAACAATTACTTTGAAATTTTAGATGAACCAAATTATGAAAATCAATTTCCCCAAATTTCTAAAACAAGCAGAAGACCAGTTACTTCCTTCAATGATGAACTCAACAGAAGGAGAACTAAAGTCAATTACAATAAAGTAGCAGCATCAATACCTCGTAGAACACATATTACAGCTGAACAGGAAACGATTGTACCCTCTAAACCATCCTTTGAATTCTCAAATTTTTTCAAAGTTTCTGAGTATGAAAAAATATTATCCACTTTCACTCAACAAATGGCTGCCGCATTAACCAATGCCAAGTGTACAGAAGGATTACAGATCTTAGACAGTTTTTCAAATGCCTTAAAAGCACCAGCAATAGATGGACCTTCCAGTTCTAACCAAACCGAACATGATAATCTTACAGCACAACATACAAAGTTTGAATAAAAATAAAAATTATTTAGAACTTTACTTAAACAAATTTTCTGTCGATATATGCATCTTAAGCGAAATTTTTAATGTAGATGAAAATGCATCATCATCTTACGTAAACAATTATGGATTATTCTGTAAAAAAAGAATCGACAATTATGGTGGCGTTGCCATCCTGCACAAAAAAACTATTAAAATAAAAAAATTACCTTTTGCATCGGATTTAGACATCTTAATATGTCAAACTACAAACCTGTCTCAAAATTTAACGATTGTCTCAGTATACTTTCCGCATTCTGTAAAATCCAATGTTTTAAAAACTGAAGTATCAAAACTTTTAATCTTTCTAAATGGAAAATCAAATGTCATTATTGGCGGGGATTTTAATGCAAGATGTAAAGCATATGGTGACGTTTTTGACACAGTTCGAGGATCCACTGTGCAAACCTTGATGGACAGTTCGGCATTTCGTTGTGTTAATGATGGCTCAGCAACCTTTAAAAAGAATCTATTTGACAGTTCTTTCGGTTCTGTGTTAGATCTTACCTTCACAAATATGTCTTCAAACTTTAATTGGAATGTAAAAAATACAAGCATAGGAGGAAGCCACCACAGACCAATCCTTATTAACATAGATAATTTCACATCAAAGCAACAGTACTTCCTAGCAAAAAAACATCTCTTCAAAAACTTATCAAATCTAAAAATTGATTCCAATATGAATGATATTCAATCGAAGCTAAAATCAACAATAAAAAATTCAACTTTTCTCATTACTGCTGAAACAAAATTTCAAACATGGTGGAATAATGACATTACCATACTCTTACGTCAAAAAGAGGCCGCAGAACAGAAATTTGATAGATACAAAACCACTGAAAATGCCCTGAGTGCAATCAACGCTATATCTAAATTCAAAAAAGCCGTAAAATGTGCCAAAAATCGCGACAAACGTCGTAAACTGTCAGATTTAAGCCAATTATCTAATTCAAAATCGCTTTTCCGTTATGTAAAGAGCTGTAAATCGGTTTTCGAACCCCAATCTGCTTCTAAATGGAACACTGACAACAACGAAGCCTTCTTACGTCATTTGAGTGAACAGGTTCCCAACAACAGACAAACTATATCCATTTCAATTTATAACAATCAATCTGTAAATTTCTCCATGGAAGAACTAGACAATGTTCTACAGCAAAAAACTAAACCATCTGCAGCTGGTCTGGATGGAATCACTTATGAAATGGTTAATAAACTATCCCAAGATAGTAAGCAGCACCTTTTGAATTCCTTTAATAATCAATGGAAAAACTGTGAGTTTTTTGAAGAATGGAGGAGAATAAAAATTGTTCCCATACCGAAAAAAGGAAAAAATTTAGACATCTGCACAAATTTTCGGCCAATTGCTTTAATATCTGTACTGGCAAAGATTTTAAACCTCATGGTCAAACAAAGGCTCAATGATTTTCTAGATGAACATAAAACTCTTCCACCTAGATCTTATGCATACCGCAAACATGTGTCAACTTCAACATGCATTAATGACATACTACACACAATAAACACCTCCAAAGAAAAAAATGACAAGGTGATTGTTCTCTCGATGGATGTATCGAAAGCCTATGAGTGTGTCGATATAAATTACCTGAAGAGGATTTTAATAGAAATAAACATTCCACTCCAAATAAGATTATGGATAATCAATTTTCTCTGCAAAAGGACTCTTTGTATGGGAAACTCCACCCTAAATATATACAATGGGATCCCTCAAGGCAGTTGTTTAAGCCCAACACTATTCAACCTATACACAATAGGCCTCCATGGTTTAGCTGATGAAAACACAAACATTTTCCAATATGCGGATGATTTTATTTTGCTTGTGGCAAGCCATGACTTTGATAGTGCCAACAATATTTTACAAATCAAAACCAATAACATGGTATCCTTATTAAAAAAACTAAACCTTGACGTCAATGTTGAGAAAACTTCAGTAATGTACGTGGCTAAAGGAGGTCGGAGAAATCCCAACATTTTACTAAATGGAGTCCAAGTAAATGTTGTTAAGTCCATCAAATTTTTAGGGAGACATATTAAAAACAGTCTATCACTCAAGGAGCACTACGAAGAGGTGATGATATCCTGCAGAAATACTGTTAATGCTTTAAAAATGGTCACGGGTCCAAAAAGTGGAATTCATCCCGCAAAAGCTATAAACCTGTCAAAATCACTTATCTTTTCAAAGACCGAATATGCAATCTCATCGATGGCTCACAGACCAATGTATATAAACAAGAAGCTAACAAGCTTTCAAAATCAGTTGTTAAGAAAAAATTTGGGACTGGTGCCTTCCACTCCAAATCATGTGGTATACGCTCTTGCTGGTATGCTACCAACAGATTTAAGAGCTCAACACTTGGCGGCTAAAGAATTGATAAGACTTAAAATATACAACTCTTCTCTGTATGAATACTTCACCTCAAATACCTCAAGAAAAACTAGTCTTGGATATGTCTATACAAAGTTTCGCACAATTTTTGAAAATCTCAAAATTGGTTACAATCAACATCCGACCAACAAGGTAGATTTCATGCTGGATATATTTAATACTACCAAAAACAATACACCAACAGAATATTTCAAAGCACACTACTACGAATTAATTAACGACTTCAGATCCGAAGGCGTTTCTATTTGGGCGACGGATGCTGCTGTTTTTAACAACAACACAGGCTGCGCTGTCTGCAATATATCTGCTAATCAAAATTTTGTTTTCAAAATTAATGAAAAACTTTCTTCTCTTACTGGTGAACTATGTGCAATTGAAAAGGCAATTGATTTGATGATCGAAGACGGTGTCAGCACAGCTGCTTTATTTACAGACAGCAAAAATGCTTGTCTTCTGCTTAAAAACAACACATCTCACAATTTCACTGTGTACAATATTCTAAACAAAATAGTTAATTCGCATTTAATTAAAATCTCGTTTGTTTGGACACCTTCCCATGTCGGTATACCAATCAATGAAACAGCCGATTATTTTGCGAAGCATGCAGCAAATGTTGGTTCACCAATCAACTTCTGTCTGTCGGTCACAGATGCGTCGAAACGCATTGAGTCACTCCTGTGGAATGAGTTTATAGAAAATTACAAGGACATCTCACGGACTAAAGGAACTTACTTCTACCAATTCTTCCCGGCGCCTGCTAAACAGCCCTGGTTCTTTTCATCAAACATGAAACCTGAAAACATAAAGATTGTTAATCGATTGCTCACTGGTCATACTTACACCAAAAAATATTTCCACAGGATTGGAATTGCTGACTCAAATCTTTGTGAAACCTGCAACGAAATTGAAGATGAAAAACACATAATTTTTTTCTGCAAAAAGCATCAAAATCATAGGAATGATTTTGATTTGTTCAAGAAATTTAATAACTTACCGGAAATCCTGATGTCCAAAAACCAACAAAATATAGATGAATTAATCAACTTTATTGCACTTTGCAAAATTGAAGTTTGACTTTTATTTGTAAATAATCATCATATTTGCTGACAGTTCTTTATTTTTTCCTTTAGTTTTGATTTTTTTTTTGTTTTGATTTCTTATGTATTTCATTCATATCACTACATTCTGTAAACACACATATACTGTAAACAAAAAGAAAACGAAAATAAAAGAGTACTGATACTTTTCAAGTAACCAATAACCGGTCATGGTGAATGGGCACGAAAGTGTTCTAACCACCAACATACTTGACGACGTAGAAGTACAAAAAAAAAAAAAAAAAAAAAAAAAGATTTAATGTTAATATAATCTTGATATAAGCCATGGCTTTTAGGGCTGCTGCGTAATTAATGTTCTACAACAATCATAATTTTATATAATATTTAATAAATATATATGAAGCATAACTTATTTAATGAACATTGTTATTGTGATATTAAAAAACAATACATTTCTCTTTTTTTTTATTAAAATAATTGAAGAATATGGCAGAAAAGACAGCTTAATTTTCAAGTAAAAGGTCATGTATATGCACTCGTGGTGCTTTTTTATATAAATAAATTGTATTTGTCACGATAAAAACACGTTTCAGCAGTTCCATACATTGGGATCATGGTAGAAGAATATAGGTAGACGCGTCGACACAGCTGCTGGGACAATGAACTTTCAAACCAATTTTGTAATTGAAAATGTTGAATGAAAAATTATTTAAATTTGTACAAATTCTTGAAAACTGCATATCATAAAACCTCCCATTGGCGTCGTTTAAGAAAACTTATAAAAATCTATTGAAAATTTTTTGACATATCAATGTTCCCAAGCGTTGATGCATCTACCTGTATTCCTCTACCATGATTGGGATCATACACATGAACTGATTACATTTTGAATGATCCATTGGTTCATTTGCATTGCATATTTCATATGATAGTTATTTGTTAGGTTCTGATATAATCAAACAATTCACTCGATGTGTCCCTTTATTTCAAGTAATAAAACAATACAATATTTTGAGGAAAAGTTTACATTTATTCATGTCCTGCGGAAAAATGTGAATATATTATACATTTATATTCAATTAATAAATTTATTCAACTTTTTCTCGATATTTTGAACCAGACATTTAGTTTTCTTTTTCAAAGCAAAAGAGTTTTATGTAAACCAGCTATTACTTTTATATCTCCAATAACGAACTATAGTTCCCTTGGGTAATTACAAACGCCGTTGTTCGTTCAATCCTCTCGACTCAGTTTTCGCATCTCAGTTCTTGTTTTTTGTTTAGCGTTTTAGTTTTTATTAAATTTATTTATTTTTGTAATTGTTTTATTCTATAGAAATATGTGAAACAAGGAGATATACTAGTGTCAAAGTGAAATTTATAGAAATTGAATGGTTCTCTCAAAAAAGTTTGCTAAAAAACCAAGGTGAAAAAGTAGTTTGCATCTCGTTAATCAATTTATGAGAAGAAAAATCGAAAAAATCACAATCCGCCTTCTAGAAACGCGTTTTCTGTGTGCCAGCATTGTGTCGTCGTCGTCGTTGTTGTTGTGTCGTGGTCTTAAGTTATCTCGGGACGTTGCTGGTTGGTGGTGTTTAACTTGTTGGCTGGCTGGCTGTCTGGGCAATGTTTTCATGTGTTTGTTGTTGGCGTTTTCATTTGATTGTTGGCCAAAACAAACCAAACCTAGCATAAGCCGACTTTTCTTTCCTGTGTCGTTGTTTGTGTATTATTCTCGTCATCTCTGCCAGTCTATTTCGACTAGAGGAGCAAGCGTAGCTAAGCAGCTACAGCAACAAACACACTGCTGGGGGAGAAAAACAGGATCAAGATTAGTGTGACCGCAGAAAAATCAATTTCAAGTTTACGGCTCCAACTTTAGCAACTCACCTGTATGCATACATACATCATCATAAGCCGAAATACCGCAAACTTAGCTTGCAAACTTAGCTTGTATTCTTGAATGAGTGTTGGTCTGTCGCATCTTCAACTAAATTGTCAAGTAAGACGGAAGCAAAAACATTAAAAGCTGATCATTTGCTATTGGCAATCTCTCGAGGAGGAAAAATAAGTTAAAAGCAATTAAACGAAGATTCGTCGAGTAAAAGTACCCATTCCGACCAAGTATCGACTTACTCCCTTCCTATGTGTGAAAGAAATCTCAGACCAAACAACAACATTAAGCAATCAAACACTAACATCATTAGCCGCTTCACCTTTGACGTTTGCTACATCGTTCATTGTCTTCGTTTTCTTCATTGCCGTTCGCACACAATTAACTAGATTTGGTTGGTTTTCTACACACTCTCTCTTGGTTTTTGGTATTTTGTCATCGTAGTTAGCATCATTATCACCAGCAGGCAACACATACACCATCATTATGCTGCGATTCTTGAGTCGACGCAAAGCTCGAAATAATTACGTAGAAACTGCTAGTGCAGACAACGCAAATGATCGCACCGATGGACGAGGTCCTTACGGGGCTGGAGGTGGTGGCGGCGCTAACTCCTCACAAATAAAGCCACAACGAATACCGGTGAATAAGAATAAAATCGATTGCCGGGTAATACTTTTGGATAACACAGATCTCTCGATTGAATTGTCGGTAAGTTTGACACAACACAACAGCAGTGAATTTCTTTAATGGAATATCAACTAAAATAAGAAAAAAACTATTTACGCCCCTTTTTTATGTAAACAAATTATGTGCAACTAACTGCTCACAATGCACTATGCTGATCTCTCTTTGTATTTGGGAACACGACATTCCCGATATGTTAAAGCATTCATAGATATCTATTTGGAATTCAAAATTCTCACGTATAGCAGATTTCATTTTTAATATGAAATTGAAAATTAAGCCAGAATCAAGAATTTGAAAAATAGCACTCCAACTACTCAGTGCTTTTTATTTGTAAAAGTCACATGCATACACTGCGAGTACAAGGGTATTTGTGTAGCTGTTTTATTGCTTTCTTTGATAGGTAAATTGGCAAAATTCAGAATTTTTTGTTTTATAAACAAAAGTATTAATAAAACAACGTTTTCTCAATACAGGGTGCGACAAAGTCGAACGCCATAATTTTGACATTTTTTTTTATTTTTATTGATTGAAAGTAAAAACTGTCGGAAATAGCATCAAATTTTAGAATAAGTTTAGATTTGTTCGAATTGGACACTTTTGGCACGAATTATGGCCTTCAAACCTCCAATGAAACCGTCACACGCTGCCCAAATGTTGTTCTGTGGTATTTTGGCCCATTCCCGGCGAAGCGCTTGCTTGAGGTGATCGATGCTTTGATATTTTTAGTGCCAACCTTGCTTTCCAAAATACTCCAGACACAATAGTCCAATCGATTGGTATCCGGAGATTTTGGTGGCCATTGTGCGCTGGAAATGAAGGGAGGAACCTCATTTTGTAACCATTCTTGGGTGGTGCGTGCTGAGTGCGATGGTGCTGAGTCCTGTTAGAATGTCCAAGGTCTGCGGCCAAAGTGTTTGCATGCCCAAGGCTTTAATACGCCCTCCAGAATATTTTCGCGATAATATTCGGCATTTATTCTGATGCCACGGTCGACTAATACGAGCGGAGAGCGCCCACACCATCACCATGGCCGGCGCTTGAGTTCTGGTGGCCAACCGAAGGTGCACATTTTCAGCTGAACTCTTTGGCAAGTAAACACGATCATTTTGTTTGTTTACAAGCTACTGGACAACGAATTTTTTCTCTTCGGAGAAAACCAAATTCGGCAGTTCACCACTTTCGGCCAAGCGAAGCAGCTTTTTTTTGGGCCTATTTTCTTTCTGTGGCGGTGTAAGTTCTTGCACTTTTTGGAATTTCAATGGCTTTACCCAGAGCTCATTTTTCAATATTTGCCGAATGGAATATTGCGATATGTTCAGCTCACAAGCCATTTTTCGGCCACTGCGACGCGGGTTTCGATCAAGTCGCTTCTTTACTTTTCGAACAATTTCTGCTGATGTTGCCGTTTTCTACCGTCCACTTCCTTGACGTCGGGCTCCGCTACCAGTAACACCATAACGAGCGACGGTACGAAACACAAATTATTTATTCACATTTAAATGCTGGAGTGCCCTAACGATAGCCACTTGTGGTTTTCCAGCCAAATATAAATCACGCTTGAATAACATCACGAATAATTTTTTTCTGGAAAATTCTCACCAAATGTCAGTGGAATAATTTTAACAGCTGTCGGTCGAGTGACTTGGAAATGACAGCAGTCTGAAGTTGGTTGCAGTTTTTTCATTTCACCCTCTATGTCTGAAAAACGATACCAAAATCTATGGATTAACATGTCAAAATGTCTCCCGTTTTAAATAATGCTTTAAAATATATAACAAATATTCTCATGGCATTATAAACTAGGAAATTAATACTTTTTCTGGGGTTGACCTTGTGTGACTAATGTTTAAATAGCGAATTAAATTTTGTTTGCAAACTATTATCTACATATATGCAAAGATATTTTTCTTTTTTTTTACTTTCAATGTTTCTCCAACGCCAACGCTTGTTTCTGTGTCAATACTTCGCTTACGCATACAGATTTGTTCAAAGTTTTATCAAATCGTTTTTACTTTCAGAAAAAGGCAATGGGCAACTTTCTGTACGAGCAGGTATTCTACAATTTGGATATTATTGAGAAAGACTATTTTGGTTTGCAGTTTATGGATGCCAATCATGTCAAGCATTGGCTAGATCCCACAAAACCCATCAAGAAACAAGTGAAAAGTAATCACATTTTATAACTGCCCTCTTTCTATTATGAATAACAATGTGTATAAATATTTCCTTCCAGTTGGTCCGCCATATACATTCCGTTTGAGAGTAAAGTTTTACTCTTCCGAACCAAATACTCTGCGCGAAGAGCTGACACGCTATTTATTTTTCCTACAGCTGAAAAATGACCTGCTGGAAGGTCGTCTGGAATCTCCTGAAGATAAGGCTGCCGAATTGTGTGCTTTGGCATTGCAATGTAATTATTTTAAAACAATACAACTGACATGAAAATGTTTTATTCCAAAATTTTAATTACTTTTAGCTGAATTGGGCGATTACGATGAACAAGTGCATACCGCTGCAACAGTATCGGAATTTCGTTTTGTACCCGATCAAACAGAAGAATTGGAAATCGCTATTTTAGAAGAATACAAAATGTGTCGTGGTCTTACCCCAGCGCAAGCTGAGTTGGCGTTTCTGAACAAAGCTAAATGGCTGGATATGTATGGTGTTGATATGCATACAGTTCTGGTAATTGTTTCTCTTTAAATCACATCGCTGCATATGTCTTAAATAACTTTATTAATATTTCTTTTTATAGGGCAAAGATGGATGTGAATATCACTTAGGCTTAACTCCAACTGGCATATTGGTTTTTGAACGTGATCAAAAAATTGGTTTATTTTTTTGGCCGAAAATAAGTAAACTTGATTTCAAGAAGAAGAAATTGACGTTAATTGTCATTGAGGATGATGACGAGGGTCGTGAACAGGAACACACATTCGTGTTTCGTTTGTATAACGAAAAAGCCTGCAAACATTTGTGGAAATGTGCCGTGGAACATCACACATTCTTCCGTTTGCGGGCACCCGTTAAGGGTCCATCTGCTCGTCAGAACTTCTTCCGTATGGGTTCACGTTTCCGTTATTCTGGCCGTACAGAATTTCAGGCTACTGTTCAGAGCCGAGCCAGGCGTACCGTACAATTTGAACGTAGACCGTCTCAAAGATTTGCCAGTCGTCAATCGCATTTGATGCGCGAACGCCAAAAGGCGTCGCAGGAGAATGCTGCCTCTGCTTTGGCTTCTGTGAATGCTAGAGCAGCTGCTGCGGCCGCAGCAATGGCTTCACCCTCTACCCAACCACCATTGCCCTTAACGCCCGATAATCTAAATGCAACCGTAGATTCTATTCTATCTACAGCCACCGTTGACAATCAACCCACCATAAATACCATTACCCCCTCGCCTTCCATTCAAACGGTTATACACAATACATCTGTATTTGATGATGCCATATGCGGAAGCTCAGTTCATTCGGGATCACAGAATAATGCCTGTGCATCATTAGGCCGAAATTCGATCAGATCGAATTCGAGTACTGATGATCCGGCGTACAGTAAGATTGGATCATTGGGCAAAGCAGCTGGATTAACTGTGAAGTGAGTGTTGAAAAAATGTTCCATATTATATTTAAGCTGTGGCTTACTAATTATGTTTGCATTGTTCTATTGTAGATTGGATTCAGAATGTGCTGGTGCTACAAATATTGCTCCCTATTCTCCCAATAATATCAAAAACTTTGAGGAAACAAATCCGTTCCGTACCAACATATCTCACAATGGTTCATTTGGCAAGGCGTCCATACATTCGGGCCTAAGGTTTGTATTTGTTGGTGTTGGTAGATTCGTTGTTCATTAATGTATTCTTTCCACTGAGATATTTGCTAACACAACTTGATTCTTAACATGTTGTTATTATATATTGTTTCCATTTAAAAACCATGCTAAAATAAAAAGTATATTCTTAGCGGGTTGAACATATTTAAAAAATTCAAAATTATGCTTGTATGCAATTGTGTTCACATACAAATGCAAACAAAATTGCAATGTGCCTTTTCTGCAGTAACATAATTTCAATTAAAACATTTTTATAATTTGTGTTGGCATCGTCTCGTAATATTGTTTTGGTCAACCATTTGCTAATATGTAAAACTTGTATTGTATTTTGATGTTTTTCATCGTTTCGTGTACTTTTTAATATGCTCATCAAGTTTTTCTGTTTCTGTTCTTTTTTGTTTCATATTTTTTGTGTATTTTATGTACAGCATTAAGAGTGGCTTGTCGGATAAAGATAAAGAGCTAGATTCATTACTAAAGTCCATTGTTAAAGATCCATCCCCATCAGTCTTAGCTACTGAGGCAATTAACGATGCTAACAGTATCAGGTAGAGTAAACCAATGCCTAATATTTATTTGTTATCAGAACCAAAAGCACTTAATGAAATACTAACGCTTATTTTAAATTTTAGAGTAACTATTAATAAAACGTACGACATGGATCATAATACGGAAACGCTGAAACGGTTATCATCGACTTCCGAGAAGCCCAACAATCAAGTGAAGTTGGCTAATGTTGGAGCAGGTGCATTACCACCTGGACATATTAAATGCAATATTTTAAAAGGTATGATATTTTATAGAAATGTACTTAGTTTACATGATGTCAGAGTGGAAAATGATAAAAAAAAATTCTAAGGTTTTTGTTGGAGCACAGTTAATCTGATAAAATAAAAAGTGAACCCCATACCTGAGGATCTTCATAGCAAAAATATTTTATAGTTCTCTTATCTTCTTCAATTAGCCCATCTCCATTTTTTATATAATGATTATTCTGAATTTTCTGAATACCATTTAATTATCTTAATTTTCCAGTTCCCTTTTTCTATACAAAATAACTTTTTTCCTGAACAAATGCCACTTCCTTAGGCCATTAAAAGCTTAACTCGAAAGAGCAAATCAAACCAAATATTCATCAAAAACTTATCTTCACCTTAACAAGGCAAACATTTTAAATAAAAAAATTCTTGTTTCAATGGTCGTATCTCTCAACTCGCAATTCGCCGTTTGCTACAACCTAGTATTGGTTTAGCTTTCCTCAATAATTTGTAAACAAATTTGAAATCAAGCCCGAATTTTTGTGTCCACAAAGTCCTATTGGAAATTAACCATATTATGTAATATTATAATTATTTTAATAATTTAATGTAAAAATTAACCATATTTATTTAATGTTTACATTTATTTATATTCGTTTTTTTTTTGTTTATTTCCAAACTAGCTCGAGTCGAAGAGGAGCTTGGAGCGAATACAAATGCAAAGCTGACGAATCAAATGTTTGTGCCTGCAGCTACATCGATAAATAACAACAATAACAACATCAATTGTAATAGTAACATAACGAACAACATTATACACCACAGCGAAGGACCGGACTCCATCAATGCCACCTACATTTCAGTTGTAAGTACAACATTCTAAAACTAGCGGGTTTTTTCCTGTTTGTATGCCTGCACTTGAAGTGTGCCAAAACATTCAACAAGCTAATGGCTTCATATATGTCAGGCATTTACTGCTCCACAAAAATATTTATTATATGTGTGTGTGTATGCGCGCATGTGTTATATACCTCATGATTTTGTTTATATTTTGCTTTTGTTTGCTAAGCACTTTCATTTTATTTACATTGCTATTATTGTGTTTTTGTTTTTATTTTTTATTTTCATATTTGCGTTGTTGTTATTTTATGTTTCTAAACCATAACGTTTGTTATAAAAACGTTGTGGCATGCTTGTGTGTTTGTGTAACATAACTTGAAAATCGCCAAAACAAACATTGTCTGCCAGGGGGGCGATAAACTGACTTTGAGCATAACGGAACAGAAGCCCACCACCACCGCCCTGAATTCTGGTAATAATTTATTTGGTTTATCCGGCACGAGCACAAGCTCTAATAGTATTGGTCACAATACCTCAACTACCACCACACCAACATCTCCATTTGCTAATGCCACTTTTATATCAGAATTCAACACCAACAGCACCCATCAGACATCATCAACCACCACTTCTCCACCAAACTCTCTAACCATTTTGAATACCATACCATCGTCGTCGTCGTCCAATCATAACAACAATAATACTAGTAACACTACCACAAACAACAGCAGCACTGGCCCATCTGCAAGCACAATAACAAACAACACATCGTCCTCAGCGACCAATACTAATGCCGAGACGACAGGTTCATCGTCAACGTCAGCACAAACGAAATGCACAACTCCCACACTAACATCGACTACGGCGGAAATGTTAATAAATGAGATATTCATTAATAATATTATCAATAACAATGTAAAAGCCAGTACTGAGATGAACAACAGCAGCGGCAAGCAAACAAACGGCCACAGCGAAGTCGATTCGTCGCCGGCATCCTTGTCTCGGTCGTCTACTAACAATCCCACTCCATCTGTGGGCACCCTATTGTTTTCTACTTTAAGCGAACAGGAACGGCAACAGAAGCAACGCGATGCCATAAATAAACAGAATTCAATGTATGCTCAACAGGCGAGTGAAAAACCAGAAAGTTTTGCAGATAAAAACAAGGTTTGTTTTGGTTTCACTTTTAATTTTGATTTTTAATTTATGTAAATTTATATTTTGTTTCACTGTTATTTGCATATGTCTACGCTTATGTGTTTTATATGTTTTATATATACAATTTTTGAAGAATTTTCTTTGAGCAAAATTTTACAACATTCATGCTTGCTTTGTGTGCTTATAAAGTGGTAATATTTTATACTTTTTTTTATTTAATTATGTGAAGTTCTTCACAATGGGGGTATTATGTTTTTATCCTCTTGTTTGCAGAATGTAAGAGAAAATTGGATAAGTTCCAAATTTCTTTTGAGCTGGTTCTCTTTTTAACCCTCAGCCATATGGCTAGAGAGGCATTTAATACGGTTAAAACGTCCCTAGTCAAAATAAAGGTTTTAGGCCCTATGTGCCATTCGACCAAATCCGTTTCAGGACATTTGGAGTCGATCTAGCGATGTCCGTCCGTCCGATGTCTGACAGGTGCGCACGATAACTCTCGAAGGGAGTATCCGATTTGGCCCTAAATTGGTACATTATTGTCAAACTTAGATCGAGTTCGAAAATGGGCAATATTGGCCCACTCCTTCTGGTACCTCCCCAAAAATATCGAAATTGTGCGATTTTGTTCCAACTTTGCACATACTAATATTTGCTATATATAGTGCTAGCTCAGGTTCAAGTACCTCCCCCCAAAGGGTCGACATTTTGGATAATCTTAACTTTTATAAAATGTGATGCAAGAGTCCGATTGTCTTCATCACAAGTGGTCATCACAATATTTTGATAAACCTACGGTCTGGTATAAAGATGGGATATTTCGGTCCACTCCTTCTGGTACCTATACCACAAAGGGTCAACATTTTGAATATATATGAAGCTCATAAAACGTGAAATTAACATCCGATGACAAGTAAAAAATATGGTGAAAAATACTGTTCAAAATCATAAAAATGCCAAATATAGGAAATTACCGTATAGGGAGGGGCCGATATATGAGACCTAGACGAAGACGTGGACTTGCATGCCGAATTTTTTTTTGGTACAGGTTGTAGTACCCTTTACGAAATTTGAATAAATTCTGGTGAATATGTCGCTAAAGTCGTCAAAATACTGAATATTGGGGGCTACACGAGGTCATGGACCCGCATATTCAATTTTCTGTCATAGACAGTAACACCAACAGCGAACTACAAATACGAAATATGAGATCATTTTGGTGAATAATGTACAGGGAAGTACTGTTATATGGGGACTATACCAAAACGTGGACCTATACAGCTCATTTTCAATACCAACAGTCCTGTAAGCCAAACACACATCTGTGTAAAATTTTGTCAACCTACTTCAATTGGCAAGAGGTAAATTGACATAGAATTTCATGCTGATATATATATTTCTTAGGTTCGACAATGTATATTTCGTGGTGATCCAAACGGAAAGACAAAGTTAAAATTCCCTCCATACTATAGTGGAGAGTACTATAACTGAGGAAATACATCTGTCGGCAAAACCGATTAATATTTTTTTTTTGCCAAGTTAAGAAAATCTCGTTTTATAACAATCCATCACCATATCCATTCAAAGAGCAATTCTTGTATATTTGGCTAAAACTTGAGAATTGACAGTACCTCTATTATGGACTTTAAAAGAGTTTTTTTCCTAAAGTGACATTTATGTAATTAATCTAATCTTTGTATTTGCAATTTTCTTTTCCAGCCCTATTCACAAAAACAAAACCTTCACAATCATGTCATAACAACACAAAACGATGCAATGGTCTCACCATGGTTGGTATCCTCCGAAGTAGTGTCTGCGCCTAAAAGTAAAGAACCAACGATCATCAGAAAATCTGTTATTACAACACAGTTGTAAGACGAATTTTAATTTATTCCCCCGTTATTACATTATCTATTTGACTAACTATGTATCTATTTAATTATCTATTTATTTTTCTACTTAAACAAAAAGTGATCATGAGCATATAATTCGTGTAAAGATTTTAATTTGTATCTTCGAAACAACAAAGGCAAAGCACGTTTGCAACTGAGAAAGCAATTTCGAAAGACAATGAATTTTCTTTTTAGATTGATAGATAACTTTGAAAAAGTTAACTTTAGATTATAAGTGCCTTAAATGCAGCTATTGAATTTTATTCGAAACAAATCTACTTAAAATAAGTACTTAAACATCCATTCCAATTTAAATGGAATCCCCCTACCCCTAAGCAAAAGTGACTTATATATCAAAATTAATGATTTACATGGACCATCGTTAGTAAAGGCATTTATTTTATTATGTGTATCTTGAATATATCTATATTTGTGTGTCTATTCGATAACAATAACAAAACAACATTCCAATTTTTGAATGTAACTTTGATTCCTTCCATTAATGTGTATTTTTTTTAATTTACCTAAGTAGTTAATGTCTTCTTGAATATTATTTAAATTGTAAGCATTGTATTTTATACATATTTCCATACATACCGACACATAATGCATATGTTTTACCATACACCAACTCACAACAATACATTACAATGTATTGAGTTGCCCCCCTCAAAAAGTATTATATCCGAAAACGTATCATCGACGAATAAACAAACATACAATACAATCAAATTGAAACAATTGCAATTATAAACATACATACATAAATATATTTTTTAAATCCAATACAATAAATAACAACGATATTTTACATAAACCTATCTATACATATATATTTAGATATATAACTACTATTATAAAAAGTATATACATACATCTTTATTTAAATAAATAAATAAATATTCCCACATATACAAGCAAAATGAAACTTTTTGAACTTATCTCTAGGTACAGACGATTCCTGTACCAAGTAGGGAAATTCAATTCGCTAAAGGGCTCTTAATTTTTGTTGTTTTTTTTAACTGTAATAAACCTTAATACCAGTCTTAATAACAAATTTAGAAGATGATTTGAAACTATACTTTTAAATGTATTTTTTTATTCTCGTTAAATAAATATTTCCAAATCAAAAACTATTCCTACATATACAGGTTGAGATGAAAAAACTGTAACCAACTTCAGACTGCTGTCATTTCTAAGCCACTCGCCCGAAAGCTGTTAAAATTGTTCCAGTGACAGCTCATTATATTGTTTACAAGCATACAAAAGCATTTTGGTGAGAATTTTCCAGAAAGAAAGTTATTCCGGATGGAATTCAAGCGCGATTGTGTGATTTCTTTGTATTTGGCTGGAAAACCCAAGTGGCTATCGTTAGAGTATCCCGCATCGATCGAAACCCGCGTCGCAGTGGCCGAAAAATGGGTCGTGAGCTGAACATATCGCAATATTCCATTCGGCAAATATTGAAAAATGAGCTCGGGGTAAAGCCATTGAAATTCCAAAAAGTGCAGAAACTTATACCTCAACAGAAAAAAATAGACTCAAAAGAGCTAAAGAGTTGCTTCGCTTGGTCGAAAGAGGTGAACTGTCGAAATTGATTTTCTACTATGAGAAACCATTCGTTGTCCAGCAGTTTGTAAACAAACAAAATGATCGTGTTTACTTGCCAAAGAGGTCAGCTGAAAATGTGCACCTTCGGTTGACCACAGAACTTAAGCGTCGTCCATGGTGATGGTGAGGGCCGCCATAACAGCTGATTGTCGCTCTCCGCTCGTATTAATCGACCCCAGCATCAGAATAAACGCCGATTATTATAGCGAAAACATTTTGGTCGCAGACCTTGCATATTCCAACAGGACCTAAGAATGGTTACAAAATGAGGTTCCTCGCTTCATTTTCAGCGCACAATGGCCACCAAAATCTCCGAATACCAATACGTTGGACTATTGTGTCTAGATTATTTTTGAAAGCAAGGTTGGCACTAAAAAATACCAAAGTGTCGATCACATCACGCAAGTGCTGCGCAGGGAATGGGCCCAAATATCGTAGAGAAACATTCGGCCAAAGGTGATCAATTCGAACAAATCTAAACTTGTTCTAAAATTTGATTTTAAGCTATTTCCGACATTTTTTGCTTTCATTCAATAAAATTTAAAAAGAGATAGAAAAAATATGGCGTTTTTTGTGTCTCACCCTGTACATGCAGAATTATTTTTTTAATTATTTCTGAAGAAAATCGAAAAAGTAACAAAATTCAATTGTTTTTAGGCCTTTTAGTTTTGATTACAATATATTTTTAAATTTTAAATAAAAAATTCAGAAAAAGTTAGTGAAGCAACTTTTTCTAAGATGAACATTTTTGAAGATGATTTTATTGCTTTATTTGACGACTCTTTTAATCTTCGTTTGCTATTTTCATTTGATCAGTAACAAGAACGTTTTTTTATCTTACCCACATCTAAATTGTGACTTCCTGCTTCACTGTAACATTACATTATTGCAATTAAAGTAATCTCATGTATTAATCAGACCATATGCCAATTGTATTATTGGCCATAAAATTTCAAAATTTATTACGATTTTAATTTCAAAATAATAATAACCTGAAATTAAAATCGGTATAATTGAAAAGTAAAGTTATCCAATAAAAAGTCTATTTTAGCACTTTCACAGATGGGAGTGGCAACATATCGATTGATTTCAGTATTTGAACTAAATGGCCAATAACATTTCACATTTTATGACATTACATATAATTAATATGTAGGTGTGTATTGACATTTATAGGACATAATTAAATGCAAAAAGTTTATTGGAGACAAAGAGTTTGTGCACTACAACAGCTGAAAATAATAGAAGGCAAAATCCAACTTTCCAACTTTATGTAGGTTGAAGTTTGCTATTCAATATTTTGTGGTTTCTGACGTTGTTATAAAAATAGTTCTTTATTTTCTGGACGAATAGGATTTTGGTATTTTCAAAGCGGTCTACTGAATGTTATATTTTGCACTTATAGCTCAATTACAAGAAAAAAGTTTATTTAACTATATTTTTTCGATAATTATTTGAGTTAGTAAGTTTGTATATTTTAAATTACAATAAGCAAAAAAAAAAAAAAAAAAATAGAATTTTTTCATTTAAACAAACCCGGTACTTTTATTCATCTTTCTTCTTTTGTTCAGAGACTCAAAATAAAATTTGATCTATAATAATTATTGATTGAGGTAGATTTGGACTTTGATTGGAAATGTGATAAATTAAATGTAAAAAAGCAAACACATCATTTTTACTTGAAAACTGTAGTACCCAGATATATGGTTTATTTTGAGATTTATATTGAAAGATTGTGTAGAATATTTCTTCTTTAGACACTTCCCACCAAAAATGAAATTTTATTTTACTGTCAGGTGTCAACTTGAAAAATTCCGAGGAAAATTGGTCAACAATTAGGTATTATTTTCTTTTTTATTTGAGTGGAATTTTTGCAAATATTTTTATGGAGAATATTTTTTCTTTGACGACATCCTTCTAAAATGGTGCTTTGATGCTGATTTTTGCACAAACTCACACAATGTACGGCTTAAACCTTTTAATACTTACTTTTAACGTCTTTTTGGACCTAACGTAGAATTTTATGATTTATTTTGATATGATATGATCACGTTTAGTCGGAATTTTTAGCCATGTTTATTAATCAGCAATATTGCCGAAGATAACCTAAATGCACGGATTCCGAGGAATCTTAATCCAAAAATGTCCACAAGTTTGGAATAGGGAACAGTTTATTCCCTGCAGGTAAGATACCCAAGGAATCCTGATCAGTGGTCTAGAAATCATGGAATTCTTTTCTTAAAAACGTGATTGCTGGGACTTTGCATTTTCATCTGTAATGAACACAAATACAGATATCAATTTTTCAATTGAGATTGGCCGATTTTTTGCATTCAATATCAAATGAGAGAATTTGGCCCAACTCCGATCCGGGTTAATTATTAACTATTTTTATAACCTCTCTATCCTTTAGCGACATTTTTCACCGGAATTGTTTCAAATTTGGTATTTGAAGTTCGTAATGGAGCCTATGACAGAAAATTGTCTGTGCAGGTCCACGTCTTCGTATAGGCCTCATATAACGGCACCTCCCAATATTCGGTATTTTGATGATTTTAGCGACATTATTCACCGGAATTGTTTCAAATTTGGTATTTGAAGTTCGTAATGGATACTAGAGCCTATGACAGAAAATTGTCTGTGCAGGTTCACGTCTTCGTATAGCCCCCATATAACGGCACCTCCCAATATTCGGTATTTTGATGATTTTAGCGACATTATTCACCGGAATTGTTTCAAATTTGGTATTTGAAGTTCGTAATGGATACTAGAGCCTATGACAGAAAATTGTCTGTGCAGGTCGACGTCTTCGTATAGTCCGCCTATAACAGTACCTTCCAAAATTCGGTATTTTGATGATTTTAGCGACATTATTCACCGGAATTGTTTCAAATTACGTATTTAGAGTTCGTAATGAGAACTACAGTCTGTGACAGAATATTGTCTATGCAGGTCCAGGTCTTCGTATAGGCTCCATATATCAGTACCTCACTATATAAGGTATTTTGACTATTTTAGGTACTATATTCATCGAAATTGTTTGAAATTTCGTTTTTTAAGTTCCTAATAGGTGCTACATCCTGTGACAGAAAATTGCCCATGGAGGTCCAGATTTTCGTACGTACCCAAGTATACCCAATATAACGATATCCCTATATTGGGTTTTTAATGATTTTAGCTACATTATTTACCTGTTTTTTTTCAAGTTTCATATTTGAATATTGTAATGGCTTATGACAAAAGTTCCCCATCTTCGTATAGACCTCAATATAACGGCTATATTCTGTATTTTTCAGATTTTAACAGAATTTTTAACGGATTTTCCTTTTTTTTAATTTCCAAAGTAGTTCCAAATGGTGGAGGGTATTCAAAATTCGGTCCGGCCGAAATTACTGTTTTTTTTTACTTGTTTTTAGGTAATTTTAGTAGCACCAAGTTTTCGACACAGTTCTATATTACATATACCATGCCTGGTACCACACCAAATTTGAAAACATTTTAATATTGCGTTGGCAATTAAGTAGAGATATATTTAAACATTGTTCGAAACGGGTGAATTTGAAGGAATATTTCAATGTTTTCAATCCCCGTGGAAGATGGTAACAAAAGTTTGTTCGGGCGCACTTTCCACCTCTTTTAATTGTTGAAATAAAATATGCCAAAATAATATGTAGAGGGAAGAACAGAACACATTTTTCCAATTATGTATTTATGAAGAGACAGTATACAAATTAACAAAATTATTTCCCTGCGATAGGTAATAGGATATGTTTAAATAAAATGGAATTATGTATTCTCCTATACTATTTGTTTTAGGCAATTACAAAATTTTCTCGTGGCCATTTGAATTTTGCCCAGATTTGTTGGTTCTTGCTGCCTTAATAGAAGAAACCCGTTGGCATTACGGATACAATTTCAAATGAGAGCATTTGCTAAATTAGTTAAAATTCAAAAAAAAAAAAAAAAAAAACACAACATCCGATGGATAGATGGATGGGATGTGCATGATTATACCAACAAATACCAGGCATCCAAGAAAATATAGCTAAAAAAACGATAGAATTCCATAAAAATGTGTATATAGGTGTACGTACACACAGTGTATACACTAGCTACATTGTATGTGTGTACATACATATAGACTTCGGAATATGTATGCGTTATAGAGATTTCGTGATACAAGAAATATGCAATACATATCGATGAATATTTTTAGAATTTCAAATAAATCGCAGACATATTCGTGAGAATTTCTTAACCCACACATGTAGCCACATGTGTGTGTGTATGTATCTATTTCCTCTCGCTGGTGTACACCACTCAAACAAAAGGTCATATTGGAAAATGCAAACAAGACGTAAGGTGTAACCGAGGAAATGATCTAATAGGGTAGGCGATCGCCCACAGACATGACGACAATGTCCTCTTGAGAGCAGTGGCTTCTGTTTTCAAGTGTGTGTTTCGAGGGAGGCAGTTTAGATTAACGCGCACACATGTGTTCTCAGCGGCAGCAGCAGCAGCCATCAGCAGACTTGAGGCCCGCACTTGAGGAGTTGAGATTTTATTGTTTTGTTTTGTAGTCTTGTTATTGTTACAGGGCCATGGCAGCCTCTGACGCCAGACAGATGCCAAACATCTGGTGGCCATATTTGAGTATTTTTAGAAATCACTTGAAATCAGTTTGAATGACAACCTAACCCCCTGGACTCCTTGGGCTGCAGCCAGCCATTTGAAATGGGGGGCGCATGCGTGTATCATTTTTAGACCTACACCAATCTGCTTCCTACACCACCCCCCACCCTCCCCTTCCAAGGGGGCAACAATGAAAATGCCCATTTTCTTATTTTATTTTAAGTGTTGTGTTTATCTCTCAATTTATGTTTTCTTTATTTTCTCGCATAGTTCTAAAAAAATTTACAATATCTTTTGTTCTCCTCTTTCTCAGGTCCATGATTTTTTGTTGTTGTTCTTCTTCTTTTTTTGTTGTTTTGATTAAACTTAAAAATAATTAAATGATAATAAAGGGGGGAAGGGGAAATTATAATAGAATAGTTAAAGTTAAAATGAAAATTGTAGAATAATTGTTTGTTGTTGGAGCGTTATGACCCTCGAACACAACGAGTGCATCCGTGGGAAGGCACTGGTGCTGGTCAGCAGGAGCAGCAACAGCAGCAGAGCATTCGTCAGCGAGTGTATCGGTGTGTGAGGTCGCCGCCAATGATGTTGTTGATGTTGAGTGCAGCTGGAGGGGGGCGTGTCGCTTAGAAACACTTGCGGTGGACAATGCCGGGGCCGGATTCGTCGTATTCTTGCTTGGAGATCCACATCTGTTGGAAGGTGGAGAGGGAGGCCAAGATGGAACCACCGATCCAGACGGAGTATTTGCGTTCTGGGGGAGCGATGATCTTGATCTTGATGGTGGATGGGGCCAAGGCAGTGATTTCCTTTTGCATACGATCGGCAATACCGGGGTACATGGTGGTGCCACCGGACATGACAATGTTGGCGTACAAGTCCTTACGGATATCGACGTCGCACTTCATGATGGAGTTGTAGACGGTTTCGTGGATACCGCAAGATTCCATACCCAAGAATGAGGGTTGGAAGAGGGATTCTGGGCAACGGAAACGTTCGTTACCGATGGTGATGACTTGACCGTCGGGAAGTTCATAGGATTTCTCCAAGGAGGTGGAGGCGGCAGCGGTGGCCATTTCTTGTTCGAAGTCCAAGGCAACATAGCACAATTTTTCCTTGATGTCACGAACGATTTCACGTTCAGCGGTGGTGGTGAAGGAGTAGCCACGTTCAGTCAAGATCTTCATCAAGTAGTCGGTCAAATCGCGACCAGCCAAATCCAAACGGAGGATGGCATGGGGCAAGGCATAACCTTCATAGATGGGGACGGTGTGGGAGACACCATCACCAGAATCCAAAACGATACCGGTGGTACGACCGGAAGCGTACAAGGAGAGAACAGCTTGGATGGCAACATACATGGCGGGGGAGTTGAAGGTTTCGAACATGATTTGGGTCATCTTCTCACGGTTAGCCTTGGGGTTCAAGGGGGCTTCAGTCAACAAGACTGGGTGCTCTTCGGGGGCGACACGCAATTCATTGTAGAAAGTGTGATGCCAGATCTTTTCCATATCATCCCAGTTGGTGATGATACCGTGTTCAATGGGGTACTTGAGGGTCAAGATACCTCTCTTGGATTGGGCTTCATCGCCGACATAGGAGTCCTTTTGGCCCATACCGACCATCACACCTTGATGGCGGGGACGACCTACAATGGAGGGGAAGACAGCGCGGGGAGCATCATCACCGGCGAAACCAGCCTTGCACATACCGGAGCCGTTGTCGACGACCAAAGCAGCAACCTCATCATCACACATTTTGGAGTTTTTGTGTTGTTACTGTACGAATTTACGGAGGGGGAGGGAAAGAAAATAAAAAATGTCGGTTAGGAATGCAACGATTGTGAGATTTTCGGGCGGGGAAAATATAAAAAATAACGTGGCGGTGAAGAAAGTAATTCTTTTGAGTGGTAGTTTTTTTTTGGGTGGGGGTAGTACTGAGAGTTGTTTCCGAGGTTTTTATTACGGAATAGAAAAGTATCGGAAATTATTTTCGAGTTTTGCCTTGTTAAGAGCTAAAATGGCCCAAGTAACGTAAAATTTGAATACAGACGTAGTTGAAATTTATCTTTTTTGAAAATAAAAATAATCTTTATTTTGAGTTTTTTCATCTGAAAATTCCAGTTTTTTTAGAATTAATTCTTTAGGAATATATTAGTGATCTCTTCGTGGGAGTTGAAATGACATTTTCGAAACGTATACTCTCTCAGTGATAAAATTATTTTGTGTTTTCACTTTTTTACCGGATTTCTTTTTCTGGTAGTTTTGAAATGTGGAAAAATATGCCTGAATTTCTCATCAGAATTTATGTTTATCCAATTTTGTTTTTAATTTCAAAATAAATTTATATATATTGGATTTTGAATTTCAAAAAAAAAATCGTTTCAATTTTTTTTCTTAATTTGAAATGTGGAAAAATATGCCTGGATTTCTCATCAGAATTTATGTATATCAAAAATATTCTGATGCAATTAAAATGTTTTTTTGAAATTTATATTTATTGGATTTTAAATTTTAATTTCTTTAAACTACTAAATTTATATTTATTGGTTTTTAAATTGTAATAAATTGAGTTTAAGATTTAAAAATTTTGTGCCAAAAAATTGTAATTTTTTAAATAAAATTTATTTAAATTAAATTTTGAAATTTAAATTTGTTGAATTTTAAATTTTAATAAAGATAGTTTTTAACGTTTTAAAATTTGGAATGTTTCAAGTCTTTCAGAATTTTTCTTTTTCAAATAAATTAATTTAATTTTTTTTAATATTTAAATTTAATTTTTCCAATTACGAAACATTTGCGGATTTTTTTTTTTTATAATTTATTTTTCATTAGATAATCCAGGATATATTTTTTTGTATTCCAAATGTCTGGGAGTAATCCTTTTTGAGATGTGTCTATGTGCAAAGATATCACTTTTCAAATTTTCACCAATTATTCACCACTTTCTTCAATACCACTTATATTTTTTTAATTTTTCAAATATTTTTTTTTTAATATTTTTCAAATACTAACCGTTTACAAAAGAAAAGCTAAGAGACTAAATCAACACTTTCGCTGTAGAACTGCGAGTGACTGCTGGATTCTGATGTACTAATATTTATACCAGACATTGGAATTTTTGTATCTGAACAATTGGTACATATGATTTTCGTTACCCACACAGGCTCACGGCGGCCTCCCATACTCTGACAAAAAGGCGATGGCCATTCACACACATGGAAAAAGGCGCAGGCGTTGCATAGTTTAAGGAGAAATTTCAATACTCACGATTTTGAAATTCATAATTTTTTTAGAGAATTTTTGAAAATTTCTCAGTGTTTTCACTCTCTCTCTCGATATAGGGTAGAGAGCATATGTTGTTCTCTTTGAGATTTGAATATTTATTTTTGTATTTTTTTGTTTATATCCTCCATGTGTGATCTTTCATATCTCTCAACAAAAATCTTAACACACAAATGCATTTGGCCACTGAGGAGGATGGTGTACGTGGGGTATGGGATAGTCTACATATGGAGGCAGAGGGAGGTTATATGAAAAATCCAACAGCGCCAAATTTTGCAATATTAAAAAAAGAATTTCTCTCGATAAAACAAATTATTACATATCTTGAAAGAAATTTGTTGCTGTTGCTATTCTTTGTCTATATCACAACATTGGAATCTCATCCCATACATGGGAATGGATTCAAGAAAATGGACAAACATGAAGTATTTCGAAAGTAACAACGAAATGCAATTAATCAGAAAATGGTTTGGAATACCTAAAAAAATCGAATCAGTTCTTAAATTTCTATTAAAATATATTTTATTTAAATATATTTAATTTATTCCTAAATATCCTAAATAAATTATAAGTTTTCATAATTATCTCGTTCAACCCTTTCCCAAATATCATTGTAATTGTTAATACATATGTTTTTTTTGATTAATTACTCTCTGAGATCGATCAATTAATTAATTATAGATGATCTCTCCGAGAGCCAGAGTCTCAAAATTACTCAAAAGAGCATTCGTTTGTTTGTTGTTTCTGTTTTATTTCTTCTGAAAAACATAATTATCTAAAAATAATTTAAAAAGTAGGTGGTTGTTCCGAATTATTAAAAATCTATTCGTTGTTGTTGCTGTTAACGCTGCTGTTGAATTTCTTTATAGAAAATTCCAACAACAACGACAAAAACTATTAACCAATACCATTGCATGGGATCTGCTCTCGTATAGTATCACAAATTCATATTTGTTTTTCGAGTTGGCACAGGAGAATTATTGAAAAACAAGAGGAAGAACAAGCAGCAGCAGCCGACCAAAAAAAAAAACGGCAATTCAATTTTCATAATTTCTGAAAATATCTAAATCAGCTTTGGTTCATTTGAGAGCAGTACAAATTTAACAACAACCCTACACAGATGTTGTCAACAATCAAAAATTACAAAAACAAAACAGAAAAAATATTTGCAAATGAACCTACACAAAAATATTGAGACATGTTCCCAATGCCTTCCTACAACACACATTCTCCCTCTTCGAGTCTCTTGGGCCCGGAACCAATTTTCTTTCTTTGTTGTTTTCTTTTTTTGCTGAAATTTGGTTTTAAATCTAATTAAATTATTTTTGGTTGTGCTTTTCTATTTTTATTCTCCGCCATCGATACATATTCGAATATTATGAATAAATCGCATAGTTTCCAATTCTATGTCTCGCTCTCGGCTGGGTGACATGACAAAGAAAATACCTTTTGTCTTTGGAAAACATTTTTAACCGATGATGCATAACCCTAATCAACGCCACCCACAGCAGTACTCAAGAGATCTCTAAGGCATTTTCCCCCCCAAGACAATTTGTTTACACCTGACGGACATGTTGTTAATTCCCAATGTGACAACAACGCTGTGGCGAGATCGTCAATTTGTCTTTGTTCCGGGCAGTGCAACTTGTTCAAAGGATATTTTGATCATTTCATAATTTAAGGATAGACATTTTATTTTTATGGTTCATAACTACGGAAAGGGTCGGAACTTCCCGCTATAACACATCTAAAGCGAAAAACGAACTTCTTGTTAAAAGTCAATGTTAAAATATTCACATTTAAGAACAGCTGTACTCTAATATACGATTGAGTCAAATACGTATTTATTTTCGATACCAAAAGAAAACATTCGAAAAACATGTGAAATGAAAACTTTTACCAAAAAATAGTCAATTGAAAAAATAAGATCTTAATTTTAACGAATATGGTTATTATTTTCTTATCAAAAAAGGACGCAATCACAACGGGAATATTCTTAATAGTGGGCCCATATTGGACACTTTTGGCAAAAAAATATTCTACCCAAAAAAAAAAAAAAAAAAAAAATGGGTCATCAATTTTTATTTTTGACAGTCGTACCCACTTTCAAGCAGATTCATTCCAACTGTTCGTGTTAGGTCTTTTAGTAATCAAAATGTAAAATTTGTTCACTTGGACAACATTTTTAATCAAAACTTCAAGGTTTTATATATTAGTTAATATATTTTTCAGAAAGAATACTAGGAAACCCCGAAAAATCTTTCATTTTGGAATTTACCGTGGGGGATGTTAGTAAAATCATTGCACAGTGGACCCAGATTTTTATCCAAAACTATCCAATTTCTATCCAAAACTATTTCAAAGTCTCCATATGTAAACTCTAGAAACCAACAGAGACCTAAATATAAAATTTCTTTCCCTTTACCCAATACCAAATATACTAACATCTAGTACACATGTCCGAAACAATCTACATCTCTCCATCCTAGACAGTAACAGTTATCTAAAATTAGTAGCATTTAGTACATTTCGAACAACTATAGTACACATTTGCAAAACCAACACCAGATACTAACAGAGACCTCTATATCAAATTAGAGGATTGCAGCTCTCTACATTCACTCAATACCAAATTTTGTACCATTTAGTAATTTTGTATAATTTTAAGCAGAACCGTTCCATATCCGACAGACATCAACAGTTATCGTAATATAAAATTTCACGGTTTCAGTTCTCCTAATACCAAATTTAGTACCATTTTGTACTTTTCGTACATATAAAGTACACAATTCAAACTTCACAATTGTATCTCTACCCCTTCAACCAAGACCAAGTTTTGTACTTTTCGTACAATTACAAACCACACATCGCATTTCAAACCACCCGTAAAACTGAAATCCAGATACCAAAAAAAAATCTCAATATCAAATTTCACAATTGTATATCTATCCCTTCAACCAATGTAAGTTTGGTACTATTTAGTACATTTCGTACAAATATAGTATACACCTCCATATTCCAACTTCCATTTTCCAACTGAGACACATTTAACAAATCCAGCGCAATCCCTTCAACCGGTAACAAATTAACATTCAGCACTTTTCGTACAAATATATAATGCATTTCCAAATCACCGCGAAATCTCAAATACATATACAATTGGCAACCTAAATATCAAATTTCAAAATTTTAACCCTATTCTCTATTCAACCATGACCAAGTTTAGTACAATTAAAGTACACATTTACAAAACCACCTCCATAGCACAATTCCAGGTGCCAACAGAAATCTCAATATCAAATTTGAGGATTCCAGCCCTATCCCTTCACCTAAAACCAAATTTAGTACAATTTAGTTCGAACAATTACCTCCATATCTTAACCACAGACACCAACAGTGACATCTATATCAATTTTCAGGATTTCAGCTGTATTTTTTCACCCAGTTCCAGTTTTAGTACCGTTTAGTACTTTTCGTACAAATATAGTATACATTTTCAAAAGCACCTACATATCTCAATTCCATATACCGACTAAGACCTGAATATCAAATTTGAGGATTCCAGCGCTATTCCTTCACCCGATAACAAATTTAATACCATTTCAAACTTATTTTCTAGCCTTGATTCCGATAACAAATTTCAAGTTTTTAGCTCTTTAGTTCCAAGGTCTATTGGCCTAATCCGTTTCAGAACATTTGGTTTCGATCTAGCGATGTCCGTCCGTCTGTCTGTCTGGCTGGTGCGTACAATAATTCTCGAAGAGAGTATCCGATTTATTCCAAACTTGGTACATCGTAATATTATTGTCAAATTCAACCGAGTTCGAAAATGGGCAATATGGGTCCACTCCTTTTGGTACCTCCCACACAAAATGTGGAAATTTTCAAAGAACAGATTTTATTGCACATAAAGGAAAAGGATGATCCGATTATGATCCAACTTTGCAAATACTAACATTTGCATTACTAGGTCAGGTGCGAAAATGGACAATATCGGTTCATTTCATCAAGTACCTCCCCCACAAAGGTTTACCCATTGTGAATAATTATCACTCGTATAAAATGTGATTTAAGAGTCTGATTGTCTTCAAATTTCACACATCCCAATATTTTCATTAACCCAAGGTCTGACGCTAAAATTGAATACATCGGTTTACTCGTTCTTGTACCTCCCACACAAAATATCGAAATTTTCAAAAAAAAAAATAAAATATATATATATATATATAAAATATATATTTTCTGCATAGAAAGATAAACGATGATCCGATTTTGCTCCAACTTTGCATATACTAAACTTTGCGTCAGTGCTAGGTTAGGTGCGAAAATGGAAAATATCGGTCCACTCCATCAAGTACCTCCCCCACAAAGGGTCAAAATTTTGAATAAATATAACTCGTATAAAATGTGATGTAAAAGTCTGATCAAATTTCACACATCCCAATATTTTTATTAACCAAAGTGTGAAAATAGAATGTATCGGTTCACCCCTTCTGGTACCTCCAACCTTCTGGTACCTCCAACACAAAATTTTGAGTAACCATGAAGCTCATAAAACGCAAAATTAACAGCCGATTCCATTCAGACTTGATACATCTCAATATTTCTATCAACATAAGATTTGTTATTAAGATGGTAGTGATCGCACAATTTCCTCTGGTACCTCCCCCAAATAGGGTTCAAGATTTTGAAAAACAAAAATCTCAAAGAAACTCTCTAAAAATTCCACACATCCAAATATTTTTGCGAACGCAAGGCCTGTTTTAAAGACAATATACATCGTATCTGTACAGGATGAAGTATGAAAATGGAATAATTCGGTCCCCTATATTCTATATTACTTTTCCAAAAATATCCCATATAAAGTACAGGAAGTAGTCGATATAG